AGACAGGCCACACAACCTCCAGCGCTATCGCAATTTGTAGAGGAGGAAAAGAGCGTTGGGAGAAGAAGGGGTCGTTGTTAACGGGGGAGGGAGAAAAAAGCTGGACCGCTCGGGATAATTAGGTGGGAATTTAAGGGAGGGCCAAATTTGCAATGCAATCAAGCCAGCCAGGCCCTGGAGCGTTATGACACGTCTTTTTTTTTTTTTTTTCATCTTGTCTGATGCTTTTCATGTGGTGGAAAAGATGTACAGCTAATGTCCCCCCCCCTCCTTTACATGCTGGAGCTAACTATGCTGTCCTTGTCTATAACTGCTGCCAGAGAGAGCGGAGCCATCTAATCAAGGCCATATGACCGGCTCAAAGTCAAGTCTGTGTGGAGCGAACAGATCCTGAGTGTCGCTCAGCTTAGATTTGGTTCTAGTACCCCCATGCCCCCCCCCCCCCCAAAAAGCCCCCCCAACACCGTCTCCGCTTTGATCAGGGACTAGCTCATGAATCAGCTCCGGGCTCCGTTTATTATTTCATTAAACGGGCAGTGCTCTCTAATAAAACTGCGAGGCCGTGGGATCAAATGGCTCGTTAGAACAATGTCATAAGTCAGACGCATTGTTCCAGTCTGCCTTCAGCCCCAAACTGCTCCCGCGCTCCGAAAATACAGCCTGGGCCCCGGGCAAGGCCTCCCCAGCAGGCTCCAAACAGGTGATAGAGGGCACAGCTCTGTGTTCAGACTGAACTCGCTGCCTGCTAGAAAAGAGAAAGAAAGAGAAAGAGGCGGGCATTCCTTTCTCCATTTCCCCAAATAAACAGCGTGCAGATGAAAAGTGGGAACATAAACAGGCCGGAGAACCTCGGATGTGCTCCCCTCACTCTGAAAATGTGCCTCTCGAGTCTGAAACAATATTTAGTGAGAGGGAGAGCTGACTCGACACGAGGGGAGCGGGCCAGCGGCAGTGGGAACGGAGCACATGGCAGCGGAGGGTGTTCTTACTCCGTCTTTCAACTGCTCCAAGGCCGTTTGTCAACCGTCCAACACACCACATACACTCCCATCACGACCACCTAAAATAAGCAGAAGCAAATCCGAATATTTAAGAAGACTGAGGAACAAATGCTGAAGCGGAGCAGGACAAAGGGAGGCTGCTGCACATGCATCCGATTGGATGGAAAGGTGGTTTTCTCTTCATGTTACTTTGGAATTTAGAGTCCATTCATGTCCATTATCAAACCCAACAAGAGCCCCAAAGATGTTTATGGCGTTTAAACATTGGAAAGAAGTTTTATGTTGAGTGAAGGTAACAGAAAGTTGTTTCAGTGCATCATCACTCTGTTTTTGTTTGAGCAGCTTGGATAAATACATTAAAAAAAAAAACTGAGAAAATGAATGTAAGACGTCTACACTTGTTGTGCACAAACAAATCCCTGTCACAGAGAAAAATCGTGAGATAAAGTATCCATGCAGGATAACAGCCTCTCCTTCTTCTTTTCAGCCAAAGCTGCAGATTACAGCAGCGCTGACATCTAGAATGATTCACCCGTCCCTTCTGCTGAGGGACCCGCAGACTGACAAGCGTGTCATGCGAACAGCCTGCCGTCTCCCCCCCGGCTTTTGGCCACGACAAGCGTGAGACAACCTCGTAAACAATTCCTCCCGATTCATCCCGAGATCTGCAACCTATCGCAGGACGGTGGAGGACCCCCCCACCCCCCCCCTCACTTCTGTACCTGACGGCAGCTGACAGCCACATCATCCATTCACCGGCACAAACACACACACACACTCTCACACACACACACACACACACACACTGGCTGTCCTGTCTTCAGCCAATGAGCCGATCTGCAGCTCGACATTCGCTCCTGAAGAGGGAAGAGTGGGATTTTGAGGGGGAAATCCTTTTACAAAACCGGCTGCACAAAATCCAAAACGATGCGCTTATTTATTGTGACGTAAGACGTCACAATAAAAACAAATCAGAGTAAGAGACTATTTGAGGGGGAGATTTTTCCAAGCCTCTGCAGGAATAAGTCCTGCAAGAAAAAGGCGAGGGGCAAAAGTTAGGAGTCTCAGCATCAGATAGAGAGAGAGGCCAGGCTGGGTGAATGGCTGGGTGAATGGGTGGGTGAATGGGTGGGTGAATGGGTGGCCTACCTTCCCGCGTCCCCCACGCAGAAAGTTTCCCCCGTGGGTCAGTCCTCTGTCCCGTCCACAGCAGCGCAGCGGCAGAGGAGGCGGTGGTGGACTGAGAAGACTCGACTCCTCGGACGGAGCCCCAGAGCTGCAGCTCTCTAGTCAAGTTTCAATGCAGCAAAAGCGGAAGTAAGGGAGCGGACGTTCAAAATAATAGTAGGGTTTGAGCAGACCTCAGCCACTCACCCCGGACATGTGTTGTGCCCGTAGACATAGTTATGTCTGTTGTGTCTGCATTGTCAAGCTGAGAAAAGGCCTTTAGATTCATTCAACTCAGCTCGGTGCTTATATTTCACGTGGGGAGTATTTTTTCCAGTCTCACACACACATGTTGGTTCACAGGGAGTAAAGAAATGCCAACTCAAGCCTTAATCAATCAACATTTTGAAATACATTTAGATGGGCTTATTTCTAACTCAATCTGCAGGACTGACGTCTAATTCTCATCAAAACAGGCGTATTATCAGTTTGCTGTTATTGCATGAGTGGACCCCACACATCTGCTACATTTCTGTTGTGGATTGAACTATTTTTCAGTCTGAATACATCTTTCATGTCACGTTTGAGAAAAAAAGGAAAAAGAATAAGAAGATATTGCACAAATTCTATGTGCAAGGTATTGTCAGGTAATGTAGAAGTTTTTGACACCCATGAAATCAAAGTAAAAACTTTGGAGTTCCATGGTTGCAAATAATTGTCCTAAAAAATATAACAAAGAAGCACAAGTTATTTTGTTAGTTAAGAATAAATGTAAAAACATTTTTTTAAAACTGAATAAAATAAGACACCTATTTTCATGTACGCCATGGTTATACTTTTTAAAAACCTAAGTCTGCATCAATGCAACGTCCAATATCAAAACCAAGTTTGGATGGTAAAAAAGATGATTTGCTGAAAAACTGATTTTTTTTTAATAGTACATGTGGCATGCATTTATTTTGCAGGAACTCCTTTTCCGTTTATGTGCAGTGGTGTCTGTTATTAAATGACTTCATTCAGTGAAATCCCACTGACTGGCTGCCAGACCTGAGATGCAGCTGCAGCCGGTGGAGTGGGTGTGTAGATGTGTGTGTAGATGTGTGTGTAGATGTGGGATGGGGAGGGTTACTGGTTACTGGTAACTGCCTCTGTCATTGGTTTGGTGGTGTGACTTTAGACGCCTCAGTGTGTAATAGTACTTATGTTGTATCAGAACAGCTGGTTGCAGCAATAGTCAGTTCAATCTATATGAATATTACATAGTAAGACTGTACATACAAATAAAGAAAATTAAATGAAGCAAACACGAGCCTAACTCAAATTTGTCTCTACATTTAACCATTTTAGAGTTGGTGCTGCTGGAAAATAAGACCTGGCAAAAAAATGGTGTTCAGTAAGTTGTTTTATTTAACTTGTATTTTTATATGTATGCCATTTTTATTTTAAAGCTTTTAAAAAGTTAATATTTTTTTCAAATCAAGAAGCAGAAAAGGGATGTATGACTGTACACTGCATTCAAAAGAATGAACTGAACAAGCCAGGCTTAATAAAGTACCTCACAGGTGGCAGTCAAACCAAAGCTCTGTGTGAGCATCTCGAGCTGTTCAAGTGTGAGTGTCGGTTGGTGTGTGTGCGTGTATCTGCGTCTCTAACTTTTGGAGTCTCTAACCCCCCTTCTGGCGCTGCTGGCAGATCAACAGATTCATCTTTGTCTCTGAAGCGACGACATCACACCGTGAAGCTGAGAAATGTGAGTACGTTTTGTTTCCCTTTTGCATTACTTCACAGCATTTGTGTTGTTAAGGTAGTGCTTGTTTCCTGTCTGAAGAACAGAGCATTGTTTTTTCTTTAACAAAAGGTGAGCTTTGATCAAACATGTGCCTCAGTGATGCTAGCTTATTGTTGGGATATTACTACTGTTTGTTACAAAAAAGGTTCTGTAGTTTGAAATCTTAGTCAAACTTCCACTCACACACACAACATTACATGTGGCTCAGTGTCCGTCACATAACTGACATGACCGGCCATGTCTAATGTGTGTTTCAGCAGATTATTTTAGTAATTTATTTTTAATTCATTCCTAAATTGAGTTTGTAAAACTTGTTTACTCTGGGATATTAATACTCTAAGTGATCTTTAAATTTAAACAAAAATAACAGCGTTTGAGCTGTAAAACCAAAACTGTGCACCCCATAATTCAACAGAGCCATCACTGCTCTGGTTTAGCCTAGCAGCCACTATAGAAAGAAAATTTAAATAGCTGCTTTCATTGTGTCTTGGAATAGAAAACCAAAAGGGGGTAAATTTAACGCACCCGAGAAGTATATGTGGGTCTTTTTTATTGCTTGTAACTTTTTGTGAAATCACAACAAGTGTTTCTGGAGCTGAACTATTTGCCTGACGTGTCAGCCAAAACCGAAAGATAGTGGAGTCAATGGCAAAAACCTGATTTTATTTAAAAAAGCCTTGCTCACTGATTAAGTTTGTCAAACATTTGGTTTTGAATTAATGCAAAAATAGCGCAAGAACACAATATAACTGACATGAATTTCATTGTAATCTTACCACCGTTTACACACCTGAGAAGCAGATTTACTTCCGTAATCTTTCAGGTCTGTAAGATTCACTGAGGTATTAGAAAACAACTCACGGTAACATCGAACACCAATGATGCAAGCAGAATTAAATGTTTGGTTCGATGTGAATTATTTCCCCTGATTTAAGAACATTTGGGCGGTTTGGGCTTCTGATCTGATAAGCAGATCCGCTTGCGATCCAAATCTGAGACAAACAATTAAAGAACACAGTATCTACTGCCTACAGTCTCCCAAGTCGAGCTATGAATGTAGGAAATGCTTTGAGTTGCACAACTGTGAGCTAAGTTCCTGATAATGATTGGATATTAATAGTGCAACTGGCACAAAATGCAGCTTGCATTAGTCAAAGTGGCCATTTAAATCAGTGACCTCATGGTTTAAAATGTACTTGCAAAACCATAAGAGCTATAAAATGTCACTGTATTGAATTGTTGTATTTTGTGCTACCGGGAAGACTTTCCTTTTTGTGCTTTTATTGTTTACTGTCAGCCATTAGACCAGATCCATTTTTCTCTGTTGCCACAAATTACAATTAGCACACACAGACACAAAAGAAACACTCTGTAGCTCTGTGTATTACTGTGTACTACCCGCTGTATAACACACATGTAGTGTTATAAGGCTGCCTCTGAAAAATGTCGTCCGTCCCAATTTAGCACTCATCAGATGTTCGAATCTGAGCAGTGCTTTTAACCTACATGAACTTACCTTTGGTTTTTAATATTCTTGCTAGCTTTCCATATATGTCACGATAAGCTTGTTTTGGCTTGTTTAAGCTTTTTTTGTGAATGACGACTCCTTTATTCTTCACTCTTCTCTTTGTCCTTTACATCAACACAAATTAGACAATAAACTAGAATTTGTTTTTTATTCGCTATCATAGAAAACAAAAATATTTGCTTCGCGCTCCATGTTTTAGTGCTTGAGCGTTGGAAAAACGAATGGGTCTGTGGACTGATCATCTCACATTTGCATTTGCTTGATGAAAAGGGACTCACAGAGTTTTCTCCACTGTTCGCTGCCCATCACCTCACTTCAAAATACCTAATCTATGAGCATATTTTATTCCTGTTTATGCATCGAAAGTTACCAGTTTCAACCCAGTAAAGTGTCTTCAGTCCAATTCACATTGTAACAGACAACGTGGGTTCAAAGCCATCTCAGGAACTGTGTCATGTGTCACATGTCTAATTCCACCTGTTGTTTTTGCGGTTTATCTTGTAGTCTAAGAGTCACTTTTAAAAGCTTAAGATTTAAAATCTAAATCAAAATACGAGCTTATGCTCTTGTTTTGGGACATTTTGTTGATCTATGTCTTTTAAAACTATAAAAATGTTGAATCCCAACAATGTTCTATCCCAGATAGAAGCGTTTCTAACATACTATCATGTCTCATTTAATAGCGTTTGTTAGTTTGTAATGAAATTGACTTCCTCTTTCAGTTTGCTCAAGTACTACAACAGAAGTTGGCTTTCAATTTAGAGATCACAGGAGTACTGTGCAATTATTTGTTGTGTTTCACAGTAAACGCAGTCTGGCTTGACCGTAGAGTTAGAGCCACATCTCCCTCTGAGCATGAATGCCACAGAAATGTAAAAATGTGGTACCTGAATTACCTCTCATTCCTTCAAATTTTCTGTAAATGATATGAATATTATTAGAAGTTGACTTAAACCTTGAAAATACAAACAACAAGAACTAAAAGAAACATTGTCATTGCTCAGTTTCGTGTGACTTTGATGAACAACATGGCTTAAAGTACTTGGATGTCCACACTGTCAAGCTGGGGTCGCTTTGTTGTGGTGACCTGGGGGTCAAGCCACAGTTCTTATTGTGGCAGTTGCACATTTCTTCTTGTTTGTCCATTGTGGATGTGGGCAGAAAGTCAGAGACAAGGCCAGGAAATTGAGGTTTCACACTTCTTTTTTTACAATATTGGTTTAAATCTTTTGCATCCACTTGAAACTGTTGAGAGGAAAATTACTCAAAGCTGTTACATTAAAAGTGGAAACTGCTGACTACGGTTTTTCAGCACAAAGCATTCATGCATTTCAATATCTAAAGCCACGAAGAATCTGAGACATCACCATTTATTTTTTCTGTTTTTATTCTTGGATCTCCATTAAATGAAATCATAAAATTAGATATTTTTTTATTCCATCCAGTTCTGAATATTATCTTATTTCCTGTCTTTGTTTTGTGAATTTCTGTGGTTGATGCACAATGATTTCCCTTTTTAACTGAAACTCACAGCTTGTGTCTACAATCACAGACATTTTCCATCTTAACAGTCTTATCTTTCTATCGACACCTCAGCTGACTCTAAAGTCTCAACAGATTCCTCACGTAAACGTCTCCCTGCGAACACACACACAGAAAAGCTGCTGCCACAATTTTCTGGAGTAGATCATCTCACCATAGTTTAGTTTTTTTCCCATGAAGGAAAGATTAACAAGCTTGAACTTATGGAGGAGGGGGAATGCTCTGGAACCAAAAAGCACCTGTTTAACGGAAGAGTGACATGCTGGAGAAATGAGGCTGTGAGGGCGGACTGCAACTTCCTGTTGTGGCTTTGTCACCAGTTTGTTAATCTGCAAGCTACATGCAATCTCAAAGTGTGGGCGCTCATTGCTAAATGCCTTATCCACAGACATAACTCCTCACAACTCATCTGTGTGGAGCTGAGAGACCTGAAAAACACAAACGCTAAAGTTTGTTGTCTGTCCTGTTGTTTTTCAACCTGAGAAAAGAAGAAGTGGTGAGAATCGCAAATAATCTTATATTTGATATTTCAGAAATATCTGAGGACAACTCTTGTATTTTCCATTCTCAAGCTGTATCCTCACCTCTGTTTATCGTTTGTGAAATCATGGTAGGCGATTTAATCTAGCAGACCGTAGAAAAAGTGGTGGATACAAAACTAAAAGGTCAAAGGTCACAAACTGAATTTCAGCCTGTGTATACTGATTCCACAAGGGTTGTCTAAACCAGGATTGTCTTATGAAACTTCTATTTTGTCCCTGCACAGTTTTCTTTTACCACCTCCACATCTGGGACTTCAAGACCAGGACCGGCTCGACTCTCCCAGGTCTCAAAATGTCCGTCGACCCAGCAGTGGATCTGCCTTTCTTCTACGGCTGCATCAGTCGCTCTGATGCGGAGCAGCACCTGAAGCTGGCCGGCATGTCCGATGGCCTCTTCTTGCTTCGCCAGTGTCTCCGGAGTTTGGGTGGCTACGTTTTGTCTATTGTGTGGAACCTAGAGTTCCACCACTACACCGTGGAGAAACAGCTGAACGGGACTTACTGCATCCCAGGAGGGAAGCCTCACTGTGGGCCGGCGGAGCTCTGTGAGTTTTACAGCAAGGACCCCGACGGGCTGGTGTGCACCCTGAGGAAACCTTGTCTGCGCTCTCCAGATACGCCAATACAGACTGGCGTGTTTGACAAGATGAGAGAGAAAATGCTGAGGGAATATGTGAAGCAGACCTGGAATTTGGAGGTGAGGGTCTGAGCACTACTGAAGTATAGATATTTGTAAAGTTCACAGTCTTTTCAACCCTAATAGCGCCTACTTATTGAAATTGGATGATGAATATTTACCCAGTTACAGCATAGTTTTCTGTTAGTCTTAGCCTAAGATACATTTTTAAAAATAGACTATTTGATCAATTTTACCAACACAAAGTGAAAACTACTTCATTTAGATCATGACCGAGGGGTTATTTTGACACTGTCCTCTGCAGATATGTGTTCATATAGCCCCAACAGACTTCTTTTATATTTCCATGTATAATGTTTAATCCAGTACAAAGGTCACGGGAAAGTGAACAAAGCGCACTGCTTTTATCATTGGTTCCACTAAACCTTTCCTATGGTTTGGTGGAGAACACTGTGTAGTTTTCTTATTGTACGGAGCAACGCATACAAAAACTAAATGTATTGTGCATGTTCTGATTCTATTACTCCAAAATGGCTTTGAGCTTATTCAGATTAATGTGATTATTTCAAAAGGATTCTTTGGAGGTTTTATGTCAATGACCATCACCATGTTCCCGGATTGAAAAACTAGTGATTATACTGGCAGAGTAATAAACTGCTCTATGGATTTTAAAAAAAAATCACCAATCTAACATAAATCCATGAAGAACTAAAATAAGTAGCTCTTAATGTTGTGCAGAGGATGACTTGCAGCACCCATCTCTTTTCGATTGGGAGCCTGAAACCGTTCTCTTCCAGCAGGCTCCTTCAGCTAAATAGTCTTTTTAACTGGTAGGACATTGGAGTTTCTGGTCTATGGCCGCGTTGTTGTTCAGCGAGTCTGTCGATTCATGACTGGGTAGACCAGCTTCTTCAGGACTCTGCAGAACAAACCTGAAATAGAGAGAAAGATGGAAACCCCGTAAAGTGTAAGGCCGTTTTGGACAAATTTCATTTTCTTCCCCCATCAATTTAACACCGTTGTAGTTGGTCGAAAAGCAAACCTAGTTTTTTGTTCAGCTTGCAAATCTGGTGCTTTGTCATGCTCTCCAGCTTTAACATCTGAGTGCTGCTGCTACCAGTCACACAGAGAGAACCATATCCTTTTATAGGCTCCAGTTAAATGGCAAAACTAGCTGCAGGTGTAGATTAGCTCAACCTGCCCTCACCCTCCATAACATTTTACACCCTGTGTAGGTGAACAAAAACATGAGCTATGGTTACGAATTGTGACACGTTCCTCTTGAAAACTGTCCATAGTTCAACTTATAAGAAGATGGGTAAATACCAGAACCCTTCAGGATTTGGGATGCTTCGATAATTGTACATGTGTGTGTTATTAACACTTTTGTGTGTGTGAAGGGAGAAGCCATGGAGCAGGCCATCATCAGCCAAGCTCCTCAGCTGGAGAAGCTCATCGCCACTACAGCTCATGAGAAAATGCAGTGGTATCACGGCAAAATCAACCGCCAGGAAGGAGAGAGGCGGCTTTACTCTGGAGCTCAACCAGACGGCAAGTTTCTGTAAGTGGCTCCATGTGATGCTAACGCCTCCGTATCTACTGTCAGGTTCCAGCCCAAGGTTCAGGTTCCTACGCTTTGGTGCAGTCATGTTGTTATTTGTTTCTTAGGATCCGTGAAAAAGAGACAGCTGGAACATTTGCTCTCTCTGTGATTTACGGGAAAACAGTTTACCACTATCAAATCATTCAAGATAAATCTGGGAAGTGGTCCATGCCAGAAGGAACCAAGTTTGACACAATCTGGCAGGTATAGCCAATACAATTCTGTTGTCCTCTGTCTGGCACTGGCGTGCCGGCCGAGAGTCTTCTGTTCTAAATAATGCAGCTCTCTCTCTTTGTTCAGCTTGTTGAGTATCTGAGGATGAAACCCGATGGCCTGGTAACCATCCTCGGCGAGGCGTGTGTCAACGGCAAACCTGCTGAACGTACTGACCTTTTTTTTTAACTACACATTTTCTTAAACAATGAGTTTTCAATGTTTAGTAGCAGAAAATGTTCAGTATACACTCCTACCCACAATCTTAACATCTAACCCCATTATTTCTTTCATTTTAGAGACACCTAATCTTCCTGCACAAGTGAGTATTCACTGCTTCATATTCTCATAAAATCAATCCTCTTCCTTGTCCAAAGTTAATTGAAATTTCTTTATTTCAGAGGAGAGGTTTTGGATGTAGATACACACCGCCACCTGGAGGTTAGTGGCATGTATCACAGCACACTACCAATCAAAAGGCAATGGCAGGAGGATATACATACGTTACACTGAGGTGTAACGTATATGGGGTTAATGCCAACGAGAGAAAAATACAGAAAAACACATTTTGATAACTTAAAAAAAACATTTATCAAGCACTACAAATTTTTGTCGCAGTAGTGTGCTGAGTAGAAACTATGATACACAATATATTATCAAGAAAAATAGCTCAAAGTAAACCAAACTTGGTTTCAGTCTCCAGTTTGTTTTCCTATTTTCAAAGCGGCAGCAGCTGCAGCTGCACAGACGGATCTCCTGCCCATGGACAGTCCTGGATTCAATCCGTATCACAACCCCAACGAAATCAAGAAATTCAACATCCAGAGGGACCAGCTTCTGATGGACGAGGTGGAGCTCGGCTCGGGGAACTTTGGCTCTGTCAAGAAAGGAACCCTCAAGACGGAAGCGTGAGACTTGTGACACAAAACAGTCCGGCCAAGTTCAGGCCATCTTCTCTATGTGCACTAACTTATGGCTCATTTTGTCTCAGGGGTCAAATCGATGTGGCCATAAAGGTTCTGAAGAGTGAAAACGAAAAGATAGTGAAGGAGGAGATGATGAGGGAGGCAGAGATCATGTACCAGCTAAGTAACCCGTTCATCGTGCGCATGCTCGGCCTGTGCAATGCGGAGAATCTGATGCTGGTCATGGAGATGGCTGCTGTTGGTCCTCTCAACAAATTCCTCTCCAGCAATAAGTAAGTACGGTTGGGAAAAACATAATGTTGGAAGGTATTTTGCTGTGGATCCATAGTTAGAGATGAATGTGTACAGGAAAGGCATAAGCATTCCTCAAACAACAAAATAAGTAATGAATCGTTTATACTCAAACACAGACTACATGGGAACAGTATCTGTGAGTGGGCAAATATAACAGGAAGATTCTTGTGAGAAGAGTAAAACGGTAAACATGGACGTGAGTTTTCCAGTAAGAAAACAAATATGTCCGGGTATAAAAACTGTAAATATATGTGTAAATGATTGATTACAAGGTGAAAAAGCATAATTCACCCAGCAAAGCTATAGAATATATGTATACAGCCATAGACATTAACTTTGAGGGTTTAGTTTGAAATTTTAAGGATAAATTAACCGGGAACCGGCACCAGGTACACTCTCTAACGTGCAATTTGCACAAGTAAAAAATACACTTTGCTGAAATTAACCTTATTTGGATTCCCTGCAGGGATACTGTGACTGTGGAGAACATTGTTAACCTGATGCACCAGGTGTCGATGGGGATGAAGTACCTGGAGGAGAAGAACTTTGTTCACAGAGACCTGGCTGCTCGCAACGTTCTGCTGGTCAACCAGCAGTTTGCCAAGATCAGTGACTTTGGACTCTCAAAGGCACTGGGAGCAGATGACAATTACTACAAAGTATGTCGCAACATCGTTTTGAAAAGCTATTTCATCCATGTTCATTTATTTAAGGACATTGATATTGTTGCAGGGGACACAGATGGTGGAATTTCTGTCCTTACAGTGCAAGAATATGAACTGGGCATCCTGTATTCCCACGGTGCTCCATGCTAAGTTTAAAAATAAACACTAGGTTGATACATACTAGTTTACTGAACTACATGGAAAGAAAATGTTATGAGAAAATGGCAGCAATACCTAAACTCATAAGAATAACAATTAACGTGTAATTTAAAAAAACATCAACACAGTAGACATTTATGGGATATATATATATCGAATTTGAACCACAAATGATATTTGCTGCTTACATGGGTCCACTGGCACACACACTGATTATTGTTACACACTTTGCGTTTACAGGCTCGTACTGCAGGCAAATGGCCACTGAAGTGGTATGCTCCCGAATGTCTAAACTTCCACAAATTCTCCAGTAAAAGTGACGTGTGGAGTTTTGGGATCACCATGTGGGAGGCCTTCTCTTATGGAGGAAAACCCTACAAGGTAAAGTGTGTTTCAGCAGAACAGCGTCGTACAGATGTAGGAACAAAACTGATGCCAAAGGCTGAACTTTATTTTGCAAGCCTTGTCTTCTTTTCTTTTCTCCAGAAAATGAAAGGTCCAGAGGTGATCCGCTTTATTGAAAGTGGGAACCGAATGGAGTGTCCAGCAATATGTCCAGAGAGAATGTACGCAGTGATGAAAGAGTGCTGGACATACAAGTAAGAACCTGAATTTTTTTCATGGGTTTAAAGTTTACCTCTGACCTATGATGTTGAATACCATGTATATACCATTTATATATATAAATTGATTTAATCCAAAGTGGACATGATGGAGTGTTTAAGGATGTCTCAATTTTTGAGTAAGAAATAAGCTCTGTCTGAATGTTACAAACTGGTGTAAAAATATTGTTTTCACCCAAATATTCCTGATAGGAAATCTCCATATTTTTTTCTTTATGCCACATTCTCAGCTGTGAATGGTGAAAGGCGTGGGAGTTACAAACTGCATGGTTTGCTACTGGCCTACGGCATGCACATTTTACTACTCCCACACAAAACAGCAACCCATGAATAATTAGAATAAATCAGCAATCAAATCTACGTAATGAATTGTGACAATAATGTTTTGACTTGTGGACATACTCATAACATCAACAAACTACCAGTGTCATATGAATTTTGTGATGTGTGATATTTTAGGGTGGTTTCTTTCTTAATAAATGCATCAACCATTTTATTATATATATCTTTCATACTTTTTATAACAAATAAATTAAGAGTAAAGTCATTTGAAAATGCAGTTTATCTAGAGTAAACCATGAGTAGGTCCAGAGTCAGACTGCTGTGACAATGTTATCCATAGACAATGCTCTATCAAATATTTTATCTGTGTGGTTAACACAGTGATTCACTGAGATCCCATATTTTTTCTTTTTAGACACGAGGATCGCCCTGACTTCAAGAAGGTTGAAGAGTCCATGCGGAGTTATCATTATTCCATATCCAGCAAGGCCAAAGTTGACGGAGTTGAAGCTGTCACTGCCGCAGAGCTTACCAAGTAGACAGAAAAAAGGCCCATTCTGTCCCAGCGCTGCACAAAGCATCCTTTCAAGTGAACATTAAATTACGAAAACAAAGAGTGTTTTATGAGCTGTGCACACTGGCCAGCTTTGACTACAGTGCAGAAACAGCTACAGTGACAATAAAAGTGCATTTGTAAATTGGATCTCAGCGTTTCAGCTGCTCAGCTGACAGGCCCTGTCGGATGTCTGGGTTTGAATGTTAAGTGTCTTCACATAGACGAATAGACTAATTCTATATTCTGGTATTTCTAGAGGATGATAGGAATGAATGAAGATTAAGGGGTTTTTGTTTTGTGCTATGTGTCGTTTCTTAGTCAAATAACTTAGAAATTAAACTCAAAATTGGAGCTACATTTGTACATTAAACAATCTATATTTAGTAGAGTAAATAATCACAAATAGGTGGTGTGGGATATTTTCTTTAGGGATTGAATATAGACTGTTTGAAATCAACGTGTTCCAAAAGGCTCAAAGAAAAAGTTAAATTAAATAAGAGAAAGCAAGGTAATCTGTAGAACAATTCTAACCCTGTTAAAATGGATTGAAGTCTTATAAATATGCTTCACTGCCAGTTTCAGAGAGAATAGTGAATTGGACAAGCTTGCCAAAAAAATAAAACAAACAAGTCAAAACTACTTCTGTAGCCTACTCTTCAAAGTCGAAACGGTTGTTGGTTTTTATGGAAAAGTGATGCCAGTCGTAATGCTTTTGTGTTGTACCAGATAAATATTTCATCACCTCTAGTGTATGTGTTGGAATGAGGGCTGTGTGACAGTGCTGTTGATAGATTTATGGGCCAAAATGTTTAACAAGAATGTTTCCTTTGGTCTTCTTGTCGGTAATTTAAACATTGTGTGTTGTGGTTTACTTAGTATTGTGATAATAATGAGGTTATTACTCAGAGACGCATTGTATCAGAGCAAATGCTTCTGTATTGCCAGACAACGCTGAAAAGTTTCCGGAAGTTCTTAACCTATTCTTCAAAATAAAGTATCCAAAAAACCTTTATGTGATGGTATCTGAGGAATTTACAACACCACATGAAGGTACATAATTATTTAATCAGTGCGTTTTGCTTACCACACGTTCAATTCTACCTCAATGTAAAGGTGTTTCAATGGTTAAGTGCTAAAATGAAGATAATCCATTGATATAGCTATCGGTATGTAAGAACTAAGGTGTCATGGTTCAGAAGTATTCACCCAGAAACAGCACAGAGACCCCTGTTCTTACTATTTATCAAGTAAAGAGAAAAAGACGAAGTAAAAAAAATAGTTTGCACTTTGCACACAGCCACCGTTTTCATTTTTGTGCACCAAGCATTAATCCATTATTTTGAAGGATCCGTCCGGAAGTGGTTACCAACCTTTTCAGCTTGTTGCAGAGATACTTTTCGTTTTACAGGGAGGAGTCAGACGTCAATTTCTTTATCAAAGTGACATGTTTGGTGAATTATCTGTGTTTTACAACATGTCTTGCACTGTATATCCATAATGTAGGCTGCGAATGCTGCTGACGTAAAGCTATCGATCGGTTATCAGCTCATTTTCGGCAAACATCGAAGGAAGCAGGAAGGCGGAACAAGTAAGTTCGGGAAAGTGGCTTTCGACTGGGCGATTTCGTCACCCTTTGAACCGCCGTCTCAGATAACTGATGCTCATTTTGGTCGACTTTAAATGAAAAGGTGGTGTGAACTGGTTATCGGTGATGCGCGTTCTCGGTGGCTCACTCGTCTTCGTGTGTGTTTTTTAGCTGTTTGAGAGCAACAAGTTCGACCGAGTTAGCAACTCGCGTCACGGGCAAACTTCTCCGTACAGTCGTCATGTGCCCCGCTTTTAATCTCCGGCTTTCATCCCGGAAAATGGGTTAAAAGCCGTAGAAATCCGCATTGTTACGAGGGGGTGGTGCAAATATTTCCGAAAGAGGTCTAAATAGAGGCAGTAATATGTAGTTTTGTTGGTAATGGGCGGCTTGGCTTAGTTTAATTGCCGTTCCGCAGGTTTTTTGCTCTCACGGCCGAATTAATGTCAGAAATAGGAAATGACTCAGACACCATGTTACATCTTTTATGTGCGAATGTTTCCACTGAGACCTCGTGGTTGAGTGTGATTATTGTATTTAAATTGGCTTCCTAGTGCAGCCACGTTATTGTCGGTAATTTTTACCTGCTTATTTTCAATTATGATAATCATAATTCCTCTAAAAAAGTTTACTTTTGCATTTTTGCTGACAGTTTCCCCGATTTTTTTTGTATTTATGGCCCTTCCTCTGGGTAAACTTAGATTTAGGTTAATATGAAGTTATAAAGGTGATCAGGGGTTTACATTTCTCTAAATCCACACGTGATTGGGGGATTTTTTCAACTACCTACTTACTTTTTGTCCAGTACTTTCCCAGCTCTGGCTTAAAAAAACTTTTTTGTAAATACTTTTTAAAACTACTTATTTTGAAGGAAATCTTACAAATAATGGAGATAAATACATTCATGTAATTCAATCAGTGCATTTTCATTCAGTTGTATTATTGTTAGTCATAGATTTAAGTTGACCATGAAATGTCTCACAACACAAGTCCCATCAGGGTGCATGAATTCATACATTTGGTTGTAAATGTTCATTTATTGACCAAACTGCATTTTTTCCCTCTCTTTTTATCACATGCAGAACCACAGACTTGCAGAGAGATTCCAAACAAGTAACAAAAGTTTTCAGAACAAAAAAAAAAAAAATCTCCACAGGTTGTTTACACAACCTTTTTGCTGCTTCAATCCGAACAGTAAATAATTCACCTGAGGCATTCAAACTAATCGCCCACCCCCGCCACATGCAGCCATGTCCATGGCCCTGAAACAAGTCTTCAACAAAGATAGGACATTCCGACCCAAACGCAAGTTTGAGCCTGGAACGCAGCGCTTCGAGCTGCACAAGAAGGCTCAGGCGTCCCTGAACGCAGGCCTGGACCTGAAGCAGGCGGTGCAGCTGCCCCACGGCGAGGACCTCAACGACTGGGTGGCTGTTCACGTCGTGGACTTCTTCAACCGCATCAACCTCATCTATGGCACCATCAGTGACTCGTGCACCGATCAGACCTGCCCCGTCATGTCCGGCGGGCCCAAGTACGAATACCGCTGGCAAGACGAGCACAAGTACAAGAGGCCCACTGCCTTGTCGGCCCCCAAGTACATGAGCCTGCTCATGGATTGGATTGAGGTACAAATCAACAATGAGAATATCTTCCCCACTAATGTCGGTAAGTGTTCAGATGGCCGATACGTTTTTTTTTTTCTCCCCCTGAATAAAACAAGGTCAAAGTTCAATACATTTTGTTGAAAGCGATCTCAGGGATTGGATTAAATCCAGTTCAGACAGGTTACATGTGAACCAATACACCACCCATTTAAAGGCAGTCAGCAGACGAAATATGGTTATTTCCAGTTACTAGGTAATAGATGCGTTTAATCAAAAGTTTTCACATATAAACAGTTTTAATTGTGAACTGTGTGTAAATTCTGTGCAGAGACGGAAGCGGCTTTTTAAGAGACGTGGTCTGTTGAGGTGGGAGGCTGCAAAACAGTGTTTGCTTTTTGTCTCTTTATCTTTAGCCTCCTCCCTTCAGCATTAAACAGAAAGGAAACTAAAAGCGTGCCACTTGAAGGAAGCAAAGATTACACACGATTCAGTTAGTTCCACTCAGTTTATCTCAAAGGCAAGGCCTCTGCGAGGCCAAATGCATCGAGACATTACAGACTCATTTAATCTGTTGTAGTGGCATTCTTGGTTTTGATATTATCTCTGCGCATGTTTGTATGATCTGTGCTGGGGCTCAGAAACCGACTCAACAACAAAAACATCCCAGCAATGGATTAAAAAATGGGTCACACCATACGGAGAGTGCCGGTGAAGAGGGGGGGGGGGGAAACCTCAGATTTGCTCGTCCGCCAGAACAAATCCCTGAAATATTGTGGCTTTAGTTCAAGCTAAGTGATGCACAAAATGAATCATTTGCTCAAAGCTGAGGCTTGGTTTACAGACCAAGCCGTGTTTTGTTTTCAATTCACGCATGAGAGGACAGTGGCTGCATCCTTCGGCCAGCTGGTGTCCAGTCTGAGGAGCCCCCAAAGAACAGGGAAACTGAACAACTCTGGACAGTCGACCCCAAACTTTACCTTAATGACACTGGTTCAGATGGGTTTCTGCTGGCGGTGCGGTAAATGATTGTCATGAGCTGACCCCCTGTGCTCTCCATCTGCTTGACTCCCAGGTACTCCCTTCCCTAAGAGCTTCATGCAGGTGGCTAAGAAGATTTTGTCACGTCTGTTCCGGGTGTTTGTACACGTCTACATCCACCACTTCGACCGCGTGAGCCAGATGGGCGCCGAGGCTCACGTCAACACCTGCTACAAGCATTTCTATTACTTTGTCACTGAGTTCAACCTCACCGACCACAAAGAGCTGGAGCCGCTGGTGAGTCGCACACAGCGCAGGAGCTCAGCTATATGCAGAAAAATGAATAGATACATTAGTACATGAATAGAAATCATCTAGATGAACCAACATGCTGTGGATGAATAGTGGAGATAAATAATCTGAATTTAAATTGAAATGTAAATGTAAATTTGTTGGATGTTTGAAACGACTGATTTTTTTTAAGTGATTATTAATATTCAAAATGCATCAAAATTCATATCTTTTGATTAAGAATAGCTACAATGGATAGATGCATACACACTGACTAAAGACAGCACTTCTAACATAGCACAAATACTTAGTGATAAAAAAGAATTGCAGGTTCATCAGCTTTTCTTTGGATTTCTTTTACTAAATTTATAATAATCAGTTTATTTAGAAAAACAAAACCCTTGGTACTGTACTGTATGTTAAGGGTCATAAAACTTTATACTAAAAACAAGAAAAACATAGGTGCCCCTGGTGGAAAAACTGTGTAAGAACATCACATTTGAAAACATTCACTAAATATTTGTTATTTTCAATATTCTTAAATAAATACTCACAAATTATAGCAACTTCAGTCTACACTATAAGAAAACGACCTAAGCCAGTGATTAGCTCAGGGCTAGATGCTGCTAATGATAATGAAAACCAAATAAAAATATTAAACAGCAGTCGTGGTGCTGTACGCAAACGACAGTGAAAATCTGCAATATGCGTTTTGCTGCTGCTCAAACACTCTGGACATTTGACCCCCGCAGCTTGACCCCGGGTTCCCGTTAGACCTGCAACACCGGTCCAGTTTTCTGTTTGTTTCCAAAATACGCAGCGTCATTGGATAGGAAATCTTTCCTGCTCTTTTACACAGTTGCCTTTTGCTCCCCGTCCGTGAGTCCTCTCCCCTCTGGGGGGAGTCGTGTGTATGGACCATATCTGATGTGACGTGTTAATGTGCCGAGGACACGCATGACATATCTCAGGCCTCGCTGATAAAAAAGAAAACGCTTTGGGTGAAAACTCAGTGCTTTGACCTTTTTCTTTGGCCTACTTTTTCTGTGATGGCGACATCTGTGGTGTGATGATCCAGCCTGGAAAAATGAATTAGTCTGGGTTCCTTGACATGAAAGCCTCGGTCACTCTATTCTGTTGGGGGGGGTTTTTTCAGAAAGTGTACGACTTTGTAATCTCCGAACATTTGCCTTTTTCTGTTTTGTTTTTGGAAACGATCACCATTGTTTATTTTGTAGCATGGGACTCTGTCCTACACCTGACAATAAGCAGCGCTCATATTTCGTGGGTTTCGTCACGTCTGACTCGCTCTGGTTTGTGTGTCCGTTTCAGAAAGAGATGACTGCCAGGATGTGCCACTGAGGGACCCGTGTTCACGGCGCACCAACGCATCCGTCCACCTGGAAGCCTGAATCGGAGCATGGAACGAGCGAACAAATTCAGAGTCTATTTTTATATTTAAGTACTGTAATCTATTTTAGCCACATACTGTAGGTTTTAACCAAGAACCTTGTTATGTGAGTCGTTCGGTTTTCAGACATTTTATGGGAGCGCAGTATTAAGGGGTGTATGTTTGTTGATGTTTTTCTATGTAATTTGAATCTAAATCATTCCAGGATGCTATCGTGTTTTTCTCTGTTTAAAACAATTAGTATGATTTCACTCCATGTCTATAAAATCTCTTTGTTGTTACATTAAAAAAATTCTCTACTCTTTCATTTGAATGGTTTATTTTGTCTCTGCAGCTGAACAAGATCAAGTTTCTTTTTCTCATAAAACAAACGGACAATGTTTTCCAGTCACACGCTGAAATGTTGGGCCTCTCTGAGGTTCGGTGAAACTAAAGGTTGCCCTACTTCAAAATGAACTAAAAACAGCAATGGCCTACTTGTGACTGTGTGATAGTCAGGGCTGTGTTATGTTACAGTCCAGGCTTTTAGTCCAGCGAGCAGCTTCTCAGATGTCAAAGCCACAGGTGTTTGCAGCGGATGCTCTCTGGCAGATGAGACGTGGAGGAAGCACTGGGCCGTGTTCCGTGTTCCCAAACGCCCACAAGGTGGCGTCAGACGGCCAAAGCTGCCTGCACCCATCAAGTACTGTTACAACGCAGTTACTGCTCTAGCTCTGACGAAATCTGCCCAGTGTACCAGTTAAAGTCATGAAGCTGAGACCCGATTCAGGGTAAGCTGCTTATGTAAGAAACAGGCCAGACTGTACTGCATTGAACACAGAGGGAGGTTTGTTTTGAATGAGCCCGGCTTTGCATGACTGGGTCAACAACAGCCCTGAATGTATCCGGACTTTGTGGCAGTTATCAGTCATAATGGACTGGATTATATAAGTAATGAAAAACAGTCTTGCCCGCAAGGTAGAACCAGACAGAACATGAAGAACAGAACTGCTACGAACCTTAAACACGTGACCAACTTTGCTGACTGCAGGCTAAGTACATGTTCCTGGTGTTTCCTCAGCAGGAGGACAGGGAACCATTTCCATGCTCCATTCTGCTTTTACAGAACGTGGTGCTGCTTTTAAAACATCAAACATGAAATTGGGTCACCTTCCAGGTGAAACGTGCTTCAATACGAGTTCATACATATGTTTTAAGACTGAACACTGATGAAGTTGCTGTGGATGGAACTATAATTAAAGACCTTTCTTATATACTCTGTCCATAAACATGTCAATAAAAAAAGGGGGGGGGGGGATTACCCAGAACAGGACTATTTTAGCCAATGACCTCAGATGAGTGAAACCGAATTACCACAATTAGAACAGCTTAGTCAAGATGTGAAAGCAAGAAGTCTGCTGGATTACATCATATTGTATAGGCGGGCTGTACAGTCAGCCAGTGCATGAGTTTATATGAAAACAAGTTTGCTGCTGTCTCCAAAAGGTCACAGTTTATATGTGTCACAACACTTCATTTATTTTTTCAAAAACACTCAGGAAACTGAGGAACAAATGTTTTCACAGCAGTCATACGTGGTTCATGCTACTGCAGTGTAAAATGAAAAGCACAGAAATGCCATTTCAAAGTACGTGTTTGGTTTTAATAAGTACTCAGAATTATCCTGAAAACACTCAAAAGCTATATCTATTCAAATATATGTAAACGGTGGACTAGATTTAATAAGGTTCTGCCCTCTGGGGGGAAATTCAGGGAGCTTAAGTAGGAAATGACCAAAAATACATCTGCTCCTCTGGAAAATCAGTGTGTGTATTGGCAGGAGAGTGTTCCCAGCGGGATATCCCCGAGTTAAAAAAAAGAATAAATCCCTTCCTGGTCCTGCTGCAGGACATGGATGGCTCTGGACTGGTCTCAGTCCCCGTGACTGAATCCCATGCATCGCAACTGCATGCACACTAAGGCACACGTTCCACTTCCAACTCCCTCATTCAAGCTGACACAATGGGATGTTTTTGACGTCTCTATGTCAAATTTCTAAAACGAACACGACGCAGTAATCTGCTCCTGTGTCGCCCACTGAGACGACCCCACTGCCTCCTGTAACCAGATCCTTTTTTACAGGATTGTCCCTTCGCTTCCTCTCCTCTAATAGTGGGCTGGCTGCATGTGTTATGCTTGTTACGTGTCAGATGAGCTGAGCCCAACACGCCTTTTGCTCTTCCCTCCCCCTCCCCTCCCCTCCCTCCCTCTGTGTTTTTCTCTGTTGGAATGTACCAGATTGCCTCGAAGGACTCTGCAGTTGCGAGATCAGAAGGAGAGGCACTGGCAAGAGGCGAGGAACAGGGCAGGAATCTGTAGCTGCAGCCAATCACGGCTAAGCAGGTCCGGCTCCGGTTTTATACAGCCGCGTCTGGATGTTGTTTTGATGGAACGGTTTGGTTATTTACAGAGAGAGAAAAGGGTTTGGGAGATAATGTGACTCAGCTAGTGCGGGACTGGGCACACACCCTTAACGGTTATGTGGCTGCTGAGTCTGATAGCTCATGGCATTGCTACGGCGATGATTATCAACACTGTACACAAAAGAGGGCTCCACATGATTTTAAAAAAAAATAGGCCCAGAGGACAGTTTTTCAGAAGGATGAAAGATGATGGAGAAATATTCAAACAAAAAATGTGCTGCCGTAGACTGAAAATGTAAGTGTTCTACGAGATAAAAGGTACGAAAGGATGCACATGATGACGACAACCTCATAAAATATATGTGTTATGGGTGGTTCTTTTAGGTAATTACCAAGAGGTAAAAGATCAGTGGACCAGGTTAAAAGATTCACACATGACCGACAAAAATATAAAAATATGGTTTATTTCAAAACACTGCGCGAGGAGATAACAAGAGCAAAGGGTAAAAAATAACACAAAGGGCTGCAACCCACAACTTGAACAAAGTTGGAATAAGAGATAAACGAAGATGGTGTTGTGCAAGCCTTTGGCAGCTCTGTGCCAAAGGGCTTTCATTGGGGCTTGGTAGTGGTACGGGGTAGCCATCTTACCTTTCTGCCACAGATTCTTTCATGTGTCCTCCCATCTGGAAGCTGCTTCCTTTAGAGAATTTTGTTTTGGGAGGGTTTCTCTGGCACGGTTCAAAGCGCTCTCTGGGACATGCTGACCGTCCAAGTTGAGAAAAGAATGTAAGTGAGTGTAACAGTGTAAGGGCCTGCTGTTGGTAGCTCACAAATCCTTGTGGCCTTTTGACATTTTTACGTGCCAAAGGTGATTTCATGAACGGATTTGTAAGTGGGTCCTCTGTTATGCTGTGCATGCTGTTTGTAGTAAAGGGACATTACAACTGTGTCTGACCGAGGTCCTGTCAGTGAGCCAGTAATTTTCTATCTAAGATATTAGATAAAAAGTCACTTTTGTGCATTTCTTTACTCCTACAGTTATAGACACTGTGACATTGGACCGGCACGGTTAAAAAAAAGGATCTTTTACCCTTACCATTCCACATGATTGCACGTACAAACTGTTGTTTTCATATATTTCATCTAATTTTGTTCAATGTTTACACTCTGTGATGGAAGCAAAGTCAATACTTCTTTAGATGATAGTAAAGCCTTGACCCTCCACATGAGAGTTCAAATGAAGGGTTTTGGAAGGACGGTCAATTCTGGATACAAGAATGTTAAATCAACAATCCTCTTAAATATCAGTGAATGAAATTCAAACAATATTTCAATGGTTTAACCTTGTCTGCAACCAGAACAGCAGTGCAGACTCAGATTTCAAACTGGAATAACCTCAAACTAAAGAGACAATCCCCTCCCCTATGAAGTTCCTGACTTCAGAAAATGTGTTGCTGTCTTCTACGGTGTCAGCCCATTCCCCTCTTGACTGACCTGAAGTAACTTGGACCCACCCCTTGCTCCCGTACGTACGAGCTTGTTTTCCAGCAAAGCCTAGACTACACCATGTGCTCTTGGCTGCGGAGCGTAAGCCAAAAGCTTGTGTAATGTTTGCTACCATCAGGTTTATGTTTGAGGGGTGGAAGGTAAAAGAAGGAGGAGAGGAGGAGGAGTGTCCGGTCACAAGACTGTTGACCGCCAACAACAGACCTTACATGGTTTTAACTAAAACACACTCCATAAACTATACATCAACTCCACACAGAGAATAGTCTGGACGAAGATTTTGCTTTGTGATATATATAACAAAGGTGAATCAAAGAGGACATACTGTTTCAGAAGAAAACACATGCATGTTTGAAGTATTTAGACTTGCAACGTGTTGTTATAGGCTACAACAATGGAATATTGGGACTTATCAATGCACACGTGAGGCAAACCCTACAACCCATTTGATCTCTGTGAATACTGCACAAGCATGCCATATCAGTGGCAATATTGCTGTGGCATCTCACAATTACCAGATGGGTCAAGACAGACAGGCAATTTCTGAGACATCAAAGTTCCTGGATTTCTTTCATTATCACAGCCATGAGACAATGTCACCACCCTCGTCCAAACCGTGTCCCGATAAGATTCCAAAACGTGCGTATGCGCGTCATCATACATCACAAGCGGTGGGGACTGCTGCTTGTTTAAACACCTGCTTCTCACCCCTCGTGACAAATATATCACAAATATGTGCTTGGACAGCACATTTTTTTCTTCACATCATGTATTTTAGCACTGTTCAATATTGCAAACACGGTTAAATGCAACTCTAATAGTTACAACTACTCATATAAAGCAAAAAACTGAGTGTGAGACATTTGACTAAAACATTTCAACTGTGTTTCAACCACTGGTTTTGTCACTTCACAAGTATTTAAATCAACCAGTCTGTGCAAAGCTGCATGCAGTGATTCAGACGGGGTTTTTTCTCTGAACACCCATTTGACCATAATCATCCATCACTGGGCGTAAAAGTGATAATTATGGCTTTATAAATACAGTTTCTACATTTCCCAGACACATAGAGGGGAGGTTGAGCGGCCAGGTGCTGGTTGCTCTTATTTCATACATTGAAATAGGGTGATTTCTTTTGGCCTGGGTTGACTTGCAGTGTAGCTTTGTGTTCTATCTTGAGCATCAAAAAGGCAGGTTCTGTTCTGATCTGTTGACGTCTGTACTTGAGGATCGAGTTCTTCTACAAGTTGCTCAGGTCTCCACTAAGCTCCTGACTAAACAGTGACGATTGTGCCGACATGCACGTACTCACCATTTCCTTCCTCTATTCGTCCTGTGATGAGGCTTCTGAAACAAAACACAGCTCACTTGGTCGAGTCCCAATTCGAGTACCATGTGTATTTACTAAAACGCTTTTCGTCGTCAACATTGAAATCTCACTAAAACCTTATTCAATTGACAAATAGAGTGTATCAGTAAGAGTATCGTGTTAAAATGCTTTTGACTTTTTTCCTTGAGAGGCAACGAATATTAAGATAAATGGAACCTTGCCACTATCTCCTTTTCTAGAAGGCACGTGATCCATCCAGTTGGTTGACGCAATTGTTCGGGGGGGTGGAGCCTGCGAGAGGTTATAAAAACACCCACGCGGTATATTTCCAGCCACCTTCCACACTCAAACCATTAGGCGCATACCCCCTCCCTTGTCCGCTCTCTGCGGCTGTAGACGCTGTGGGTGAAACAACGACGCTAACACTGGAGCTATAAAACTAACAACGGGGTGAGTAACCAGCCGACATGCTATCTATTTAACTCTCTAAAGACGGTCCAGAGGCTCTTTTCGTTCTGCTACATCCGCAGTGTGTTACTAACCGCTGCGAAAAGTATATTTTTTTGTGTTGTCTAACGGTAATAATTAACGGTAATAAAACGGTCCAACGGCTGACGCGCGTGCACTGGCTAGTTTACCTCCGACTCGAATGTAAGTTAGCTGAACGGACGTTGGCCTCGCTGCGACCTTTGCTGCTGCATCAAATGTTTTTCTTAAAGACGGCCTGGTTCCGTGGCAATGTCTTTTCATGCTGGCGCATGTGTGGAATTTAAGTTCGTTTATTTAAGGTTTTCAATAGACCAGAGGGAACGGACTAGTTAAGACGACGCTGTATCTAAATGGCGGTTGCTATTGTCAAATGGTATGTCACAAAGCTGAGCTAATCGGCTATTTGGCGAGATATCGCGTGAAACAGAGGTCGTTGCAGGTTTCTTGTCTTTATCTGATTTGTTTTAGTAATGTGGGTGGTAACGTGTTGTCCACAGGGCTCCCGTTTAAAGCGCCGCAGCAAGCTGACCAGCTAGCGCAGTGTCATCACTTGCGACTGTCTCTGAAACATCTATCAGTTTCGGAGTGGTGCAAATTGATACTCTAAAAAAAACACTGCAGCCGCACATCCACCAAGAAAATCACCACTAATCGAGACAAAATGGTGCAAAATAAGATCACCGAAGTCAAAGGATTCCACCGCTCTTTCAAGGTGAGGAAATAATTCGAGGTGCTGTAATCACGCCCTTTGGGAAGCGTGCAGTCAGAGCACGTTGGTCAGCAGGCTTTTGGACTTCACCTATCTATATATATATAAACATCTGTTGCCATCCCACATCTTAATACTGACATATATAGCCTGACAACACGTGCCTGTGGAGTGAACTGAAGTCTACTTGAAATATGTTGTAGCTAATGTTACAATGTATGCAGATAATGTTGTTTTTATCTTGCTAAACAAACTTTATCATCTTGCAGACTTATCTTTTCAGGTTAGCCTTTTTTTTTTATCAGCCTGGGATAACAGCTCTTATCGGTTATGAATAACTGATAGTGAATACTTTTTAGACTACAGAGCATAACAAACATATTTGTTACTGTTCAGGGCCAAAATCCCTTTGAATCGGAGGACTTTACCAAGAATGGATCCCATCTTATTGATTCATCGTTCAATTTTGATTCTTCCCCAAGACATGGTGAGTGTTACGAATCTCTTTCTGTGAAATTCACTGTGCTTTTTAGATTGGTCTGTATATAGACAATTTTACAGCTTTCTAATGTACACATGTACGTGGGATATCCTGTAGGTATTAGACTTTTGCTGTTTTGCTTCCTTCTTGCCAGGGAATGATCCTTTTAATACTCTTATTTTGTTAGACATGCCTTCCAGCCAGCCCATTGACATTCCCGATGCCAAGAAGAGGAACAAGAAGAAAAAGCGTTGCCGGGCAACTGACAGTTTCTCTGGGAGATTTGAAGGTAAATTCCTTTTACCTTCTAATAATTGTATGTTTTTGAAAATGGATTAAAACTCAACTAAATGAATTTTTGCATCTTTTTGACACAGATGTCTACAGGCTTCAAGAAGAACTGTTGGGAGAGGGCGCTTATGCTAGAGTCCAAACTTGCATTAATCTAATCACAAACAAGGAGTATGCTGTCAAGGTAAGAAACGGACACAGTTTTATTCTCTAGGATTTGCAGAAAGTCTACAGTCATTGAATTCTAAAGAGGAGGGACATGTCAGAAAATAAGATTACTATTGTGTCCCTGTTGCTTTATTTAAAGGTCATCTTGTAGTAATCAGGTTCTTGTCCCAGATAAGCAAAAGCCCTGATCTTCTCCTAGAGATGAGGCCTCCATAGCCTGTAGGGTAAACTTCTGTACTGTTGAGTTTCTAAACGCCAACTGAAGTTATTGGACTCTTTTTTTTTTTTTTCTTTTTTTTTTCAGTTTTCAGTCTGTGAGCCTATCATGTAACTGCCAGGGATTTGCCCACCCCTTTTCTTTTATTCTTTTTGCCTACAGAGGACGCTCATAGCAAGAACATTATGTTCTGCTAACTGTGCCAAAACAAAACCCACAGAGGAAGGAGGGGTGGCGGATGAGGGTTGTGACCCAGTGTTTACACTACTTTTTCTCTCAGAATAGTTTTACTTATTTCTTTCCTTCAGGGGTGTGGACATGTGAAAGCATGTCATTGCCTCTGGGAATTTCTGCCATTGCTTTTTCTTATATAGTCTCTCATTTACATTTTACCAGCTAAAGCTTTGTCAAGTATTTAATTAGTTAAAGTATGAAGTAAAACATTTTTGTAAAGTGTTGTATAAAAACTTTGCATAATTGACCGTATTATTCTCTTTAATATTTGAGTGATCAAACACTGAATTCATTTGGCTTAGTCTCAAAATAGTTTAGTAGACGCCAAGGAACAATGCAGTTTTGGGGGAGGAGGCATGAAAGTTTGTGATTATTGGAGCTTTTCTGAGAGTTGGAGGGGCTTCAGCTTGCTCCTGCCAGATGTCCCGTCTCTCCCCTCCCCCTCCAGACATGGTGATGTTGGGGGTGGGTCGTTTGGTGTGGCCTCCTCCTATTGCAAAAGCAACAAAAGCCTCAGAGATCCAAGGACAAGCAGAGCTTTGCTGTGCAAGTCTGCTTGTGGGGCTTATAGACAAAACTTTTAAGGCTCTCAGCCATTATTTTTGCAATCCCGTGCAGATGTGGGAAAAATAAATTGAAACGAAAATTATTTATTAGTAAAAACCTCTTGTTGCTTGGATGTGTTTTGATCCATAGCTTGGATAAACTACCATAATTCTAGTGCTTTGACGTGTACATCCCCTAACCTTGGAAAGGTTGTTGTCTGTTAATTTTGTTATGATCAGGGACTGTTTGGCCTGCTGACTCAGACTGGAACGTGAGCAGGCTTAGGACTGTTCATGGATCTCTTGTCTGTGTATTAATCCTGCACACACATTGTAACTTTGTCCCCACTGGGCTTCAATACCAGCTGTAATCCAGTTACTGGGAAGGCAGGCATACATAGCCTCCCACTCGTACAATAACCAACCAGGGCTGGAAAATTCAGGCCTATTGCTTTGGTGTCAGCAGTCTATCTCTGTCTGGCAGGGTACTGTCCAGCTGGGGGCCTCTATGTGGCTTAGTTCTAGGCAGCACAGTTATTTTTAGACTATTTTTCTGTTATCATTAACTTTTTTTTTTTACTGTTGGATGTTAAAGGCTGATGCATATAGGGGGTGTCTGTGTTTAGGTTTTTTCAGTCTGGTCTTTTTTTGGCATCATTATGCACAGCTGAAAGTAGGTTAACTACTTGTCAGAGCAGGATGAAGTTTGTTTACTGTAAAACGTCGGGTGTGGTCTTGAAGGTAGCAAATTTTAAGGTACCGTGAATGGAGTATATAATCTCCCCAATGTTATTTTGTTCTAACATAAACACAGCTTTGGGCAGTGTGTGTGGCCGTGCTTTTTATTTTGTGGTGGAACTGGAGAGAGGGAAGACGACACCCATTTGTACTTGATGCAGAAGCTTTTTTTTAATTCATTTTTTTTAATCTAAAATGCTCTTAGGAAAACGTTTACGTAATGTTTCTTCATTATTATGTTACTCTGTTCCAGATCATTGAAAAAAGGCCAGGTCACAGCCGCAGCCGTGTCTTCAGAGAGGTTGAGATGCTTTACCAGTGCCAGGGCCACAGGTAATTTACTGCTGTCGTGTAAAAGCAGACCTCAACATATGTTTCATTTTGACCTTTATTTATAAACATTTTTTTTTTTCATGTTTTTGCAGGAACATCCTGGAGCTTGTAGAGTTTTTTGAAGAGGAGGACAAATTTTATCTGGTGTTTGAAAAGCTTAGAGGAGGTTAGTGCTGCTTGTAGTCTTGTTTGCATTTCTTTTAAAAATGCATATACCTGATTACAAATTATAGAAATGTTTCTTTGAATTGTTATTTTTACATTTATATTCTTAATGTAGTTGATTCACTTGCATCATTTTTCCTTGTCAGGTTCTGTTCTGGCACAGATTCACAAGAGACAGCACTTCAGTGAACAGGAAGCCAGTGTGGTTGTGCATGACATCGCCAGTGCCCTAGACTTTCTGCATAACAAGGGTAAAATAACATGAACAAAAAAAAATTTCAGCATGTCTAACGGATCTGTTTATACTTCAAATCATACTTGAAGTACATTCTTTATTTAAATTTTTGTCCTGAAACTTCCTTACAAAAGTTGAAGGTTTTCTTTTTTCTTTTTTAGGAATGGCACATAGAGACCTGAAACCTGAAAACATTCTCTGTGAAAGTTCAGACAAAGTAAGTTTATGACTATTCGTCCAAAGGGTAACAAATGGTTAGAAAATGCAAAGTCAGCATTGTTTATGATGAATCTGAAGGATTCTGTCTTGGTTTTACTCCCATCTCAAAATCGTATGAAATTAAACCTAACTGTTATATTTTTCCTGTCTAGGTTTCCCCGGTCAAAATCTGTGACTTTGACTTGGGCAGTGGTATCAAGCTGAACAGTGACAGCTCACCCATCTCTACCCCAGAACTCCTCACTCCGGTAAGCCCTCCTCCTTACTTTCCTCATCTTTAGTTTTGAATATTTTATCCACATATGTACTTTTTGTAAGAATGAAAATCAGCTTGACATTGGTTTTAATTTATGTTCAAAGCAAGGAAGAGGTCACATGAAGTGATACTCTGTCTTTGTTGAGAATAACAGGGGTGTGTTTCATGCTGTAAATGGTTGTCTTTATCAAACCTAATGGACTGATTGCCTGTCGGGCGATGCAGAGTGCTGGTTGCCTCAGCAGCTTACTGATTTTAGAGAAAGATAACTGTTTGTTGTTGTGTATATTCTCTGAAATGGCATGAACTATTTCCTGAATGGCCTCTGTTTCATATTCCCTTTGAAGTATACTTGGAAAGAAAGCTTTTAGTTAAATCTCAATGTCCTGTTCCTTATCAATAGTAAATATTGAATCCCAACAAACATTGAGGTCGTGATTGTTTAAACCTCCCATTATCGTCACAGCACAAAGTATTACTTTTGATCAGTGTCCAAAAAGGGAGTACATGGCACAGAAATGGTAAAATTGAACTAGCATGCTTTTTGCATAGGTCAGCAAGCCTGCCGTTTTTCTGTTGAGCAGAACAGATGTAACTGAGCAGGTGAAGAATTTAACTTTAGCTTGTTGGAATCTTTGGGTGGGGGGGGCTCAGACACATGCAACTTTCATCTGTATTTTCTTTCAGTTAATATAACGGGTGGAGAAGATTAGCCAAAGGCAAGGTGATTTAGAGGTGGTTTACATTTAATCTTTAGTAAACTGAATATAGTTTTGTGGCAGGGAATATTTGAATCTGTTTGTCATTTCTATTGATGGTCTCTTTTCTTCTCCAAAGGGAAATTTTGTATCTGCTTTCTACGTTGAGTCAAAACAGTTTTGACCCCTCAGGTTAGGAAATGATGTATTTGCCTGGGTAGGTGACAAAAGACACTGTCTTCAGGGTTTAGGACGTTTCATTGAAACCTAAACACAAACTCTCATTTCCCGTTTCTGCCTGTGGTGTGAGGAAAACATCCCTCTTTTAGCTCAGTCTCCGCCCAGTGGCCCCAGCCACACTTGTGCTGGTCTGCGTTTTTTTTCTCCCTTCCTTTGTTTTTCATACAATGGCTCTGCAAAAAGTGTGTTCTAGAAATTTTAGTCTCCCCCCCCACCCCCCCCACCCCCACACCTAGCAACTGAGCCGTGATTGGCTGAATCTGTGGGAGGGGGAAGGGGTGTGGGAGGGACAAAGATCCGGTTCTGGTCATGCGCTTTGGCTTGTTTTTGTTTCTTTGATCGCAAGAACAATGCTATCTGATTTTCATTTAACTATTGGCCCCAATAGTGACTGAATGAATTCAGTCATATTTACTAAGGCATGTGCTATGATTAGTATGAATAGAAGGGAATTTTCCCCACAGCAGGCTCCCTTACTTTAAATAGGAATTCTCTATATTTTTCACCAGAGATCTGGAAATATGAAAGTGTTTCGACATCAGTTCGAAACTGCTTTGAACTGGATAGTTTCAAGGAACCGTTTGTCAGAGATGCAGCTTCATGACTGAACAGGTCTTTTTCTTGTTAAGCCTCTTGCAGTAATCCTGCCAGTTCCAAACAGCAGAGGTGTGTCATCAGTGTGGTCTGACTAGTCACATGGTATCAGGAAAGCCCCAGGTTGCAATACCAAGTAGCTGTGCTGCAACAGCAGCTGATTAGCTGTTTACCGGAAGATATATGAACAGTTTGACTGACAAGGTGTGCAGGAAGAAAAAATGTGAATGAAGATTGAAGGCTGTGCCAAAGTGCAGTGATTGCCATTTTGCTGTGACCTTTGCCTTTTAAGATGCAGATGTAGGCAACTCTGGACTGGCTTTCTTTGTGTTTTGTTTACCTGCTCTGTATTTCAAGTATTTTGTTAGACTAGCTATGACTGCTTTCAAACATCATAAACCTCTTGCATTTTAGAACTCCTTGGATGGTAAAAATATAAAGCTATTCTTCTGGTTTGCTTGTGTTGAACAGCTGCATTTGGCCTAAATCCTGGAGGCTTGTCTCCGTTTGCACTCACCAGACATGTTCATGGTGGAAATGTGGGGGTGGGGATTTCTACATAGACGGCTTTGTCTGAGATGAGATTCCTTTGCAGTGAATTTTATTACATAAGGAAACAGCAGGGTGGAGGTGGAGTTTGGGGACAGCTGGTGCATGGCACTGGTACACAGTGAACTCCTACTTGGTGTAAACAGGCCCCTCTTCAGATAGTTGTATAAATGTAGTTATACTTAAACAGTTCCCACTTCTCTTTCAAATCTATTCTCACAACAACAATTCAGCTGAGTAAAAACTCTTTTCAACAATAATAAATAGCTAGTTGTTTTTACAGGTTATGTAACTATCCAGGGCTCAGCCGCGCATCTGGCTCTGCAGGACAGCCAATCCTCTTTTCCTTGCTCTGTATTTGGCCTAATTTTCTCCGTTGCTACATAAGACACTGTATGATCTGGGTTTATCCTTTCCTCCAGACTGTTCTGTCAGTCATCTAAGGCAGTGACTCAAAGCAGTTGCCTGTCCACACTCTCCCATAATGTAATATTCCTACTTAGGATCTTCCTCATGGTAGTTTAATGGCAAATTTCTTTAAATCAGTTCATCCCTGCATATAAGCATGTGACTGTCACACACACACACACACACACACACACACGCTCCCCCTTTTTCCATGCCCAAAAATAGTCTGTGAGCTTTAACACTTGCAACCACGAGGTATCAGCTGAATGGGTTGGAGCAGCAGCTAAGAGGATTGTTTCTTTTAGATGTTCTGTTTCTGCTGTTCACTTTGCTTTACATCACCCCTGGGGGCTAACAAACTTGTTTTCTTTCTCCTCAGTGTGGTTCAGCAGAGTACATGGCTCCTGAGGTAGTTGAAGCCTTCAGTGAAGAGGCTACAATTTATGACAAGCGCTGTGACCTGTGGAGCCTTGGAGTAATCCTCTACATCATGCTGAGTGGCTACCCACCGTTTGTTGGCCGCTGTGGTGGTGGCTGTGGATGGGAATTAGGAGAACCCTGCCACACCTGCCAGGTACCCCAGGACCAGAGTCGAAGAGGATAATGGGTTCTTTCTCTCTTCAGGCGCAGATAACTTATGGTTATTGTTTGCTCCTTTCCAGAACACCTTATTTGAAAGTATCCAAGAAGGAAAATACGAGTTTCCAGAGAAGGACTGGGCTCACATCTCCTCAAGTGCCAAAGACCTGATATCCAAACTTCTGGTTCGAGATGCCAAAAATCGCCTCAGTGCCAGCCAGGTGCTGCAGCACCCCTGGGTGCAAGGGGTAAGTCTGAATCAAAACTTTGATTTCACGTGTGCTGTGTTGGAATTGGTTTCTAATGAACAATTGTTTTGTTTTTTCTTTAACTATTCAGGGTGCATCTGACACTTTATCAACATCCATATTACACCAGAGGTAAGATGTCAGAGCTGTGGCTACTTGAGAAATGTTTCTGCTTTGGTTTAGCAGTTTTTGATTGTTTTTCTGTTCTTGTCCAACAGAACCAGCAGTAAAAGGGATCTGACATTTTTTGCCGACAAGGCCATGGCTGTAAACCGGCAGCTAGCTCAACAGGATGACATGGAAGAGCAACAGCAGCAGGAGGTCCCGTATGTTGTCAATGCTACTGGCTCGTCTGTGCGCCTCACTCCTCCTTCCAACTCCAAGCTGGCCCGGCGCAGGCAGCGAAACAGTCAGCCAAAAGGAGGACCCGTGTCTGCTGCAGAGCTACGTCAGCTCCTGGCCCCTCTCGTCATCGTGGGAGACTGTGCCTGAACTTTAAACTGGAATTCTGACCCTCGCTTAAGATTATGATCCAGATCAAAGATTGCTCTGAGACTCTCCTTCTCAATTTTGACCCCTCTCTCTAATTCTAGCTGGCCTTGATTCCTCTGCTATTCAGGCTTTAAAGCCACTGTAAAGGGAGATGCTGCTTACAGCCCTTTCTCTCAATGCCTTCTGCTCTTATCCAGCACTTCTGAAGCACATCAACACAGGGCCTGCAGATAAACACAATGTGTACATTCAGGTTTGGGAGGATGGTGAATTAATGATTTGGGAGATGTTCAGGGTTTTTTTTTTCTTTTCTTTTTTTTCCCCTCCCTCCATACAACTGTTCAGAAGTTGGAACTTTTTTGTTGTTTAGAACTAAGCTCAGACACCAAAGGACAACCTGTTGTGCTGCTCCCACGTTTCAACTGGATCCACTGTGAATTAAGTTATCTGGAATGTTCTCTTTGCCTGTATGTATATGCATGAAAGGCCCATCTGCAGATACATACAAGCTTATGCAATATGCCAAGATGAAGGCTGTTCTGTCTCAAAAGGATTTAGTTTATGGGGTCGGAGGGGCTGTAAGCCAATGCTGTCTGTGCCTGGTATGGTCCATTATGTCACTTGGGACTCCTCAAGGATTTTCTTTCCTTCATTAAGTTGAATTCCTCACATCTGAGCCTCTTCTGTTAATGTCTGAGAAGGCACATGCACTCATCCAGCTTGGTGGCCATGCACTTAATGCTTCAAGAGCTAAGAATGTTCACCTGTGCCCTATGAGCTGTAACTTACCATTTCACCAATCCATAGTTTTATGTGACCATATGACAAATTAGTAGTGGCCACAGCACTTGTTAAATGCTGTCGGGCAGGTCTAATGGTATACAGTTGTTTAACTTGGTTATGGTGTATAGCGACCCCAAAAAGAGTATTTTGGTTGGTACAGGCTAATTCTTGACGTTAAAAATGGCTTCACAAATGAGTTGGAGTCAGTGGTACTTTCATTGTAAAGAATCCATGGCATATCCCCTGCTATAACAAGAATTTTTATTTTTTAATTTTTGATTTTTCTTTTTTTTTTTTTTTTTTTTTTCTATAAATGAATTTCTATATATTCAAACTTAAATATTTTGTCAGTAAAAGAACTCCTGCAAGGGGGTTTGAAAAGCACATTTTGGCCGCTGTGACCAGAGTGTAATTTGTTGATCAAATACATTTAATTTATTTGGACCATTTTCTCTAAAAGTGTTGCCATTGGGTTTTTTTTATTTTTTATTTTTTCCTTCCCCAGAGCACACCCCTTTCTGAGCTAAATTTTATTACAATTAAGATACATGAGATTTTACTAAAGAAAAAAAAAAAGGAAAACATTCCAAAAAAAAATCCTCCACCTTTAGCTGTATTAAGTTTACTTTATTTTTCATGTTTGAAAACTCCAATGTGCCACTTTTTTTCTTTTATATTGCTGTCAAGCTTTCATCTTGTGTATGAATTTTATTCAGGTGCTGTTCAGGTGAAACACCAGATATTTTCCTTTATTTTTTTTTTTAAAGTTCAGTTGTATGAGGCAAGATGGAAAGTGTTTGCCCACTGAAGGAATTTTTTTTATGTCTAACAGCTGGCAATAATAATTCAGATAAGTTGGAGCTCATTCTGTAACGGGCAGGTTATGGACCGGTGATGAGGTCTCAGCACTGTAGCCATTTCACCAAAGAGTGTTCATGTCATGACATTTAAAAAAAACCTGGTCAACACCTAGCAGTAGGGAAACCTCTGATTCCATGTCCTGTTGCCAGCACTGCAGCGATGGTACTCTGGAAATGGTGTCAAAGGACTCGTTATGCTGATAATAGAACACTGTAATAGTTCTAAAAATACCTTTCTACAGATGCATCTTTCTGGTGTTTATGTCTTATAATAAGACTTACTTGAATTTGTGTATGCAGCTGTTTTCTCTAGTTTTGGAAACTACTTTGCTATCAGTAATCTTAAAGCATTAAGCTGAAGATCAAGGCAATCGAAGATGGTCTAAAAAAACCTTTACAGTTCAGTATTCTGCCTTTTTTTTTTCTCCCTCTGAGCTTCATACAAGTTAGCCCCTACTTTTTGATAGGGTTGGATACTTAAACGCACAGACTTTGACCATACTCTAATACCCTGACGGGTATAGTAAGAGTTTTCTTGGTCATGACCATTTCTACTATCTGTCCAACGGCAGTTTTTTCTCTTTAAAAGGGCAAAGATGTTAAAATATCCTACAGCCTTTGAGTTGTGTATAGTTTGTCGATTTGAAGTTAAGTGTTAAAGTTCAGTCATTCAGATGGACAGTATCACCAACTTTCCCCACAGTTTGAATGTAGCCATCAGGCAAAGCATTTACAATCCAGCAACATTGCTCCAATGTTCTATAAATGGCTCCTTGTCACAGGCATGATGTGGGGTTATTCTGTTTATCTGACAGTCTTCAAGCGTTTTGAGCCAACGCCTGATATATATTTTTTTTAACACTGAATTGCCCCAAGCCCTTGTGTTCAGGTGGGAGAAATTTATCATAAAAGAACATTGATTTAAAATATGCACTTTACTGTACCATGTGAATGATTGCAGTTCACTCAAGGCAACATTTATGAACAGTTGATACATAATTTTGTATTGTTTTCTATAAAAATAAAAAAAAATGCAATAAAATGCTTTGAACTTCAGTGTGCTGATTACTTTGAATTGTTTAATGTATTTTAAGGTTAAACTCTGAAACTGATAAGCACTCTTTCCAGTATCACTTGTTTCATATTAACCAGCAGTCTTATCTTTTTGGCCAAGGCTGAGGCCATTTAATCTGATTCTGTAAGGTAAAGTCCTATCAGAGGCACTTCCTGATATGTGGGCAGACCATTGCTTATGTCCTTGGCTGTTAGTAAATATGAGCTCACTTGTCTCCACACGTACAGAAATGTGTCTGTGGTTTCACCTTGCATTAGTCACATGGAGAGCAGAGGGGGTTGCTTTTCTCAGAAAGCTGGGCCCCATCTGACGAGCCTGATGCAACCTGCTGCAAGGGCTGCAGCTCCCGGGTGCCAGCTCGTGATCTCCCTGAAGGTCCAAAAAGGATGACTGAACACCAACTGAAGATTTCAACATTTGTGCAAGGCAGGATTTGTTACCACCTGTAGGCAATTGGCAGCGCAAAGAAACACATGAACTATAACATGCTAATATTGAATCAGAGTTCATCTGCCATTTTCTTTTAAAGAGCTACATGTGACTGCATCAGCTCTGTTCAAGCAAAAAAACAAAAACAAAAAAAAACATTTCCGTTTGTGTACTTTCCAAATACAGCCCATTTACAGATTACAAAGTACATGGTTTCTGCAACCCTAAAAACACACCCAAAAAAATCCTGTCTGTTGCATAACTTTCATTTCAACCGTCATCAGGCATGTGGAAATAAAATGATGCAACAGCAGAGCGTTTTCTGTACAGCAGCTGCAGGACGGGTGATTCCAGGTGAAGGTGTCCCTCTGCTGGACAGCGCGCGCAGACGCACAAGAAACATCAGGCAACATTTGCCTCAAAAGTGCATCCTCATGGGATTTCATTTAGTCAAGGAAGCATTGCATTATTTTCTCAGGGGATACATTTCAACGTGAAATCCAACATTAAGAAGAGTGAGTCCTGTGTGGGTTAATATGGTTAGAGTTCAAAATGTAGTTCTGCATTCAGAAAGTTTTTTATTTATTTTTTTTTATTTATTTTTTTTAAGTTAGGCAATTGATCCCATTCCAGCCAGTGAGGTCAAACGACACATTTGATGTTTTTGTTTTCTAACTGAACAAATCTGTCAACATTGGATCTTTGTTTATGGGGAGAACTACAAATGAATCCTTATGAAGTTCTTAAAACGCCAGGTATTTTGGTGTAAAAAAAAATCTCACATTGGGGTCATATTACTCTAAAATAAAAATAAAAAGATTTATAAAGACAGCTTACTGTACGTAATTCTGCATTGAAATCCTCCAGCTTTTCATTTAGTCTTAACAACAGGGGAAGAGTTGATAATCAATTGGATTATTCCCACCTGTGCTTCTAACTGTTCTCAGATCATCAGCAATGGCTGCCACATTTAAGCCCATTTGGCATTGAAACGGGCAGTTTTATAAACTAAAAAAAGGCTGGCACATGGCCATAAGCGCATGTTCGGACGCACTAGGCTCCTAGTATACAGGAAAACACACGAACGTTGACCGAATTTTAAAGGATTTTGTCGGTGAATAAATAAGTAAAAGACATGCATGCTCTGGAATATTTGACACACCTACCCTAATGTGTTCCTTGGAGTCAAAAATAATTTACCCTCCAGGGGAAAAAAAAACCCATTATAATAATGACAGCAGACACTGCCAGAACAACAGAAACCATCTAGGTGCCAACACAGATTGGCCTCGCGGGTCCCAGGTGCAGAAATACCACCAATTATCCTGTCGCTGATTACCTGCTGCTACACCTGGGAACAGTACCACGTGACTGTGAGGCGTTTACAAAAACCCTGAGCAACGGTTTGCCTAAACTTTGCCATTGGAGCGGGAGGTAGGTTCGAGGATCCATCTGGGAGGCGTTTAAAATTTAAGATGAGTTTTGACGCAGAAGGCCTGCTTGCTTAAAAAACATAATGCCCTTAGAAAGATAATCTTGTTACGAAACGCTAGTGTTTACTTATTTTAAGTAATTTGAGAGCCAATAGTCTGTTCACGTGTTTTTAAACGGTAAATGTTATATCGTAATTGAGAAGTTAACCAGTTTAGTACTGTAACATTTTGTCGTGTAACTATGAATTTAAAGATACTTTGCATTTAAACCGTAATACAAATATGAAGTAACTGGAGGGTGGCATATGTTTCTTGATTAAAGACTTTGCCTAAAGGGAACAGAAGAAAAGTATCTCAAGACTGCGTAAATCAATGTTGATTTTCATTTTAGACCTGGCAAAGATGAGTGTCTCGGTGACTAAAGGCTGTGAACCTGGAGCATAATAAAGAAAATGGTTTTCAAGGATTTATTGGTGGCTGTGCGAAAACGTGTAGCTTTTCCAGTCGAAAGACTGGATTCCTCTGAAATAAAACGTGTTCAATCCCATGTCTCATTTATTATGACCCAACACATTGATATAATAGGTTTATTGATCTTAAATCCAGCTTAAATGCAACACTGCAGATACTGCTTGATAATGATACTTGATGATATTGATAAACAGGTTGTCAAATATGTCTTTTTCAATAAACTCTTATCTGCACTCTCCTGAAGTGGTTTTGGAGTTGTATTCCTTTCCTCCTTATCGTGTTGTGACGTAATTGAACGTGGCGTGTGGAAGTCCACGCGAGACTTCAATTCTCTGGTCCAATCCAACATGGCGCCTTAGGGACCTTGTTATTGTTTCGTCGCTCCTACAAGAGTTTGCCGTGCTTTTGAAATTCTAGACGGAAAGAAACACCGGCGTGGTCTTGCGGGCATGCGACACACATCAGGAGATAATGTTAAGATCCACCGGCTTCTTCCGTGGGATTGACTGTCCGTTTTATGCGGATTACAACGACAGCAAAGGCGACAGAAATGGGTGTAACAGACCGTACTGTCACTTCAGGCACAGCCAGCAAAGACGGTCCCAGTACGGAGCACCGGCAGACGTTAAAAAGCAAAGAGACCTTCAACTCGGACAAAAAGGTGCTAACTCAAATACAGGATTGACTTGATTAACATAGCATCTGTGTCCGTGTCAGTGTGTAAGAGGAATGTTGTAGACTTGACTCGAAGTGCTGAGAACGTGTAAAACAAAAAAGCAAATAAAAGCAATAGATGAAAAGTGGGTTTTCGTTACCATGCGGACTGAGAGTTGAGACAGTTAAGTCAGTATCCCACACCAGTTAAGTGTCATAGAGCTTCAGACATATGTAACTGTGCGGAAAATATGCTACCAGACATAACAATGTCATTCATTTAAAAGGAAGGCCATCGAGAAGAATGCATTTAGATGTTATTTGTGACTTTGAAAACCTTAAAATTGTGCTCTGTGGGGTTTTTTCTCCTGGAAATCCCCCAGTGATGTAAGGAAATTTCGAAAACTGAACTGAAAGCTTGTCCATACAATGTAAGAGAAAAGTAAAAAGGTAAATTAGTCCTGAAAATATTTATTTAGATTAGCCAAGGCTCCCATTTGGATCTCCAACATGTCAGTTTCATAAACTGAAGAGTTCCTAGTACAAATCACCACTCATTCTTTGAATGTGAATATTGTTTTCCCATAGCATAACAAAGACAGCAATACCTAGAGGAGCAGAGATAATTATTTAAGCATAACAAACAGAAATTACAAAAGCAAAAAGGTGTGTTTAAATCAGTCTATTAACTAAATTGGTAAACCGTCAATCTCAGTAGTAGTGTGTTCTTCGTATTGTCTTCTCTTTCTATGAAAATTCGTCATAAGAGCAGAGACCAGAAAATCAAGTTGGCTCTTGTGCAAATCATTTTATTGATGAACTTCACATTTCTGTCATGTGGTTTGATTCCTGCTTGTTTAATTTCCTTGCCTTTGTGTTGTTGAACTTGTCTGATTGAAGATCTGTTTCCGAATTATTGGGTTAAGATCCGACTTGCTGAATAGGAATATTTGGTCTAATAGGATGGACAGAACGATACTGTGATGAACTAAGTTTCCGTAATAAAGCTTTGCAGTGATGATTAGATGGTTAATGGTCACATATGCTGCCGTAAAGAGCTAAAATCACTCCTTCCTTTCAGAACTGGGTTATGACCCCTTCAATCCCAAAGTAGTGAGACCACAGGAGCAGCAGAATGAAAAGCAAGCCTCGGCCGACATCACCGGCGCTCTGGAGCTGGTCAACAGGGCCATCGAGGAGGTCCGCAGCGAGGTGGAGCGGGAGAAGAGGAAGCTCTCTCGGATTGGGGATGAGCCATACGATCCCAGTGAGGGTAACCGTTTATCTTCATCCGAGGCTGCTCATAGCAAAGCAGCAGCTTCACATCTGGCCTATGATCCGGGCAATTACAAGAGCTCACCAGGGGGGTACAATCCCACCCCCACCTCTGGGTGCAGCAAGTACACCTTGGATTCAGACAATCAGGGGAACAGTAACTCAATGGAGTACGTTCCAACGTCATTGAAAAAGCCCTCATCTCGGACACAGTTGCAGCACCTCCCCTCTCCTCCCCCTAGCCCAAAGTATTCAAGCAGCACACCCTCCTCAAAGTGCAAGTACACCGTTGACAATTCTAAACCATCCACGGATATGGAGTATGACCCAATGTCCAACTATGCAGCTGGGATCGCCGTGAAAAGCAAGCGGGACAGGGGTACCCAAAGGAAAACCGAATGCAAAAAGGCACTCAAGCTATCAGAGCCAGATGTGTCAGAGGAGGAGTGCTCTGCAGTTGGGAAAAAGCCATGGCAACCGAACACAGACACGAAAAAGTACACTATATCTGACTCTGATGGGGAGAGCTCGGGGACAGAGTATCGACCCACTTCACTGAGTAATCTCCAACAAAGGAAAGGGAATATAGGGTTATCTGGAAGAACTTTTGGAAAGGACAGAAGAGAGAGGACTGACAGTTTACTTGGTGCGCTGTCACAGAGGAATAAAGAGCAGCTAGCACAGGACTCGGACATCCGGGAAAATATTAAAGGAAAAGACATGGAAAAAAAGAAGGGGGCTAGTAGTCACGAGAAGAGAGGCAAAACTGATTTAAAGAAATCATTGAACAGCACGAGTAACAGCAGCAGTAGCAAAGACAAAGGGTCAGCAAAGAACTCTAACCAGGACTCTGCCAAGAAAGAGAACAAGAGTCACACAAAAATGGATGACAGGAAAAATACAGTGAAGAGTAAGACATCAGATAAAGTTCAGAGGGAAGGCAGAGATGAAAAGAGAAGCGATGAGAAGATCAGGACAGGGGAAAAATTGAAAAGAGACTCAAGTCAACAAGATAAAGATGTACGAGAAGTAAAAAAGATGAAAACATCAGACAGAGAAAAAGATAAGGAGCACCGAAACTACAAAGAACACCAGCACCAAAATGGTAAAGGTGACATCAGTAAGAAAGAAAAAGATGTAAAGAAAATTATTAAAAGGAGTCATAGCGGCAGTAAAGCTAGTTTAATCAACAGTAAAGAGAAAGGAAAGCAAAGCATCAGCTCATCAAACGGGAAAAAGACAGAGAACAAGAAGCAGAATCTGAGTCTGAGCCACGTAGATCTGTTTGGAGACGAGAGCCCAGATGAGGCTCAACCCATCCAAATGGATTTTGAGGACGAGCCGGAGGAAGTGCTGGTGAGGAAATCGGCTGACGCCCTGAAGAGGGGCCGTCTGAACAAGAGGAAGGCTTCAGAGCAGACTCCGTCTTCCTCTGAGGATGAAGGTGATCGCGGGGTGGAAGACAGCGGGGCTTGTCAGGACGAGGTTGACGGCGTTGGGATGGACTTTTCCAGCTTTCAGGATTATCTGGACTTTGACTCAGATCCAATGGAGGAGTGTTTGAGGATCTTCAATGAATCCAAAGATGTGAAGAGAGAAGACAAGGGAAGGCAAGCAAAGCAGGTACTTTGGCTTTACACGTGCACTTATCTTTCAAACACCGAATGCTGTCTGCTTACTCTGCATCCCCTGAATCTAATTTGTTCTCTTTCAGCCTTCTGGGGATTCGGAGGAGGAGAAAACCACAGATAGCACTTTAACCACTCTCATCCCGGGTCAGAAGAAGAGGGTGTCTCATTTTGTTGCCAAAGGGAATGTGAGTTTGTCACCCTGAATCTCAGAGTACAGCTTTTGCAAACATCTCCACAGCATCACAGATCCATCACAACCATCCCTGAGGGATAACGATCACCAAACTGCTTTAGTTTAAATTAAGGCTAAAGCTCCTCTGGTCAATCTCATGTTTTGGCAGTTAAGTGCTTGGTTTGAGTGTGCAGACTCAAATCAGAAAATGAGCTTCTAACAGGGTAAAAGACGAATAGTGAAGTGAAGATATTTGGGAGCTGATGAGCAAGCTCAAAGTCATTGAGGAAACAAAACGTAACATGTGGTTGTTTTTCCTGTGTTATATAATTGGAATGTACAACCTACAAAGTGACAAGTTTACGAGTCAATTGCTTTCATTTTAGCATCATACCAACATGTTACATTCCAGTAATCTGCTTCCTGTTGCTGTTTCTCAGACCGATGCACCATCAAAGGCCGTCGTACGGCCGTACAAGAGACCCACGGCGCAGGAGATGTGCTACCAGCGCATGCAGATGGCGCAGCAGCAAGCCACTCAGCTCTCGGCCGCAGTCAAAGCCGCCTCGGAGAGAGTCCCAGAAAGTCCCGGCTTTTCTGGAGAAAGGAAGAGAATAGCTCACCGTCCTAACCCATTTACGTCATCCTCAAAAACAAGTACGAGTGTCTCTCAGCCAGGGTGGAACTGCGGGCTCCATATCGATGCACCGCTCAGAAACGCTCCCTGACTTTGAGAAGCTGAAGTAACGAGTGTGTGTATGTGCGTTTGTCTGACCAGGCCCCAGAGGTGGTAAACCAGCCGCAAGTCAAGTTTTAAGCCCCGGTCAGACCCATCAGGGTGTCAAAGCCCAAACCACAGCCGGCATTTTATCCAAAACCTCATCTACAGCTCAGCAAAAGCGGATGGCACACACCCCCACCATGAAGGTTCCCAGAGCTTTCTTTAACTTCTGCCCATCAGCTTGTGATATTTCCATCCCCTTTTTTTGCGTTTCTTAAGTGTTTGTATCATATGTAAAGCCTCATTGTTTGTTCCCGTTCTTGTACCTTTTCAGAGCACTTCAATGAAGCGTCCCGTCATTCCCTCTGACTTTGGGGCCAAGGTTCCCACCAACATCCGTCAGCGCTACCTCAACACTTTCATAGATGAATGCGTTAAATTTTGCTCATCGGAGGAAGCTGCTTTCCACATGGTATGAGCAGCATCTGTCAGGTTCACCTAACAGAGATGTGCCGTGTAGAGCTTTAGAAAGAAGACAAACTTTTTCATTGGCAGAAGCTGCAATTCCATCACTGACTGTTGTGTAATTTTGCCTCAGGGCCTACAGGAGGAGAAGCTGGTGTACGACCGCAGTAGCAGTAAGAACATCTACCTCAATGTAGCCGTCAACACGCTGAAGAAACTCCGGAGCAAGAGCAGCTCCTGTCCGTCAGCTGCCAGCAGTAGGTGGCCTCGGCCCCATGCATTCACGCCGAACGCTGGGCCCTTCGCACAGATTTCTCCACCTGTTCCTGTTTCCGCAGAGGTATCTGGGTCAGCTGTTAAACGGAGGGCCCAGTCCCACGAGGAAGTGCTGGGAGGTCGCCTTGCGGCCACCACGAGCTTCACTGTGAACAGGTCGGGTAAACACCAGGAGGAGAAACTCGCTGGTGAGCAGGGATCACATGAGGGATCATGATTCTTTTTCTTTTTTTCTTTCTTATTTAATCTGCGGTGAAAATGATACTTTTTTTCTTCCCTTGGCTTCTTTTCCTCTCTCAGCTGATCAAATTTGTCGCAACAGAAAGAGTCAGATTATACCTCAGATAAAACTCTACAGGGGTAAAAAAAAAAAAAACCCTGAATGAATCTTTGTTTCAGGTTGAGACTTGTAAGCTGTTGTTTGCTCTGTGTTGATGCTGCCTCATAGTAACAGTGAAGCAGATACCCACGTGAGAACCTCCATATCCTGTTTACTGCTAACTACCTTTCCCGTGACCTGACATCAGAGGACGCTTATTTACAAGACTACCAGGAAGTGAACTAATAAATCCTTCTCTGCTTGTTTGAAAATGAGGAGCTCCTACATATGTGGAATGCTCAGGATGGAAAGACACATATATATATTTATGTATATATAATTTGTCTATTTTTGCCAAGAAAGACAAGTTCTGCCGTTTGACTGAGTGTGTGAAAATAGCAACACTGACAAACTGACCCTTTTAAGGGAGATATTCAACTGGAATTTTGTACCTGCAAACACACGCTCTTGCTCTGACAACATATCTTGCTTTAGCAGGCTTTTTTTTCCAGCCACCGATTAAGATCATCTCTGATCAGTTTTTGCACCAGCTTGCACAGGTTTATTCGTCACTGAACAAAGACGGTCTTGTGTCTCTGTCTGCTCTCAGGAGCCAGTCTGTACAGGAAGCTGAATGCGTATTTGATGACAGAGGAGCAGCTCCAGGAGCACGGATACCCGAGGACAAACCTCGAGGCCCCAGGCAAAGCAGTGATCCACAACGCCCCGGAGAAAAAGGCCGTTACAGACCGTCAGTCACTAACACCGACACATTTGATCTGGGATCGACTTTAATTTGAACGTTGAATGATTTTTTTCCCAATCATTTTTCAGCATTTACGAAGATATGCTGTCGCTGTGGTGCAGAGTACAAGATCAACATCAACGGCAACTGTGTGCGGAAAGAGGAATGCAGTTATCACTGGGGGCGTTTACGCAGGCATAAAGGTGAAAGCCCGATGAGCACACAGCAGAATCAGGAATGGGTCAGCCTCTCCCCGCTCTTGTATTTATCTACATCTCACTCTGTATTTCTGTCCTCTTACCCTCGATAAGTTGCTGGAGGCTGGGAGACCAACTATAGCTGCTGCGCTTCAGCCGTGGGAGCCTCAGGGTGCCAAACTTCCAAGGTTAGAACAAGCCCACATGCACAATGGGCATGTGAACTCTGCATTTTGGGCTTAATCAGCTGTGCAGCTTTACGAGAAACACCTACAAGTGAGGCTTGTGTTGTGGCATTTTTTTATATAAGAGTCTTAGTACGTCTGAGGAAGCAAGGAATAGATATTTATTAAAAGGAGAAATCAAACTTGATGATGTGAGAGCGACCCAGCACGACGTGAACTGTACGATGTACCAAACCGCTCTGCCTGTACAGAAATTTGTATCGCTATTTATTGACCCAAGAATCTAGTTAGCAAGGCCTAACCTTCCTTTAGGATAAGATATCCTGTGAACAGTGAATAGTGGGCACTTCAAGGGTACTGTATTTGTATAAGACAGTAAACTGTAAATGCTGCGAGAGTACATGACATACTGGCATTTTCCCTCTACTTTTCCTCAAAAAGGGGAAAAAGGGCAACAGTTTCCTTGGTAACATAAAGACTGGGGATAAAGATTTTAATACCAGAATACAGCATATCAGTGAACCTGAACATAGTGAATGCGCAGCCTTTTCTGTAAATAGGCAAACAGGCCCTGACTCCAGTGGGTAATGGTAGAGTATTTTAGGGAGCACGAGAGATCATTTTCACTCATAGATTGAGCATTTTTACAATTTCAAGAGACTCTACTTGTTCCATGTATTTATTTCAAATGGTCATGCGGTGACTGAGAAAGTTCTTTTTCCCTCAGCAACATGTCCAGGACGGGCGTAAAGAGTCAGTGGACGGCTTTGTGTCAACCTTCAGCAAATTACTGCCCCCGGACGGAAATGGAGGAGTGTTTGCTTTGGACTGTGAGATGGTGAGTCACACTGGAGCACCCAGAGCCCTGTTGGCCTGGAAATGCTGCGCGTGTTCGATCGAAGAATTGATGTGTGCGAGACCAACCCCCCCCCGGTCTAAGGGTTTTTCTTCCCTCCCTGTGGAAACAGTGCTACACAAAGCAAGGCCTGGAGCTGACGAGGGTGACGGTCATCGACTCTGAGATGAAAGTCATCTACGACACGTTTGTCAAACCCGAGAGCAAAGTGGTCGACTACAACACACGGTGGGTGGTCGCAGGGTACCGCCGTCACGTGGGGATTTCTGAAAGAGGGAGGATCTCTTTGGAGTAGCCTTCCACTCGTGCTCCCTCAAGTTCAGGCAAAACAGCTGACGGCCACTTCCTAAATTTGAACGTTTTTGTAGCCACTACAATCCTGATCAAGTTTTATTTGATAAGTTAGGCGCCGGCAGATGTAATCATGAAGAAATGCTCGTGGGCACAGGGCCTCAGTCTGAACGCCTCTGGCTTTTAAAGAGCTACCGCGTTTTCTAAGGATCTCTGTGTGCTGCACCGTTCGACAGATTTTCAGGCGTGACGGAGGAAGACCTGGAGAACACCACCATCACTCTGAGGGACGTTCAGGCGGTGCTGCTCAGCATGTTCAGCGCTGAATCCATCCTCATCGGACACAGTCTGGAGAGCGACCTCCTGGCTCTGAAGGTGAGGCTCTTCTCCATCTCCTGTCTTCGAGAAGCTTTATAAAGTGTCAGTTTTTAACTGAAGTTTGATGGCTAAAAACAGTATGCGTTGTCTGGAAGTCAGAATTCGACAGCTATGCATTTATTTGGTGGGACACTATAGTGTGTTATTAAAATAACCACTTTGGTGGAAGACCTGTGTTTCAAAGGTCTAAAATCTTTTTTTTTCTTTTCCTAAGACCCTGAGTACCCATATGAGGACATTACCTTTTTGGCTTTCTTTACCATGATACTTAATTGTTATTCGACTTTGACCTATTGGCCTCGTAGTAGACAGTAACAGAGACTAATGTTTGAAACTGATATAAAATGCCCTTATATGGTTTCAACCAATTATGTTTTTATTGTGTAATTGAAGTAGTCTAATCGAGTCATTTGGCTCTTCAGCACCAAATTTTAAAGAAAATGTTAATAAACACAAATTTTACATAGATAGATAAATCCACTGTCCTCACATGAGGAACTAGACTGTCATGGTACAGGTCGTTTACTTGTACCACTACAGTCTGGTTATTAAACTCATTAGGTCCTAATTAGGTCCACATTTACCAGAGAAAGCAAGAATCCAAAGCGATATAAAAGTCTCTGGAGATTGAAGGAGAAATTGTTTTTTGTAGCCACCTACTGTGGGCTGCATGTTGAAACAAAAATGAAGACCTTTAAAACGCCCTCTTTGTCCGTCTCAATTGCAGCTCATCCACAGTTCAGTCGTGGACACGGCCATCGTGTTCCCCCACCGCCTCGGTCTGCCCTACAAACGTGCCTTGAAGAACCTGATGGCTGACCACCTGAAGCGTATCATCCAGGACAATGGTGAGAGACGGCCGAACCTGCAGCCATTAAATACAGTCTGTTTCAGGGGAATTCTGAAGGAAAAATGTGGTCCATCCACCAGCAGATGGCGCTGTGGAGGTTTTTGCATTTTAAAAAAACGCCTCAGATCAGCCGGATCTCTGTTCTTGTGTCCATTTAGGACTGTCTGTGACTTAAGGAAAATATCAATCCTTCTGAAGCATTGTTGTGATAAAATCAGTGAGAGGTTTAAGCTGAGACGTTCTTGTGTTTCCAGTGGAGGGTCACGACTCAAGCGAGGATGCGTCTGCCTGCATGGAGCTGATGATCTGGAAGATTAAGGAGGACGCAAAGGTCAAAAGATGACCTCTGATATTCCCGCTCTGCTTTCATCAGTAGGACTTCCTGCATTCGTGTTGGAGGCGGGGAGGCGAGGGGATCAGCGGGCTCTCTGAGAGTTTAGGTCAAAGTTGCGAGGAGGAGGAGGAGGATGGTTCAGCACAGTCTGAACCTCAGGAGAACATCAGTATTGTTCAACTGCATCTGAGAAGAGGTTGTCTGCACTTTCAAAGCAATAGGAACCTAAATTAACAATGTTTTCATTTGCTTATTGATACTTCAGTTCTAAATTATGTCTGCTAAGGAATATTTGTTCAATATTTGATCAGTGTATTTTCAAGCCCTCATAACATTTTGACAAATAAACCTTTTTTTTTGTGGAAGTACTACTTAAAAAGCAGGAGCCTTTCCTGCTGAGCGTCAATGGTTACAACAGTAAACACGCTGGGCTAGCTCCTCCAGCCCATCTTGCACTATTCTAGAAATGCTCCTGATATTTAGGGCCCAAGTCTGAGTACCTCATGTGTGCTGTGACACATTCACTTCTTCTTGGTTTCTCTTCGGTGCACCGATGTCTTAGTCTGTTGGACACTGCTATGTGGATGCACTCGTGTTTCTCACCTGCACCTAGTTTCTTGTCAACGTGGCGGTTCTTGTTCATTTTTTAGGTTGGTTCTCAAACCTCACAAATCCTTCAATACTTGATCATTTAAAAAGGACCCTGAGTAGAAATACACATCCTCTGCTTCTACCTTTGTGGTTCAGTCATTGGAGTTATTGGCTGCGCTTCGTAGCGGAGGTACTGCGTCCGTGTTAAGTCGAAACTGTGGGGAATCTTTGTAACACCGCTTTATTCCTCCATAAAATGTCCAAATTAGATGATGCTATTATGCCTGGGCTCCTAATTGCAAACTGTCATCAGCTAACCTGTGCCGTTTTATGTTGACAAAGAATGAAAATATACCGGAGAGCTGTAAATACGCTGTAAGCAGCTTCATTTGTACCTGTTCTTTTTTTTCTGGTTGTTTATCTTTTTCTATTAAATGGTATTAGTAAAAAAAAAAAAAGGTTGGTCTGTTTTCCCATCACAACACTTCTCTGTGCACTGCAGGGGTGGCACACTTGAACAAAGGGTTCATTTTCATTTGGGTATTTGTACCCTCTTTATGTGACTATGAGTTTTTTTCCAAATACCGCGCATTACACTTGATAAGAAACATCTGTCAGCCTTTGTATTCATGTAATGATTAATGACCTTTAGGGAAGGTTTTTTGTTTTTCCCATTGCTTTTGCAGTCACGTTTTTCATCTAATGCACATTTCCAACTTGATAATATGCAATGGTCCTGTAGGAGCCTCTGGATGAAACAGAAAACAATCCCCTCCATGATTACTCATTTTTCTGCTCTGTTTCTGTATCTTAGACTGCTCCTCCAAAACTCATGTTAATTTGGGAGTCTAATTGCAGTGTCGCGTAGAAAACTGGGATTATAACCAAAGTGTCCACCTCGTCCAGTTGGGACATGTGTCCCGCTGCACGTCTTCAATAGTTTTTCTGTACTTGCTGAAATTTAGAGGAAGTTCATTCCAGCATTTTATGCTTGAAATCTTGGAATGCATATTTCTGTATTTAAACAAGGCTAGATAACATGTTTGCTTTCAGAAATTGCTCTAAAGCCATCAAAAGTTTACATCTTAATGGTTTGAAAATAAAAATCTGGAGCTACGGAAAAAAAGAGGAAATCTGAGCTACGATGGAATAGCTTTATAAGGTAATATTTTTTGACACAGTAACATTTTTCTAAACTTCAATTTGCATCCATTGTTGGTGAACTTTGCTGTATTCCTCCTCTGACAGCCTCCTCCTGCACTAACACACAAAAAGTCTCTGACAGTGCGACAGCTGCTTCGCGTGGTCTATATGTCCCTTTAACAGCAGGTGCAGAGAGGGAATTCTCCTTTCCTCAGCAGATGTGTAACTTGTAGAAAAAAAGAAAATAAGAGCGAAATGCTAAACTGAGAGGCCCATCCTTTCTTCGGTGTGTTTGCCTATTAAGCTCTTCCCCTCACATGTCAGGATGCATTTCCCCGGGCCAGGCCGCAGACCCCAGGTATGAAAAGAGCCAGTTAGCGAGGATCAATACCTACACAATGTTAGAGTGACAGGGAGGGGGGCTTCCGAGTGTTTGCAGAGTGTTCCAGAGATTTTTAACATGTGGAGCAAAGCAGCTTAAAGGGGTCGTCTTCATTATCAAATTCGATCAGAGGCTTTCTGTCTCTCCCCGTGATCACCTTTAACCAGAGGGGGTCACGAGGGGAAAGCTGTGGATCCGGGCTCTTAAATTGACCACATGCTAAGAGATGAAGAGCTACATTATCTCTTCAAGAGCCAGAGAAAAGAAATACTTTACCGGCTCAATCCCGAATGGAGGGGATTAGTGGAGTAAGTGGCGACAAGTTTGTTGTTCAAATAATTAAATTAAGCTGAGGGTTATGAGAAAAATACTTTTTTTTTGTTAAATTCTTTGCATTTGCTGCCTTTTTTATCCTCAGCTTTGATAAAATGAGGAAATATAAGCTTGACATTTGATGTTCGACAATTGATTATATATACAATACTCATGGTTATACAGATGGTTGTGTTGTTATACAGAAATGAATCCAAAATAACAAATCCAGACGCCTCATCAACAGAAATCCCAAAGTTCAAATTGTAAATAAAAACCGATCAACTGACATTTTCAAAAATCAGAATCAGAATCTGATTCTGATTCTGATTCTGATTCTGATTCTGATTCTGATTCTGATTTTTGAAAATGTCAATCTTACATTTAAATAAAAAAATTAATCCAAACAGAAAAAGCAATGTTTAAAATGCAAACTTTGATACTTTTTCACAGAAAAAAGCTAAAAGGGAAACAACAAAGAATGCAACTCACACCTGCCACAGCTCTCTGACATTAGTCTCTGACACCAATTTCTATTCAAACATAAAATGATCTAAACCCAGTAAAGATCTCTCATTTTGAACATTTTAGATGTGGTCTTTTGGTCTTTTCCCCTAAGCATCAGATCTGCTCTGTTCCGTGTTTCTGCTCTTCCGTGGAGATTCCTGGGGCTCTAAGATGTCTGGATTTTTGCTCATTTCAGCCGCAGAGGTCTGGGGTAAAAAACTAATTCCTTTTTTAGTACGTGCAAAACTTGTTCTTTGTTTCTTTGTGTTTCCACGGCTAACACAGAGGGTGTTGTTGAAAAGGCTTGAGAGGAGCTGCCGACGTCACCCCGGTGCCCCGGTCTGGCCCGCTGTGGGCGCTCTTGACCCCGGGGACAAGCACAGCTGCGGGTCCCCCCGCCGTCCATCTTTAATCTATTGCTCTAATCGGAGAATGATCTTTCCTCAGTCTCTGGTATTGATTTGCTCGTGTAGCTGCTCCCAGAGGCTTTAAAATACATCATAGGAAGATAATTGGAAGTTAATGAAGCTCCATGTCGTATAAAAGAAGACCTCAAATTGATTCTCATTACTTCATTCAAGCCCGGAAAATGGATCGAGTTTATTTTTTTTTTCTCGTTTTTGCCTTTATGATTGTCATAAAACCCCCGTCTTATTACGTTCACTAAACCAGAACCATCTTTGTGTACGTTTGAGCTTTGTGTGTGCGTGTGTGTGTGTGTGTGTGTGTACAGGGTGTGTTTGCAGCCAGGTCAATGTCACCCTAAGCCCTGAGTGTGTCATAGCCAGTGTCAGGCTTCGCAGCGTGATCCTGACACTCACGGGGGCTTAAGGAGCCCGGCTGACCCGCTGCCGCCGCTCTCCCTGTCTCCCTCAGGTCAAAGGCCAGCGGGCCCCATCGATCCCCCCCCCCCCAATGAAGAAGTCTTTAGATCCTCTGCCCGCTCGCCTCTCGTCGGCCCACATGCTACCGGACAAAAAATGGCAAACCCCCAGAAAGGCCTCCCAATTGTGCTGCGCATGCCGATCGATCCTGCTGGTGTCTAAGGGGGCCTTCCTTTGAGATAACTGACAACTACAAAGGTCCCGCTCTGACAGGCTCTTGTCAATACAAATTTCCACTATTGATAAGTAATTTAAGAAAGACTGAGCGGCTTTATAAAACATCTGTTAAACAAGGGACTTTAACAATAACTTCTTAGTGACCAAAAAAAAAGAAGATTTACTCCCTCGAAGCCCACTTTTGGCAGCTGCTGCCCAGTTTCCATCGATTAAAAAACAAGGGTGCGCAGCTGAACTCATAACTGCTCCTTTTAATAGCCATTTGCTGAGTTTTTCCCTAATCGGAAAACATGGCAAATGCTTCCTGCATTACAGTTATAACTCATAAACACCCACTTGATCAATACACCTCTTAGCTTGTAAAATCTAAAGTCTCTCTCTACTCACAAAGGGTTCTGAGGCTCGGTCAATATTTTTTCTGTAAATGAATTGAATATATTCACAGTGAGACGGTTGAAAGTGAACAGATTCATACTGGCGAAAGAAGCACGCGCCATTTTTGAAGGCAAAATGATTTCATATACAGAAGACAAGTGTTACAGTACTTAATCTGTGATTGAGCAGGGTTTGCCTACATTCCTGAACACACGATTAAAAGGAAATGACATGCTTTGAACCTCATAAACAGCACCAAAGCTGAAAGAAATGCTGATAAATCACAGTTAAATAGTTTCCAAGCAGCTGTGGAGGGGAGTTTTTCATCATTTTGCTCTCAGATGTTACTTATTTCGTAATGTAAATGTAATCCTTTATAAACTATCCATGTGGTTATTCTTTTCTTTTTACCTACAAGCCAGTGAACCCCAGGAAAAGCATACGACGGGACTTTCAATGATTTAAAACCTCACTGGATTAGAAAAGAGGAAACCTTCCTCTCACTGTCATTTTCTTATTTTCGGGGTAGCAGTAAGGTCTCTGTAATTCCCTCTGCTATGTGATAACAGTTACTAAATCAGTATAACACCTGCTCAGCTCTGTTGTCAGCGCTGTGACTCAGCCTTTCGTCTTTTGTTCACCGTAATCCCTGCATGTGTAAGTGGATCCCCTAAGAGCAGGATAACTCCTTTTAAGCGGTTTTAAACACTACAGGAAGGACCAAAATCCACTAACTTCTCATTTACTTCTGAATTTCGCCGATTAATGCAGGACGCCTTTATCCCGGTGATTACAGCGCCAATTAGTTGGTTTGAATTTAAAAAACTTTTGATTAACTTAAAGGCTGAAGAGAGTGTGGTTTAAAGGCCTCTGGTTGGTGGGAGACCTTGAAGATGAGGCCGTAAGCAGGTGACAGAAGCAGGAGCAAAATCAACTGACCGGGACTCAAAACGACTGAACCCTGGCTGTCTTTTGGGGGGGTGAAGGTGAACCTGGACGAGCTTTGCTGGCCCGCAGAAGGGGAAATGATCCAGGGTAAGGGGGGCAGTGTGTGAGTCAGCGGTGGCGGCTCTGGGACGGGGAGGGTCACACACAAGCACACTCTTTGTGTGCCTCTAATCCCCCCAGCCAACACAGCTTTGGCCAGGTTTCATCATGAAAGTGCCATGAAATAACTACTTTTTTTCTCTCCTCGCAGTAAATCTCCCCTAATCCTGCGGGCTGCGTAGACAAAGGCCTCTGGGACCTAATCCTGCAGCTTTTAGTGGAGCTGAGGGGCTGGCCGACAGAGCCTCTTCTAAATGACTTATTTCTATCGGACACTAATATAGCTTGACAGCCAAGAACAGGGGAAAGGAGGAGAAAAAAGCCAGGGGAAAAAGAGCGCAAACATTTTCACATGTTTTTGGAAGTCTGAGCGACCGATTGTGTGTGAACGTGACCAGAGGAGAGACAGCCATGGCTACTGGTTCAGTCTCTTAAATCGCACAAGGCAGTGATATTCCAATAAATGATCTGTGAAGACTGATAAAAACAGCAGCTATCGCTTTTTCTTGCAGAAGGTGTCGGTGCAGGAATGTACCTGTGGCATTCAGTCCAGTTTCCAACAGTGGAAAAACCGAGTGGAAAAACAAGAAATGCTGCCCACATTTCACACAGAAGACTTTAGTCCCCGCTCCTCATCTGTCTCACACACTCACACACACACACACACACTCATATACATATATAGCTGAATGACTTCTTGAAAGAAAAAACTTTCACACATTGAAAGAATTGGGAAGCAGAGGAGGAAAACTTGGATCTAAAGATTTTGAAGGTTTTCCCTCTAAATTAAATCCCAGGTTCAGGAGATATTGTGTTTTCTTCTTCTTTCAAGTCTTCAAAGTGTGTCCTTCAACAATCCTCTCTTTATAAAATCACAAAACGGTTTAAATGGCATTTGGTGTGGCGGTGAGTTGTTGGCCTATGGTGGTGAATCGTATGGATGAACCTCGATCCGCCAAGTGAACTTTTATGTTCATCCAAATGTGATGAAACATATCAAACACATCAAAAATTGCCTTGGTAGGTTGAGTTACTTTTCTCCAGAATTTTTACAAAGAGTGATGCTGATAGGAATCTGTGAGCACTATGCTAATCTGAAGTAGGAGTTTACATTTTCTCTCATAATTAGGTTTTTTTCGCTTCTTGAGAACACTTTTCTATGGACCTCAACTAGATCCTGAGACATAGTTCTCCCCGAGCAGGGTTAAGATTAACTTCACATGGTGAGAGTTCATAGGCAAAATATGGTGCCTGTTAGCAAAACAAACCCTTAGAGCAAACCCCCTCTGAGGGGGGGGGGACGGGGACTGTCACAAGCAGCGGTATGGGAGAAAGGAGACTGAGAGGGAGAGGACAATCAAAGGCTGTTATTTTAATCTGTACTGCCCAGGAGATTAGCCGACCACATTGTTTTAATTGTTTTAACGGGAGGGAATGAAACGCTCGCTTATTGGGGGATCCTTGGCATAAATCTCCCAAGTTCAATAGTTTCAAAAACTTGAGCTCCTTGCCGCCCCCCTCTCTCCCCTCATCCCACCTAATCCCGGCTAATACCTTTCTTTCTATTGGCTAATGGCTGAGGGGAGCCTGGGTAAATGCTTCTTAAATAGTGGAGGGTGAGAATGGTTTCGAGGAATTAGATTGGTGCCACGACCAAAAAAAAGGTGCTGGGGAGCTCAGAAATAGGCCCAAACTGGAGTAAGAAATCCTGATTTTATTCTTTATTTCTTTTACTTGGACGTGCAGCTTTTACACAAGATTTGGATTTCAGGTAAACAGGTGAGGATGCTTCAAACTCAAAAGGAGTATGATCTCATTCATTTTCAGGGGCCCACGATTCTGGGAAGATGTGCAAAATTTTGGAAATGATGATTTTACGGCTCTAAGCACTTTAAAGTATTTGTTTAAACATTAGATCTAATTAGACAATTAGTTAATAGATCTTCATTAACTTGTGCTTGCTTTATATTCTCAGTCATTACTTTCCTTTGACTGATAGTAGATACTTTTTGTCTAAAAAATGTGGTGTTTACAGATTTAATAGCCAGCTCAGTCAAAAGAAAAGGGAAAGGCACAAACACAAAAGGCTTCAAGGCGTTAGGTTTAAACCTGATTCAATGTCATTGATGTTTAGTTAACCTATACGCAAGATATGAGATTTAGATTTATTGTCTTATATCAGGACTTAACAGAACAAAAAGAATAAAAAGGATACATAAATAAAGATTCGGCAATAGTGGACTTATTTAAGATATTATTTCCCCCTGTTTATTGCAGAACTGGCTTAAAATGTCCATGAGAAGGATTTTGCCCCTGATAAAGATATCCACTGTAAAGGGGGGGTGAAAAGTCATCACTGACATCTCTTTGTTCCGTCAGATTCACAATGAACTCCTTGAATTTCTGCGGGGGCCCTGGCGGTGGTGTGTATCCCCTCCACGGCGTCAGCTCCATGCTGTTCGACCTGCGCCACCAGATGGCGGAGCAGTACCACGGCTTCCCCGCGGCGGCCCCGGCGGCGCACGCCTTCTCCGTGGCCGAGAGGCTGGCAGGTGGGCCCCCAGAGATCCCCAACCAAAACAGACGACAACAGTCTGATTTTTGATAGACTGCAAAACTATTATTTCACATTTTTTCATCGGTAGTAGGTGTTTCTTTGCAAGTTTGCAGTAAATTTAACTCGTGCTGTTTGGGTGAAATAGGACCTCTCTGAGAACCCAGTCAGATTTGTCCAACAGCATCCTCAGGAGGATGCCACCCTCTGAATGGATTAAACGTTATTACCCAGTCTCATGATACAAATTGCTCAGAAATATTCTAACATTTTGTCCTTCATGCTTTTTGCTTTTAATTGAAACTTCTGATTTCTAAATCTTTTTAATCTTTATGTTAAGAAGGTGAAACTCAGCAAATGACACCAATTTATCTCGAATTTAATCCCCAATGTGCCATAGTTATTATTTTTCCTAAACTTCCTGGTCTGTCCTCCAGAGCTTATCCTGGAGGCGCGCTATGGAAACCAGCAGAAGCAGCGCCGCAGCCGCACCGCCTTCTCCGTGTCCCAGCTGCAGGCCCTGGAGAAAGCCTTCCAGCAGACGCAGTATCCAGATGTGGGCATGAGGGAGAGGCTGGCCGTGTGCATCAACCTGCCCGAGGCCCGCATCCAGGTGACATCACATGACTCATGCCTGAAACCTAACCATCTCCGTAGTCATCTCTGTCTGCTTTCGCCACTTTCGTGTTCATTCAGACGGTGCATTTCATAAGTTTCCCCCTTTCAGTTCTGAAAGTATGTCACGGGTTCTTGTTTCAGACGAAATGTTTAAAGAAAACCTTACAAACCATGCTCGTGTTTGAATTTTGCCCTCTGACCTTCCTCGTCCAGGTGTGGTTCAAGAACAGGAGGGCAAAGTTTCGTAAAGGTCAGAGATGCTCCCCTCTCGCAAGAGACCCCAGTTCAGAGGAAGCGACAATGATTGGTAAAACGGGACCAGAGGAATCCACGACTAAAGACAAACAGGACGACAGCACCCAGAGCAGCACCTCTCCCCCCTGCTGTCCTCCCCCGACTCCCCGTGTGGACAAAAGCAGGGAGACAGACTCGGAAACTTCCCGGCTCCCCTTCAGGCTCCATTCCCCTACACTTTTCCCCTTCATGGCAGGGGAGCATTACGGTCACCCGTCTCACCAGCCAGCTCTTTCCACTGAGCTCACCCTGCCACCCCTCTTCTGGCCGGTCGTACAGCAGCACAGCTCCGCTCTGGGAGTTCCAGTATTAGCCGCCAAAACCTGCAGCCTCTCACTTCAGACTGCCTGCTCCAGTAAAACTGTGTGTCACCCTCACTTGGGACTGTAATTGACTTATAAATCAAAGACATTCAGTCTCAGATATGAGCTGTTTGTGGACTCTGAGGCAACCCTGTGAAGGAGCAGATGCCAGCTGACAGCTCAGAAAAAATATATATCTTTATTCAAAGGGTTTCACTGAAAGGAAAGTAAAATTCAAACTTAGATTTTTTTTTACTTGAATCGACTTCCTTTTTTGTGCGTGTAGCAGTTGAAATCTGGGGTTAAGCTGTTAGTACAGTTCATTTTGATCCCAACAAGTAGCAAGAAGCATTGAAAACCTATTGTTTTCTTCCGAAGTCACGTTCAGCTGTCTGCAATATAAAGTATCAGAAGTAGTTGTGGGCAGTAAATGGTGAGAGCATTTGGTGAAAGCTCTTTATTGTAACTCCAACCTGCATCATAGGAATTTAAAATAAAAGACATTTGTAACTAGTCTCTGGTTTCTTTTCTAGTATTGAGAGGCTTAGCAGTTCTCTTGGTGCGATTAGTCCTTTAAAATGTGCAACTAATTATGATCATATGATCCCAGAAATGACTTTCCACAATTTTATATCCAAATGAGATGAATGTGATGAATTTTGTATTTCAACAGCAAGACATTAAGGTGAAATCTGATATTTTGAAGTGCATACATGAGTAATTAGAAATGAATTTAAGATAACTGTAATTGTCTGTCTGGCAATTGAGCTTTGACAAGACCAGTACCAAATGGTCTATATAATTCAAAGAGGTCTGTGAAATGACCAGGACATGCCTAATCTAAGAGAGACATACAGTATAACTTCATCTTTGAATTATATGTGTGCGTCAGGTGTGGGGTAAAGATTTGGAGCTTTGAAGAGAATTATGCTCTTGATAATAAACCCTTAAACAGTGTCAAATTATGTGACAAATGTGACCAATCATTGCAAAATCGAAGAGCTTGCTCTTCGGGAATAACTGCTTTGTGTTAGGATAAATTCCATCTAAAAAAATAATCTTAGGCTTTTCAATCTACAACATTTATTTAACAACTTTTTCAAACAGGAGTATAATTTGCCATTGAATTGCCATGCATTAACAACATCAATAACATTCAGTAACTGAAAAACAACCACACATGCCTTTCTTCAGGCAACGAATACTTTAGTTTTTTTTTTTAATGCTCACTAGAGATTTTTTTTATCATATAAGAACTCCAACTCTCAAGGTTTGGCACATTCACTCCGATTTATTTGTTCAAAGTGCCCATTTGTGAACTGAACTCAACCAGTTTTGTGCAGCTCTTGGATGGCCACGGATGCCTGATGTTTGGTCGTATTCACCAAACTCGTTGCGTCGGCTCTCTTACGTAGCGTCGCTCTAGGTGAAACAGCGTGACGCTGCGCAACTGAGGGAGGCTTAAAGAGACCACAGTGAAATCATAGCAACTTGAGGACAAGAGAAGCCAAACGGGAAAGAAACCAACGGCCGAATAACCATGACTTCGACCGCGTTTCGATAGCTATCATTCAAAGGTAACGTGCTGTACTATAATAACTAAAGTAACTCTTTGATGAGAACGTTTCATTACACAGTACTACCGTGGTGCCCCGTTTGCTAGTTTGCTAAATGGCTAGCTAGTGAGCAAAGCAGTGAGATATCCAACCTACCGCTGGAGAGCAGTCGGTTAGGATTAAGGAGTTGCCCGGCAGTAGTCTGGGTAATGGCTGTGGCTGGACTCCGAGCTATAAAACGGTATTCTGAGGTGAATCGATTATGTATTTTATCCTAAAATGTCTCTGTTCTATCATTTATTTTGACGGCGTCGCTTGGGACGTTGTTATTTTTCAGTTATTAAGCGTTTACGAACTAGCCTCGTAGCATTGTCAATCAATGAATATTTTATGCTCTTCCTTACTTGTTCTTGTCGAATTGTTTGTTCACATACAGTTATATGGCTTTGGTTGTTGTGTCCTGTGTAGTTACCAGTGCATCTAACATTATTTGGTTAACTGTGGTTATTTTAATCAGACGTTGTGCAAAGACTGACGATGTTTTTGTTGGTGCTAGCTCCCTTAGCCTAATTCAGCTGTGGTCGATTTCTTCTTCACTACAACGTAAAAAAAGTAAACGGCTTCATCTTTTAAGTCAGACGTTTACTGTTAAATAACCCAGCACAGACAACACAGTATCTGTTTAAACAAATTATTAGCAGTTAAACGTTACCGAGCTAACTTGATAGCCTCTGACTATCTGGCCTTGTCCGCCTTTTAAAGCCAGCTCTTTTGGAAAGCATTTTTACTATATTTATTTGTTATTTAGCATCCATATTTATCCCTTGATTTCGAAAACGATTGTCATGCTAAGACAGATAGACGGAGAGCTCTTTGGATCACCCGAAACTTGGGTAAAATGACAGCTGTTAGACACTATTCGATAGCCTGTTAGCTGTTAGCTATCATTACCATAAGCCTATGAGGCAGGTATTTGCACCACCAACAAGGAAAACTTGGCGATCTGGTTTGAGTACGACTCACTATTTTCCATTCGAAGCTCTTTGTTGTTGTTTTGATTCATATTCAAATCTAAAAAGTCCTCTTGTCATCGTTACAGACGGCTTTATTGTGTACAATCGTAGCACCCTGACGTTATAGCAACTGCCCTCCAAAATATTCGGGTTTTGGATATGTCATTTATAGATTGATTGTCTCTGTCCTAAAAACAGAATTATTCCCGTGGGTTGTAATAAACAACGTGGTGACAACAGAACCAAAAAAAAAACTATGCTCAACTTCCTGAAATGCAACGGACAAGATGTAAGTGCAGTGACTGCCAAAAGTTATTTAAAGTGTGAAATTATTATAATTGGCATCTCTATACTTGATCACATGTATCATACACGCCCAAGCTCCTTTTTAAAAATGCACAGAATGATGAGGGTTTTATGTGCTATAGTTCTCTTTTTGAGTGAGATAATAGCTAAGTCTTGAACAGGGTTTTTGTGCTGTTCACAGCAGCAGAACCAGTTCTTAAGCAGGTTAACCGGTCGTTGCTAGTCTAGATATGAGGAAAGCTTAGAGAAAGATTTTGCTACCGAAATACTGCCTATAACCAAGTACTAACATGGCAGAAGGTGGAGGAGGATGACCCACAGATGACGAGCTTTTAGATATTGGACTTGCATTATTTTCAATGCCCTCAATTGGTACACAAATGAAACCATATTTTATCAAGCTTTTATTGCTTTCCTATGAAGACATTGATGTAAACGTTACAAATTGTATCTTTAAACTAGGTGCTTCAGTTGGGATTGTGTGCCCTGGAGGAAAAGGAACAGTCGTAGTGTTGACACAGTTGGAGCAGTACTTAAAAGGCAGTAAAGTCGTTACATTTTTCATTCCTATGTCATGTTATTAACAATTCTGTAGATCTGAATTATTTTTAAGTTGCCATTTTGAATTAAGTTAATTATATCTAGCATAAAGGACCTTATCTGATAGCATTTATACCGTTATTACTAGTATTAAATTTACTGTAGATACTTTAGCGATTTCCTCTCTCCTGTAAATGATAGACAGTAGAGTTTAAGAAGTAAAATTGCTACTAAAACATAGTTGAGTTCGGTTTGATCTGAGCTGTTTTAATCAAATCAGTTTTAAGTTACTCAAGTAATTTCACAATTTCTGATTTCTGAGGTGCACATGCTGCAGTAGTAAAGGATTTTTAATATTCAGACATTGAGATTTTAGTCAAATATCTTGTATGTAATGTGTAGAAATATGCACAGAAGAAAACTCAATGTCCATTGTCTAAATCTGAATATTTTACATCAAAACTCCCATTTCTTCCAAAACTCCAGTTTGATGATGCTGTGTTTGCTCTCTAAACGTATCGCTTTTTAAAAATGTTCAAATATAGGTTTATGTACACAAGACGTGAGCCCAGCTCATTCAACATTATGCTTTCCAGTGATGCAAATTGTATGATGAGATGAGGCATTACTGCAGTCATTGATCTGCGTAAGTGGCTTTCCATAGGAAATAGTAGATGCTCGTGGCCCGTGCCTGCATTACCTGCTCCCTCCAGCACCAAAAGCCTCTTAGATAATTGACGTAGGGGAGTCAGGAGTGTCTCTGACCAGAGGCTCGTGCAGATGATTGTTTGTGAAAAGATGTCCAAGATTGATGTTCTCTGCACTGAATTGCTCCTCTTACTGTCTATGCTTTAGTTGAACATTTACTACATTCTAATCTGTTAGCTTCACATATGTTACATTGAGCTATACTTTAGTTTTTTCAAATATTACATGTTTATTTTCACTGTTTGTGTTTTTTTGTTTTGTTTATCTGAGGACCGACGATTGTCTCTTAACTACACAGACAGAGGCAGATATTTATGCAGTATGTCAGAATTTTAGCTGCTTTAGTGTTGTTGGAAATAATCTTTTTGCGTCACATTTATCTGAGTTTTCACAAAAGAGGTTTAATTGTGACGTGTTGATTTCTTTTTCCTCATGTCCATTGTCTTCTGTAAAATATCTGAGCTCCTATTGATTTCTTTATTGAATTTGCGTTGCACCAGTAAGCATTCAGATCTAATTTCAGCAGTAGTATGAAACAGCCACAGTTGGCATAATTTGATATTCAAGTAAGAGGTTAAAGGGTTTTTGTTTCCTTTTCTTTGGAAAAGAAAATGCCCCCTATTGCCCTCAAAGTGACATAGGAAGAGGTCATACTTATCAATAATTCTCAAGTTCTTCCTTTCTCGTATTGATTCAATCCTGATGGCAATTATGTTGGAATTTGGTTGATTTGTTTTCCTGGTTTACCAAAAACTAATGCTAAAATGAACAGAATGCGACATACAAGTCTGACTTCCTTGTGTAGTATCTTATTGACTACTACTTTTTTTTCAGGAAATGAAGGACATAAATATGTATACCAACCAGGATAAATGCAAACAGTCTTTCATAAGTTGTAGAATTTGTTTTTGTGTTTAAAAAACAAACAGAATTGCCACTGGAATGAGTTTATTTTTTTCCATATTGCTTAATTCTTTGGCTGTAAGAATGAGTTACTGAGTTGTTTGAGTGACTTCAGTTTGACCGATAACCTCAGCTGTGAAAGACTTTAGAGAGACCCCTTCATAATCTGTGAATTGATTTGTCTGTTTTTGCCTTTGCAGATAACCGCTTGACGTCAAACAACAGTCTGTCACCTTTTTGCTGCTGTTCCTTGAACCCTGGCTTGCCTCCTGCCTCGGCACCGCAACATGGAGACGCTCCACTGTGTCAATGAGGGCTGACCAGAAGGAATGAGGCACTCCAGAACATGTTCTCAAGTGGCCTTTTGGATGCAGTAGTTGCGCTTTTGAGTGCTTTTTCATGACTGGTGTTGTATGTTTGTCTGTGGAAACATCCTAGAGAACTCTGCCCTTTTTATCAGGCAGCGACTTCCGATTCCGAGACTGGATTAAGAAATGCACAAGAACGGAGCTCCTATCGCAGACAAGAGAAACAAAGAAGAAGAAGAAAAGGGAAAAGCTGTCTGATCGACAAACGGGTCAAACAGCGGCAGTGCTGACCATTTAAGTCTCTGCACATTCTAACTGCAACCCCTTTCCTCTGTCCTGTGAGCTCTGACTCCCTCCCCCTCCTTTAAGTGTCCTCCATTGTTGTTATTGGAGTTTCTATGGTTTGCATGGCTGGAGACTAACCGTGGAGAGGCCAGGGTATCACAAGCTTATGGATTTTGACAAGAGAGGGGGCAAGGGAGAGACAGAGGAAGGGAAAAAGATGTCTAAGACGACAGGCAGCAGGACTGGACATGGGGGCAGGAGTTCAGGGACGAATTCTGGAGTTCTTATGGTTGGCCCAAACTTCCGAGTGGGGAAAAAAATCGGCTGCGGGAACTTTGGAGAGCTGCGACTGGGAAAGAACCTCTATACTAATGAATACGTGGCCATCAAATTGGTAAGAACAAATACCCTTGCACTGTGTGGTGTGAAAGCATTAACTTCCTTTTTCCAGCAATCCATAAATGACTTGTACTGACATGCACCTTTTAATTAGTTTGCATCCTGTATGATAAGTTGATCTCTACCTGGTAAGTATTAAAGAAATGTTGAGCATCTGATTCTGAAATGCCCTGAAGTCTGACAGGAACAGGAAGTAAAAATGAGCTGAATCAGTGTTGAAGCTTATCAGCCTTAAAGGCTTTCGGCCCTTAAAGTACAGCATCATTCAGACAACACTGTAAGATAACGAGACTGAGTGTGTAAACTCTTATTGAACAAGCTTACAGAAGGTTTTGTGGGTTGTTGAGTACATTTTTGTTGTAATTTGTGTCAGCCTTTTAAACAAATATTTATTTCTTTATTTTTTAATTGAAAGTTTTGGTTCTGTTCTATTTAGATGTGCAGTGAAAAAAACCCTTAAATGTCAAGGCCTGTTTCCTGATTGCTTAATCAGTTCTCCTTTAAGGGGTTCTCCGTCCCATTGATGTGTGGCAACACATTGAGCTTTGATCACAGGAAGGATTTTACTCAATTTTTTCAGCACGATCATACCTCATTGTAGCTGAAATACGACTTAATTCTGGTATTCTGAGTTGTCCACCACAACCGTGTGGATGAAATCCTTCCTTTTCCGTCCATGGAGGTCGTTATTTCTTAAAGACAATCTCTGACGACCTTGTTTATCACAGAGAAGGTAAAGGTCAGCAAACAGCTGTAATTGCAGTTCTGCTCTCCAGAAATCTTTAATCGCGCTTGTTGCCTCTCCCCTCTTTGCTTGAGAACCTCCCATCTGTTGTGTATTTTTATCAGCACGGTGTCCAGCTATATCTGGATCGGACAGTAAAGCCACAGCACCGCCACGCTCTGCAAAGAGCCGGCGTTTATTGGGTGCATGATACTGAGAGGAGGAAGTGTTTAAAGTGGTCATTAAGCTCAGCAGAGCCTGGCTAGAACAGTAGGGCCTGATTGTAAGGATTATGTAGGATTTAATCTCATGATGGCAGGGTTTCTTCTTGGTCATTTTCAGAACCACAGTGAGACTTGTGATGCCACCAAACGCCCCGTACCTGCCATTCCTCTGTGATTTTCCAGTGTTGTTACTGTAGATCCGGCCCCTGTACCAGCGTGGCAGAGTCTCACGCTGAGAGGGATTCTCCCTCGTCCAGTTTCTCAGGGCAGCCCAGAGTCTCACACAGTTGTCTGTCCACATGTTTCTGTCTGTCGCTGCTGTCAGAGCTCCCCGGGGTAACCCTGTGAATGTCACTGCCAGTCTAGGAGGGCTTCTGTTTTGTCAGAGGCTGTTACTGAGCCCTTCCTCACGGACTCAAACAAATGAGAGCCCTGTTGTCTACAACCACCTGCTAACACATGTTTGACTTGAGTCGTGCGACCTCCTGTTTCTGTCCACTCAGCAACTCCTGTCCAGATGTGTGTAGAATCTGAATTGGAGTTTGCAAAGTAATCAGTTAGTGAAAAGCTACTTTGGTTGTCGTTAGCTGTCAGTTGTTCCTGCTTTTTTGTGTCGTTTGGTGTATGAATGGTAGGAAAATGCTAATAATATTTAAACAGGATCAGGACATCAAATTTAAATGATGAAGACACTTGGATTTTTTCACTGAATAGTTGATTAAAGTAGCTTTTTTTTTTAATGTTTTTTTTTTTAAGTAGCTTTTTATTTTATTTTTAGAACTACACACCTTTGCTCTCCTTATTAGTGAAGTCAGCTAGGTCTGAAGTGAACAGTCTCAGTGAAACTTTAAGGAAGTATGTAAATTATTACTTTGTTTGCTTGGACAAAGGTTGTTGATCTACCAGGAACCCTAAAGGAACCTTTACATGGCAACTGTCGCAGGGCGGCTCTTTCTAATCTCGCTGTCGTTTCCAAAAGCCATAAATCACAAAAGCCGGGACAGAACACAGCCTTTCGTCGGTCCTTTCATCTGCTTTGCTTTCCTGCGTAGTCCGCATTAACCGCGCACCTTCCTTTACCTGGGACAAAGGTGAGCGGCAGCCTGACCACGTGATGTTGGAGCCAGATGCGCCGCAGGCCAGCGCTCGGCCTGCTGTACCAGCGGGTCTGGAGCTGCGGCGAAAAAAAAGTCACCGAGAAGGGGGCAAACTGCTGGGTGCTGAAAGCCTGCCTTTGTTGGCAGGCCTTGTCGACACACAGTGGTTCAGTCTTTGGTCCAGCTGTGAGCGTTCTCACACTGACCGGCCTCTCTGTGGTGGAGGCCCGACTGCTGCACGGCCTCGGCTGCAAACACACAGCAGGCCTCTCACAGGGGGAGACCCCTGAATCGTAAAGGGAAAAACACGGTTGCATATCTGCTGGCTGTCGAGGAACAGTGAAGGAACTGGCCATCTCTGTCCATGGCGACATGGCTGAGAAAATTTACTTTTGAACTTTTCTGACATCTTCGATGTGCCTGTCTCTCTCTCTCTTTATCTTCAGTTTATAGCATCTCGGCCAGCCGCACCTTCTTACCCCCCCCTCAGTGTTTTTCCCTTGGCTTACATCCATGCAATTTCCTGCCACTGTACAAACAGTTGATCCTCCAAAACTTTACACTATATCTCAGTTTCATTTTACGGGCGATTTCACTGGGGATGCCTGCAAGACCACCATCAGCTGGTGTCACCAGTTCTGAGTATTCGCTGGTTACTCCTCTTTGTGACCATCACTACCTTTGGCTGTGACGTGGCTGTAATATCTTCTAAACACTGGGGGAAGGAGTTGCAAGAAAACGCTATAGTGTTGGATCTTGTTGTATAGGACAGAGCTTCCCTTTAGCTCTGCGAGAGGCTCATGTTGGAGTGACCATCTAGGGACGTGAACACAGCTAACACAGAGATCTACTGTGCATTGTGTGGCAGCCATGTGCACACACAGCGCTGTTCTATGCGTTCGGTGCTTACTCAGGGCATTACTACATTTTAGACTTAAAATTAAATAGCATTTTGTCACCCACCCCCCTCAGACCCCAAAGCGCGTTAGTCCGGGCGTCTTGTCTTAAGCCTGCGACCTCAGTTGCTCCGCCTGAAACAAGAAGTGTGGACTTCATCAGCTGAAGCTAATTACACTTAATTCCATGAGTTGGACAAACTAAATTAAACTCTAGGTGGTTGTGTGATTGGATTTTGTGCTTTGCTGGTACCTATGCATGTCTTGTTGTTGATGTTGAGTAAATCGGTTTCCAAAGACCCCGGCATCTTTATCATTATGCTTTGAAAACATAACTGGGTTCTTTTTTTTTTATGTGGGAGAAACGACAGAGACAGAGACAAACAAGGTGTGTGGATTTATCCCAGCGCATTATTCAAAAACTGGATTGAGTTTTTGCAGCTTCTGTTCCTCAGAGTCTTGTCACTTGACTGCACTTCCAGGGAACTCTGCAAAGGGTTTTGTCACTTTAGTAAAGAAGTGACACACCTGAAGTGACACCTGAGAGCACGTGCTTTCTTTTTTCATGAGTTTGTAAAGAGTGGAGTGAATATTCATGTTCATTGGATTACCAGAAACGACACATCACTTTAAAAGGAGGTGCATGCTGTAGATGGATAAATATGATTCATTACATTGTATTAGGCACAGCTCTTTGAGTCATTGAGATGAGGCAATGAACCTGACCGTTAAAGTGATATTCGCCAAATACAAATATGACAACCTGAATACAAACACTGACATTATAATGGTCGCTCCTGTGTGCGCATTGATGGTGGGAATTGTGGCCTTTTTGGGTTCAGCTAATGTGTGACTGATGCAGAGGCATATGAGTGAGGCCATTCACTGCGCCGGTCAGTCGTGATGCTGGGGTGGAAATCTGAGGTGTTTTATCCAACTCTCCTTTCTACCTCCCACTGGAGCATGATAAGCAGCTCTTGTTACAGTCTAGCTCAGCAGCTTACTCAAGCTCGCCGCGAGGCAGTTGTTGGGAAAACTGTGAAGGCACAAAAGCCTTATCAGCATGTTTGGCTGGAATTAAAGTGACATTCTGACGATTTAAGTTCTTCCCTGCCCTGCTAGGGCTCACTAGAGTGCATGCTGGGCAGACTGAATGAATAAATCCTGAGATGTCAACAGCATGTGGAAAGCCTACCTTCAGTCAACTAGCTAATCCTCTAATTAATCAGTAGCCAGCACAATGCTGGCCTTCGACACAGGCGCCCTTTGTTTCTTTGTGGAGATGCAGTCATAAAACCTGCAGAGAAGTGTGAACCGAGTCTGACACAACAGTTCTCGATGCCCAATCGTCAAGAACCGTTGTGGTGTAGAAATGCAAAGTGGAAATTGCGACGTCACAAAATAAAGGGGTTGGGACGTGGAGCAGGGCGTGGACCTGTGCAGCGGCCTGGCCTTTGTAGTTCTACCTTCCCCATGCACTTCCGTGTCCCGTTTTCCACGTGAGAGGAGCTGCGCTGATTGCATAAGCCTCACATTTCCTGAGGTGTGGGTCTTGTTTGGGGGCATAGTAATAGTAGTACCATTAAGAGTGTCTCAAGATGTTCTCCTTTTGTTACAGTAAATTCACCCTCAAAGATTCCATTGAAACTTTTTTTTTTGGGCAGTATTTTAGTTGAAGTGGTAAACTGGAGCTAAAATAACAGAGTCAAATTCAGATGACTGTAATTGGGAAGGAGATGAAGCCAATTTGACCGTAGGGCTATATTTAACTCTCTTCACTAAAGAAAGGGGTAGGTTTAGAAGTAGCTCTGAAGCTACTTTGCACCATGTAAGAGATTCAGATGTACTGCCGCATCATCCCTTCCTAACAGGATAGTCAGGGAATGGGACAGCAACCGGTTTTATGTTCATGTGGCCCAGTAGCTTGCCAGACCCAAACCTTTTTTTCACTTCAAACACTTACTTGCACAAATACAAATAAAAAAAGGTTTATCTATGCATCAGCTCTACTATTTTGTGCAACAACTCCTTGTCACAGTATAAGTATTTATAAATCCAAGTGGAATTTCTTATTTTTTCTCTGCTTTGAAAATGCACAGGACGATACTCGGATTTAGGTTTCATCAAGTTTTTTTGGGAAACGGACTGTAAAAACGTTTGCTGGGCTAGCTGGAACCCAGGAGTTGCCATTTGGACAAAAAAAAAGATGGGTGAAACTTTGTCATGATTAAGTGACCAGGAGTGATGTAATGGAACCCTTTCAGTGGAAGGAGGCTGATAACGGATATGTTGCACTGGCGGTTTTGTTTTGTTTTCAACTTCCTGTGTCAACATCTGCCTCTATTTAAGCCAACGTCAAACTGAAATATGGAGAAATTCTTTTTTTATTTAGTGAACTCTTCAAAGCAAATGACACCCTGGGCAAATTGGTTGTGTTTTAACTGCCGTGGAAGTCCTCTCGAATGTTGACTGAGATAACATGATACACCACTAATGGTTGCAGTGCTATCTCTCCATTCATTGTGTTGTGCCCCACCTCTCCCACAGCCACTCCCAAGAAGAAAGATTTCAACACCAATAAAAGGATTCTGGTCAGAGTGATTGCCATAGATGTTTATAGGCATGTGGGATATTTATTTTATAGTAAAACCGATGGAATCGGTGATGTTTGGCATTTGAAAGCAACATTTGGAGCCTGTTACCGCTGTAAAAGAAATCCCACAAAAAGCACCATCTCTGTCCCGTCGTGTCTAAATCCTCTGCTTCTCCGAATAATAAGGCAAGAGTTCAACCAGCTGATGGCTCCGTGTTAAATCTGAGCTGAAACCGGAGGCCTTCTGTTGCTCTCTGATAGCATGTGCTCCTTTTATACCACCTCCCTGCCAAAGACACCTCTGCTCACAAAGAGGCTCCAATGGGGCAGCACACCTTGGCCATTTCCAATTGTCTGAGCATTACTCCGATCCATCAGTGGCATTAGCATGTCGAAATTTGAGTTAGTCCGTCAAAGATTGAGTGAGTCATGCTGCCTGTTGCGTATTGTGAAAGGGTTTACTGGGAGCAGGCAAAGGTCAGCAGCTATTCTGGGCCTTACGCATAATGCTCGGGCCGTTCCTTTGGACATGGCAGACATATACACACTGAAGGCCATACTGGCCGACGCAGATATTTTTTTATTCATGTATTCGAGCCCACCATCCCAGCTGTCCATTGCTGTTTGGCACTCTCATCTACAAAAAAAAAACTGAGTTTTAAAAGAAGGAGAATATGGTTATCTCTAAAAGGCCACAGAAGGGCCTCCAAAGTAGTCAGAAAAGTAAAGGTATAACTGAAGAATGTGTCCTTGGTAATAAAATGGCATGTACAGTGTTTCCTGTTTAAAAAAAAAAAAAAAAAAGGTTTGAAATTCTTCAGCAGCTTTTTGTTTGGCACTGATAAGCAAGGTCACATGATTTGTTGCTGCTTATACGCTCACCTGATAATAAGGCCAAGTCGTGTTTCTGCTGCCGGCTGTCCACCAGTGTTTGTGGTTTCCTCATTTCCTGTGTTACTCCTTGTTTGGTGTTCATCTATCTCGGTACTGTGATCAGCTGTGCTCGCTCTCCTCTGCGGTGAAGCAAAGATCAGATTCAACCTGGATGACATCATTTACAGATCTGGTAAATCCATGCTCTGCACTCAGATTTGACTCCAGTGAGGCCAAACTTGCTACGAGCACTAAAGCATAAATTCAAAGCCTTTTAGAAGTGACCAACAGTGAGATATATATGTGTGTGTTTTTATGTTGCAATCTCTCCCCTTACAGTTTCCATGTTAATTTGACCAATGCCGGCCAATGGTTTTGGATGTAGTTTTGGGGAAAAGTTTCTTTTATTTTCTGTGATTACATGTGAAATCTATAGTTTGCAAGCACAGACGTCCTTGTTGAATATTTTCACCAGATAGCACAGTTTAAATTGTAGTTGATTACCGTCAGTCAATCTACCATAAAACCATTATGTGAATCAGAGCTATTACAGGCACAGAGAATTAATTAAAAAAATGTTATTTTTTGTTTAGTTCAGCCATGATAAACTGCACTGGAGGTAATATTGTTGTGGTTTGGCTGCAGAACAGCTCAGGGCACCAGTACAGAGCGGTGGGGTTTGAGAGGTTACTGCTGTTGTAGCAGGTCAGAAACAGAACAGCCCTTCAGCTGAACTGGACCCGAACAGCACATGGGGCCATGTGCTGGTCCATGGCACGGCACCACGCCTCCAGATTGACTTTAAAGGTACACCTCAGAGCAGCCAGATGTCCTTTTGATTCTAAAATGCAACCAACTATAACTATATTATGGTTTAGTTGGCCTAAATGGGGAAAAAAGCATTTGTTTTCTCCCAACAAAGTTGAAGCACCTCATGTTCTCATGATAAGCAAACAGAGGGAAATGACAAGAGGCTCACAGCTGGGAAAGATTTTCAATGCAGAAAACCCCAAATACCGCTCCTCTCCATAGCATTAGTCCTGCAGGGGAAGACCCATCACACCACAGGGGACTTCTAATTCTAACCATGGTGTTCAACGGGAAGCTATCAAATTATATGTGATGTGTGCTCGAGAAAAATCTGCTACATGCAAAGATGTTACGTCAGACATTTGCAGCTCAGTCCTGGTCATTTACACAGCTATAGCTGAGCCCATCTGCTGGGAATACAGATGACTCCTAAGTACGTAAAGCTGCCATAAGCCCGTGTTTCCCATTGTAAGCTGTTTTAAAGGGTCCTGCAGTTCGTGCCATCTGCTTTTTTTTGCTCATTATTTATATATTTAGTGTTTTCAGTCCCTCTCTTCTCTGGCACGGCCTGACTTGTGTAAGACATGTTTGTTGTCTGTTTTCACGTGGGAGGTGGATGACGCTGCAGCACTTCCCCGCTCCACTTCTCTGACGAGTCACGTGTCCTCCTCCCACAGGCCCCAACTCCTCTAAGATGCCTCCTGCCTTCCACTCGGTTTCGCGGGGACCTGGATGATGAAATCGTATCTTTGTTTTAATGATCAATTATTCTTGTGCCGCTCAGACTATAGTTAACTGTGGAAAAACCCAGGAATAAGCAGATTTGGCGATTTATTGCTGTATTTGTTCAATAAAACCAGGTCTCGTGGGAGTAGCTGTAATAAGGAGGATTGATGCATTTATTTAAAGCCACCTCTACAAATCATCCTCTGAAGGGGAGCCCTGAAACCATTGAACATGTTTAGTAGAACTGTCTGAGAGTGGTAATCGCGAAAGGATGGAAAGTCCCTCTCTGTGCTCATAATTTGTGTTCACACTCCTACATGCTAGCAGTGCCGCAGAAGAGAAGATGATCCTGATTTGATAAAGGCCTAATGGAGTGAATGTTGCAGCTTAACAGCCTTTCAGTTTTCAGTTTAGATGATTTAAAATAGAAGTACTTTGGAATTAGACGCACTTGGAAACGGCTTCTAAGATTAGACCTTACAATAAGCAGCGTTTAAAAGAGTCACAAGAGTGAATAAGGCATTTTTATATTTTCCAGGACAATTAGTGGAGGTTTTATCCAAATATGGTAACCCATTGGAATGTCTAGAATTAAAAACGGATCTTTAAGATCATATTGTCCAAAACCAGTAGAGTTTTGAAGGATGAACTCATTTATTTTTCTTTTGAATGTCTACACTGTCACCAGTGTTACATATTTACAGACTTTTAGCATTACTGCATGCTTTATTGAGGTACCTTTTGAATGTTTAGTATGTCAAAAAGTCTGTGTACAAAACTAACAATGTTAACCTTTTCTTTAGAGTTTGGTGCTTATTTTGATGTAGGTGGTATTTTATGTAGAAATACCCAAAGGTGTCATGCAGCTGAGGTACACAGAAGTATTTTCTATTATTTTTTTTGTCTATACTTCTACAAAATGGTTGAGTAAGTAGTGTACCCCTCCATATCAGAGTGTGGGTCCAACAAATGTGGAAATGATAAAGCTCGGGCTCCATTGGTGAAGTGATTTTTCGCTGGCGGAGTGTGAACAGGGGCCTTCTTATAGCCGATGTGGACAGGAGCTTTAGCACAGACTGTGGCACAGCTATTGAAGATTAAGTTAAGGAATTAAGTTGGGTGTGTTGGTTCTAACCTCGCCATGTTTGTCTATAATGCCCCTGTCATTTTGAGAGTGGGGCTAATCAGATTACATTTTAGGTTGCAAAGCTTGAGGCAGCAATATAATGGACAGTCTGGGGGCTGCTTTATTATCAGCCGTGTCATCACAGGGACCTCCTGCGCACCAACTGGAACTGCTCTTTATCCCGTCACAAGCCTGACGCAAGACCAAAGTAAAACGTCAAAATGTAACGTTCAAAGTTGACCTTCAAGTTTGTCTTTCTGACACAGCCTGACTGACTGTTTTTGCGGTACTTTTAACACCCCCATTACAGTGTCTTCATATTCCAAAACGAGCAGCCCCAACTATGTCGCTGTACAGTGATCGCACCATGTTCAAGAGCTGGTTTTAATATTTAACACTTTCCTCTCTTTCCTCTTCTTTTCAGGAGCCCATTAAGTCCAGGGCGCCACAGCTCCATTTGGAGTACAGATTTTACAAACAGTTGGGAAATTCAGGTAAGAGTACAACACTCTGTAGATGGTGAATCTCCACTAAGTGGCACATTAATGAGCTTAATGCATGCATGCTCTCTACTGAGCACTGTAAACACTGATATCAGGGTCATATATCAGTTATTACATGATGAAACAATGTTTTATTTACTTATTACTTTTTTTAAGATTGTTTCATAAGTAGAGGGAAGACAAAATATTTTTAAATATATATGATAATAGCGACTTGAAGGAACAAGCAGCTCATGATGAATCAGCTGCTTCCCACACCTGACACCACTGGAATTACTTGTTTTCAACAGTAACTGTTGAATCAGCCAGTGAATTCATTATTGCCGGAATGCTTTAAAAAAAAAAAAAAAAAAAGGACTGAGACTTTATTTAGTTATTTTCATAATTTATGCATTTAGTTTTGATTGGGGCGGGGTGACTGTTGTGAATGTGGTCACTAAGTATTCTAAACCAAAGAACTCCGGTTCTTTATCGTTAGACCATGTAAATAAATAAATTTCTAAATAAAGAATACTTCTCAGTTAATTTGTGAAATGATGGAGGTTTGAAAGCTGGTGTGCAGTTTATTTTTATACATATGTCAGGTTGCGGCAAGCGATTCTCCCTCATCTGTCAGAGGAGTGTGTGTCCTGGTCTAATTTAGTGACACGTGCCAGCTTCTTGGCTCCTTGCATCAGAGCAAAAGCCCTCCACAGTTGATAAGGAGTTGGGGCATTAGGGCAGTCCTCAACTATTTATAGCCGGGCCTCCACAAGCATTCAGGCCATTATGGCGTCTTCTTGGACAGCTTCCCTGGTCTCCCCAGTCCCTGTTTCCTCTGCCTCTGTGATTGACTGCGTTCTGCCCGCCGTTTGCAGGGAAATAATCTAACATCCAGTGCTGATGGGTGTGACCTGCTTTTCTTTATGGCTGCTCTTGTTTTAATCTGTCATTTTGATCTGTCAGCTAGTCTTAATCAGAGCGTGCCCACAGATCTGCTAACCTAACACTGCAATGGCCATTTGTCATTATCGTATCTCTGCTTTTGTCCGTTTTGTCTGGTGCATTAGCCACATATCAGGTCACATATGCAGAAGAACGGAACGGTCTGCTCTGCCTGCACAGATAAAAGAATGAAGATCCATGTGAAACTCATGCAGCATCCCCACAGAAATGCAATAATTGAATGAAGTCTAACGAGCAAACAAGCTTCGTTTATCAGCAAAGGGAAGAGCTAACATTGAATGTCCTCATCATTTTCTGCAGTGACCATATTACAACACAGTGTAGCTCGACTCCCACTGATGGCTGACCAGTAAAAGAAAACATGGCATGAAGGCTCGCTGTCCACCCCTGAAAAAATCAAGGCGATAGATTAAATCTACTTATGTTGTCTACTTGGCTAAATGGAGACATGTGACCCTGTTAGTCCTGTCCAGCCCAAGAGCCTCAGATATGTCACTGCATGGACTGCTCTGCGCTTATCGCCCTGCTGGAGCTTATCTGCACACAGTTAATTCTCTCGTGCTCTTAACATATCGCAGCTTTTGGGAATCCTGCCTCCCTCCTCAGAAATTTGAGTGGAAAGTGACCTGGTGTTTTCAGGAGCTTCTGGTCTCAGAGGAAATTCCGCTTCCGGCTATTAGAAAAAGAGATGGAGCAGTAAATCAAGTCTGAAGCCATGTTTAGACATGCACGGAAGCCCCAGTATATTATTTTTCTATTTATACTGAGATTGTGTGCAATTACAGGAGAAAATTGCAGAATATTTGTTGAGCAGGTGTTGATAATGAACCATTTACCTTTGGCGCCCGTCTCCTGCTGCGTGCTGCTTTCTCAAACTGGCAGATGACGACAACAACGTCCAAATTCTCTGCACAATCCACAGAGTGGAAAAAAAAGAAAGATGAAACATCTTACATTACCCTAAATATCTGTGACTTCCTCAGTCGCTGTCTAAGGCTTCAGCAGCAGCCCCCTCGGTTCACGTGCGCCAGTTGTCTTTCAGTGGAATACCACAGGCTGATTTCGCATCAGGGACATTTCCTAGTTCACTGCCGGCCGTCATCATGCCTGTGATTATTCAGGGGTCCCATTAACGTCTCGATGGCCGGACGCACCGTGTCAGTGACACAGGATCTTTGCCAGTTATATTTCAAGTTAATCTTGTGAACCCCTGCCAACCCATCTGATCACAGCAGATACTGGAACGTCACCAGTGCACCACATTAGTTTAATAAGAAGCCCTCCCGTGATGATGCTGGTCTAGAAATATATTAGGGGGGATTCTAAATTGTGATGCTATCTCTGGTCCTACTTAAACCATCAATAACCTAATCCTCACCCTAATTTTAACCCTAAAAGACAAATACATTGTCACACACATAGCAGTGGTGTTCATTTACCCCCAAAAGGAGTTAGTTGGATTTTTAAGTCCACACAGTTGTTTGTTGGAAAAAGTCTTGGATTCTATTAACCCTCCCCTCTTTCTCTCCACTCTGATAAGATATGGGATGCAGGAAACATGAGTCTCTTCCCAACATTCAGACAAATTCTGCTCAGTTTCCTGAGTGAAAACATGAGAACGTCTTCGCTAGTTTTGCACGATGTTTGTTTGATTAAGCCTGAAATGTTGTAACTTGAACCAGCGGCACTGTTTTTAGTCAGAGGAAGCCACTCCTGTTTGGCTCATCCTAAAAGCGGTCATTTGATATATAATTAAATCTAAACTATTAGTTCCTTGATTTCTGCATGCATGTGAAGAAAAGCCTGTCTTGTGTTGAGTCAGTGAAAGTGGAACCACTGTCCTAGATTCTCTTTTATCAGCCAAATAATTGCTGAGGTTTTACTGACCTTAAAAGAAACAACTACCTTGTAGAATTACTAGCTTTAGTAAAAACACGAGTCTTACTCCCGCCCAGCGGTTTTTCCTCCTCATGGCATTTCGTGTAATTGATGTGCTTTCGAGCCGTGTCACATTTAGAGCTTTAAGCTCAGTCTGTATAAGCCAGTGCACTGATCAAATTTCACCTTATGGGAACATCTCCGGAGCACTGAGCTTAATGGAAGTCACTTTTTCTCCTCTTCTTCCTCCACTCAGTGCTCTCCATAATCTAAATCTTTAATACCCCCTCCCCGCCTCTCTGCTCGTGTCCTCTGTTCTTCAGCCCACCCTCTTTGGCCCTTAACTCTGACATTTCATTGTGGGGCAACATTGTCTTCAGCCATCATGGCGCAGCCTTCCCTTCTGACTGTGTCGCCTGGGAAGGCCGGCCCGCAGATACAATGGGGTGGATTGTCTCGAATCGTCAAGACAGCAGGGGACAGCATCACCGACGTTGGCTTGCAATGAAAGCGCTGCATGAGAGCGCTCTCCCCAATGCATGGCTTTTTATCATACATTGATAGAAAAACTCAAACGCTCCCCTGTTGGCTTTTGGTGTCAAGATGGAAAAGCAACTGCTTTAGGATGGATTTGGCTGGATGTTTTTGTTCAGCTGATTGCTACACACTTCGTGTTGGGACACATCACAGGGGTCTCACCTTAAGCACTCCTAAATTACCACCAGCCTCTTCTAAAGGGAGCACCAGTCTGTTCGCATCCACCGGTAGAAGATTGTAACGCACACTGTGCTCTCCTCTAGTGATGACCGTGCTTTGAATGCCCTCTAGATTTGGGCCAAGCTTTGATGAGTCAGCCTGCCTGTGATCTCTTGTCACAGCCTCATCTGTTGTGGACATCATTACCCAGAAAATCCTAGAGGCTAGAGTGCAGACAGGTGTGTGTGTGCGTGTGTATATGTACATGCATGAAGGGTTATTTGTGTTAGTTTGCACAGTAGGAGGTTTTGCAGTGTGTGTGGAGGCTGTTTAGAGATTCAGAGGTCGGTCTGACGTTAATACTAAAAACTGGGAGCACACGGCTCGGCTTGATCCAGCTACCACCTGTATTGAACTGTCTCACATTTATTTATTTTCATCACAGAATAGGTAGTTTCTTCTTTTTGATGCACTGTTATTTCAGTGGTGGCAACACTTGATGATGTGGCACATGTTTGATCAGTGTTGTGGAGATTTTATTGGATGTTTTTCTTGCATTTTGACCCTTACCCTTCACAGATTACACAGAAGTCACTTTGTTCCGTTTGCCAAGATACACAAAGCACGTTGACATGACACTTTTATGATCGGGTCGAATCGAATGGAGACGTTTCAAATGTTGGGCCAAAACTTTTGTAAAAAGGAAAAGAAAGGAAAAAATCATGTTTGCTAATACCAAATACCCCTCTGCATTACCTCAATGCCAAATTGTGCTGAAAATCAGCCCATTAACCCTCTTCACACGCACAGAAAGCTCCATCAGACTGACCCTCTGCTTTAACAAGTCTTTTTGTGTTGGAGATGTAGAAAAAAGTAATGAGCAAGACTTACTCTGATATGCTCAGTCTGCAGACATTTAGCTGCGTTTTACCCTGTGTTACTTTTTGTGAAACAGAGGCTTCTGTTCTTTCTTGCTCATAATCAAAGTCAGACTACACTATAGGTTTAGCTCGAGAAAACGACACGCTACGGTGCTGGTGCCTCTAACCTGGTGTCCCTGTCAAAACAGTGTCATGAGACTGTACACGGAGCAGGGCTGATCTTTCCTCATTCCACAGAGGGTTTCAACAGAACCTGAACATGGGTGTGGCGTGTGTGTGTGTGTATATTTGTTTTTCGTTGTAGCTAAGAGGTTTCTGACAATGTGCTGCTTGCATTTACTGCCGCTTTGCTGCTTTGTCAGTCACAGTTACTTTCATCCTACTTCAGAGAAAAGAAGCACCAACCCTCTCCTTTGTCTGACAAGCCTGCAAATCGGAGTGTATTTAGTTTTTCGTAGCAACTATAATGCCGGGGAAAGTCTCCTCGCCAGCCTTTCCTCTCAACAAAGCAGCATGAAAATTCTGCTCATGAGGCATCTTATTTTTGGCTAAGTGGTGCATGACGTAAGCGGGGGCAGTATTTTTAGAATGGGAAGTTTTATGTCTGCAAAAAAACGGAAGTGGCAGTGAGATGACATTTTCTTGAGTTTCATTTTGCACCGTATGATGCAAACTTGACTGAGACGACACAACACAACAGTTTGAGAAACAGCTGTTGCAAAACCTGGAGCTTCATTTTCAGGTCACGAAATGCAGCTTGCTATTTTTTCTGCATTGGTCCTGCAGTAAAATGTTTGAGTCAAGCACTTACGATAATTTGTGAAAGCAAAAGAAAAGAGTGAACATTTCCCTCTTCTTGTCACCTTTTATGGCCTCAGACACTTCATTAAAACAAAATACTGTCTCTGCATGACCATGACCACTAATAATTCATCAGTCACTTCTGCAGCATTAAGTGAATGCAACTTTTGTGTTTGTGTGTCTTTGCAGAGGGAATCCCTCAGGTGTACTACTTCGGCCCTTGTGGGAAATACAACGCCATGGTGCTGGAGCTGCTCGGGCCCAGTCTAGAGGACCTGTTTGACCTTTGTGACCGCACCTTCTCCCTCAAGACCGTCCTCATGATAGCCATACAGCTGGTAAGGCCTTTTAGAGGAGAGCCCCGTGCTATTTCAATGTCTGGATTTACTAAATAGGTATCACAACTCTGTATAGGTGTGTAGTCAAAAAGGCATTTCCTGAAAGCAGCTTTTACGGCGTTCAAGCATAACCTGAGCTCTGAGTTGAATATGAGTGTACTCACTAGTTGGAAATGCGGGGTTCATTCAGATGATGCTAAAAATGATGAACAAATCTTCCATTTTCATCCAGAAGAGCCTGAAATATTCATGAGTAACAATGCACATTAATCTTTTGAAAACACTGCAGCAGCAGTGGAGTCAGGAGTCAACTGTTCCAATGTATGGTTCACTTATTCATCATTTACCAGACCTGGATTTCCTTAATGGATGATAAAGCGCTGGACTCTGGCACTCCGGTGAAATATTTAGCATAGTTGTTCAGCTGTAACAACAGACTTTCAAGAAAATGTAATTAAAAAAAGATTTGATTTAATTTAGAAACAGGAACATGTCAAGATTATGCAATTGAACAAAATGTATATGAATAGATATGTATTTCAGATGTTGGAATACTCACTTTGTTCCCCTGACTGCTTTCCTAGATAACGCGAATGGAGTATGTTCACACCAAGAGTCTGATCTACAGAGATGTGAAGCCAGAGAACTTTCTAGTTGGGCGACCTGGAAGCAAGAGGCAGCACACGATCCACATCATTGACTTTGGTCTGGCCAAAGAATACATAGACCCGGAGACCAAAAAACACATCCCATACCGGGAGCACAAAAGTCTGACTGGGACGGCGCGCTACATGAGCATTAACACACACTTGGGGAAGGGTACGTTTCCAGAACTGGGCTACAGCTTAGTCAGCAAGAACACACACACACACGCAGAGGACCGTGTTTTGAAATATATGACCTCGGGTGGGGATTTATTTGCTTATTATCTCGTTCCCTGAATTCTGGTGGTGCAGTCAGACTAAACACGAAGCTGAATATCCCCCGATCTTTATCACTAAACATCAACTGAAGTTCTGGTGAAATTCACCCGTCCGTGGATAGTTGCCTCCATTGTTCCATTTCCTGTTTATCATCAAAATCAATAACTGACCTCATACCGGTTACAAAATGTAATTTGGAAAATGAAGATATGTAGTGGATGGGCAGCAAAATTCTTTTGATGCTCTTTGGTATTAAGACTCAAACTCATACCAAATTTTGATGAGAAAAATGAAAAGATTCTTTAATTAATTATATGTACTCAGCAGAAATGAGAGGCTAAAACATTTGATATAAACTTTAAATGGAATGGCACACTCCATCAGGTCAGATTTGGGTGTTTGCCTGAATAGAAAACGGAGGTCTATTGGTAATAATGATAATAAAACAACCTTTTAAACTGAATTTCTATGCTGTAGTTTCACAATATCTGTGCAGTTGAGCTGTAAAGTTTGATAGTTGCAAAACTGGTTCTAAAAGAGATGAAGTCACTGGCACTGAGTCCAAGCTCTAAATTATTATCTTGGTCTTTTGTTTCCAGAGCAAAGCAGAAGGGATGATTTGGAGGCGCTGGGTCATATGTTTATGTACTTCCTCCGAGGCAGTCTCCCCTGGCAGGGCCTAAAGGTACTGTCTGCACTATATTGTGTTTATATAAATCACATGCTTTTAAATGATGATATGAATCACTCCTCTGTAATCTACTTAATGCTGAGTATTTCTTTTCTTGTTATGTTTCATCCTCATAGGGAGGACCAGGTGTTTACTGCAGGTCCTTCTCACACTAATGATTTTGTTAAGGTCCCCCACTGATTTGTCTTCTTCCTTATTTAAAAGCTCAAGAAAGTCCTTCAAATACAGAAACTTTCCAGGGCCTTTTATTATTATTTACACATATATTTTGTGCTATGGCTTAAAAAAACTAATCACATGTAGATAATATGACACAAAGAGCTGGTGTGGACAGAAAAATTACATGGAAAAGGTTTTATTATTTATCCCTCCCCTCGGCAAGCTGTATTATACAATTCAATATGTTTACCAGCATCGGGACACCCTTTTAGACACTGATATGCTTTGTGACTGAGACGGCTTACACAGCTAGTTATCCCAGTCTCTCAGCACCCACAGACCTGGGTTTAATATCCTTTAAGCCCTCTAAAACTCTGTCTCGCTCACTCCTTTGCTGCATAACAGACGCACCACAAACTTGACGTCCATGCTTTCATTTATATCATAATTGATGAGATACAGGACATAAAGTAAAGAGAGCATCCCCGTTTTCCCAGACAGCAACTCACAGAAGGCAGCGATGGATGCACAGCTTTCTGAAGGCATCCGTATCAAAGGTGTATGTAGAACAGTCGAAAAGAAAAGACATCTCATGTGAACATTTGCTGTGTGGGTGGAAGCTCTTGATAGATGAATGTGAGGGATGTGGTGTGGGAGATGTTGCATGGTTCAGGCCAAAACAAGCCCTCAGCAACACATAACTGCACAAGAGCTGCCATTAGAACACAATGGAAAAGACATCTAACATAGTCGAACTCGTATGGAATCTACTGATTGGATGCCATTAGGGGATTAAGATTCATCAGTTCTGAGAAATATGCAGAATTTTCTATCAGCCTTACACGGAAGGGAACCCATCTGTTTAAACAATGGGCATGGCAGCAGGTGGGTTATACTGACAGCGTCCAATAAGAACCTTTGATGGTTCTCGGTAGGATCAGACTTTTGGTCAAGAATCGCATCCTTCATCCTTAAAAGCACATGTGGTGATGAAAGGGATGGTCTTTCTTAAGATCCGCAGGGCAGATCAAGTTATCAGATTAGTGTATTGAAGCATTTCAGCTTTTGTCATGTGCAGTTTGTTTTTCCAGGCAACAAAAACAAATGAGAGAATAAGTAAAAGAGGAAATGACGTTTAGCAGGAACAATAAATGTGAGGTTTATTTTTAGGCCACGGCTCCCAGCTCTGGTCTGAAATGCTGTGTCAGTTACATAAACACAAGAATCCAGTGCCACACATGTCAGTGAGATGACTCAGGAGGCGAGTATGACTAACTGGGAAATTTGCATTTGTCTGCAGCTTGAAGGCCCAAGCTGACACCCGTTTGAATATCACTTAGTTTGATTTTCATTTCCATACAGCTCTATTTTTAAGTTTTCAGTGTGCTCAAACCGGGTGTGTGTATTCTGTCCCCTCAAGGCCGACACTTTGAAAGAGAGGTACCAGAAGATCGGAGACACCAAACGAGCAACGCCGATTGAAGTGCTCTGTGAAAGCTTCCCTGGTCAGTGGAAGCAACCATTCCCACGCGTTTCCTCTTCATTGACCTTCCTCCTTCTCAGCGCTCTGGTTTGTTCTCATCTGACACAATGTTCTTCTGCGTTACAGAGGAGATGTCCACCTACTTGCGCTACGTGAGGAGGCTGGACTTCTTTGAGAAGCCAGATTACGATTACTTGCGGAAGCTCTTCACTGATCTGTTCGACAGGAACGGCTACGTCTTTGACTATGAATACGACTGGGTTGGAAAATCCCTCGTGAGTGCATCTGGCTGCAACGACTTGACATCCCGCTGTCCACCTAACACTCCTCATGTATCATGGCCTCTCCTCCTTGATTGATTTCTTTCTTTATTATATGTCAGAGGATCAGCAGGGATTACTTTTACAAATCTTTCTTGGCTGTAGTTGCTCATATCTATACATATGTCATATGTCATATCTATACATTTATTTAAGGAATAACCTCCATTTCAAGCAGGGATAAAAACAAAAACAAACTGCAACAGTTAGCAATACTTTACACATTTTGGCTTTTCTTTCTTTTTTTCTTTTTTTTAACCAAACTCCTGGATGTGTAAAGTGCCATAAGTTAAATTTTTTTCCGTACACACTACGCAGGTAAATCTAGATAGCCTCTTATTTCTAGCAATAGTTCTGTACCAAAAGATTTATTTTCTGACCGTGACAAGGGTCAAATCCTCCAGGTCAGAGGAGTCTGAACTCTTCGGCAGTATCGCAATCATGTGTTGTTGTTGTTGTTTTTTTTTTATTTAATTGAATTTGTTTTTATTTTTTTTAAGCTTTTCTGATATTTCCTTACCTACATCCAACAAAGCTCCTCTGGAACTGTTGTTTTGATTTTTTTGCTAAACAGGGAAAGTGTTTTTTATTTTGATACTTAGCTTTTTGTTGCTTTTGTCCCAGCCCACACCGATAGGCCCCATCCCCAGTGACACGCCCCTGCAGCCCAGCGGCAGAGACAAAGCACAACAGCAAACCAAAAACCAGGTGAGTTCATCTGCAAAGAAAAAAGAAAGAAACAAACCCAGTCTATCTACCTGATTGACCGTTCAGCCAACTCTGCCATTCAAGTTTATCCAGCCGTACTCTTGATTTGTGGAACTGTGAGCAACTTCCTGGAGAAAATGGCTGCAGCTTCCTGTTGCTGCCCCCTCCCTGGCTGCCAGCGACAGCAGCTGTCCTTAAATTTAGTTTTAGCTTCAGGAAACTAAATAATTGAAGAGTGGAAAAAGAAATGCTCAGTCACGTGTTCAGCTCCGGCTGTGAAAGAAAGCAATGTTTATCCCCTCAGTTAATTTCCTCCCACCTTGCCACTCTAAGCACCAAGTCATTGCATGAAAGAGTTGAAAATGCAAATTGCATTGTTCATACCAGAAATGACGAGTTATTGCTTAGTGTGGGACCAAGTGTCATTTTTTGTTCTAACAGCATGCTATCTGAGCCTTGTTTGGTTTATTAGAAAAGCAGCAAAAATAATTAGAGCTTTATGATGTTTGAAAAATCCATAAAATCTTGCCAATATACGTATCTAATGGTGCAAGCCATCTTGTTCGACTTGATGAGCCTGACTCATCATTTCCCATAAAGCTGTAGAGGGTGAAAATTAGATTTTACGACTGACTTATTACAGTGGACTCTAGCCTCTTTTTACTGCTCTCCATTTACTGTGATTGGCTTGGTAACAGCTTTCCACCTTTTAATGCTGGATAAGCTCCTCCCTCTGTACATTGCTCACCACCGAAAACCTGAGACGGACCGGTTAAGACAGTCACAACCGCATGACAAGACTGACCTTTTCTCTGTAGTTCAATGTCATATTTGTGAAACAAAGTAAAGAAAAATAGATCTTTGTCTGAAGACGAAAGACTAAAGAGGCTTTAACAATTATCACTCCAGGTTTTAAAAGCACCCGATGACATCGATTGTTGTCCTTATTGAATATTAGACGCTACCTAAGTTGATCAAGGCTGTTTTCTTTTACTCCTGCATGATTTTTTATGAGTGTTGATCTGTGCTTCACATAAATTTTTGCTCCCCTCTCCTCCTCTTATTAACATAGTTTGTCTTAACAAGCCTGCTTCTGCTTGGGAAATGTCTTCTATAATTTAATTTCTTTTTTTTTTTTTTTTTTTCATTCACTCCCCCTCCCCTTCACACATCCCTCACCCCCCCTCCACTACATTGCCTCTCCCTCACCCGCATTTCCCCCACTCCCTTTTCTCACCATCTCACCACACGTGCCTCTACCCCCCTTTTTGCTCTTTGCGTCAAGTCACCTGAGCCCAAAGGAAGTGAGTCTCAGCCCACTCCCGTGACCAATAAGGAGACTCTGGGGTCGCACCTTACAGCTGAGCGGCTGGGGGGCTCTGTTCAGGTACCGCTGCTGCTACTGCTGCTGCTCTGATGGCTCTTAAGTGCATGAATCTGCCTGATTTAGTGATTTATTTATCCCCACCCCCACCCCCCGCCCCTTCTCACCGTGCCTGCATGTTAGATGCTCTGTTTTGACTTTTGTGTGTTTGCATCACCCTCTTTGGAACCCCATGTGTGCCATTGCTTTGTGTGTCGCTCTCGCTGCTGGATTGAACTTATCTGCTTGTAGGCTGTCAAAAAAAAAAAAAGGCTGTGCAAGGATGATATCCAGCTGTATGCAAAACCTGATAAAATAGACTGTTATTACAACAACAACAAAAAACCTCAAAGGTCATGAGCGAATTATTTTTTCTTCTATGTTTTGTTAGTAAAAAACGAAGCTGCTTAATATGAAATTTGGAGACCGCGACAGTTTATGGGTACATTATGTCAGCGGTTCAATTCTGTTTCATCAGGAAGTAGGCTTCTTGTAGTAAATGAGAAGCAAACACGCCACCCAGTGTTGGCTCACAGAAGTGCCGCTCTGTGACCTAAAGGGCAGGTTCACATGCCTTTCTCTCATACAGAGTCAAAACAGGTTTTCCTTGTTGCTCTAATTCTTCCTGCTGGTCTTTCTTTTCCTACACCTAAACCTTAAGCTGTCTCCAGTATTTAAATGAACTTGTTTTCTCCAGATATTCCGTCTTTCGGGTCTTTTAAGAAAACAAAAAATCAAAACAAACTTTTTTATATTGGCTGTATTTTCCTGTTGTCGTGTTTTTGAAAAAATGACAACACAAAAACTCTATGAAAAAGCTCCCCCTTTTTGCAGCAAGCAAAACCTTTCTGTATCCGCGTTGGGGGGTCTGAAGCGCCTTAAGGCCGACGTGAAAATATGTGGAACTGTCCTTTTAAACTCGGCCGATTTGGCTTTGCTGGCCTCACTCCGGGTCAGGCGCTCCGTCTGCTCTCTCTACCTGTCAGGGTGGTCTCTGGACATAATGGGGCGGGGGGGGGTCTGCGTTAATGTAGGTCTCCACCGTGCGGCCTGCAGGTCAGGTGTCTGTGTTTGAGCCTTGTGCTGTCTTCCGTCTAAGGTGATGAGCTCAACGAACGGCGAGCTGAACACCGATGATCCCACAGCCGGACACTCCAACGCGCCCATCACCGCTCCCACCGAGGTCGAAGTGGCCGATGAAACCAAGTAGGCAAAAGCTCTGGGCTACCCTGGGTTCCAGTCGTTTGGGTTCAAAAGCACATCCAGATGTTTTAGCTGTGTTATTTATTGATTGATTGAAGTCAGTAAAATGCTTAAAGAAATGTCATCTGCCCTGAATTCTTGGTTAAAAAGACTTCAGCAGAGTTTGGATGACCCAAAAGACAGGAGGATGCCCTCGTTTCGCTCTGTTGTTTCCATGTCTCACAGTGCAAGTTTTTTTTCCTAAATTAAATCTTTGCTCTCTCTCGCAGGTGCTGTTGTTTCTTCAAAAGGAGAAAGAGGAAAGCCCTCCAGAGGCACAAGTGAAAGAAGAGAGCCGAGAGAACTTGAAACTTTGTGGTCACTGTCAAGTTTTAAATGGAAGCAACTACACAAAAAGTCCCCCGTCCTCTTATCCTCTCTCCAGCCTCCCCCACACGTCTTTACCCCTCTCACCTCCCCACCCCACCCCCCGTCACCTTGTACCCCCCCCCCCCTCGCGCTCTCTCTCTCTCGTTCTCAGTGCTCCCTGGTTGATGCAGAGTCGCAGGAATGTTGCAGTCCTACTGACTCCAGAACAGACTCTTGATTCCTCTTCCGGTGAAAACTTAAGCGTCCCTGCAATGCAACAGGGGGGGCCTCGAGAAAAAGTATATAAAAAAAAAAAGCTGTAACAATGAAACTCGAGTACAGTGGCGTGAATATGAAAAAAGATGCTGTTTGAAGCAGTTGTTGTATTCTAGATTCCATGCAGAGCGTGTTTCGTTCAGACAGTCGGCTGTTGATCAGGGGAAACCATCCAAGAGGCTCGGATGAAAGAAATCTGCTCCTTAGGAAATCGTTCATTTTTCTTTTCGTTGCTGTGTGTATTTGGGATCAAGGTAAAGAGGAAAAGGTGATTTATGCTGATGTTAATTTAGAGACACAGGAAGCATTTCATCTATAAAACTTAATTTGAAAAAAATTTTATGTTTTTTTTTCTTTTCTTTCTTTTTTTCTTCTTTTTTGTAAGTGAATCCTCAGTTTTTGAAGTCGGATCCCTGCATTGAAAACTTACTTTTATGTTGTAGTGTTCTGGAGTTCAATCCTTTCCTCACTTTGGCTTTCTTTTTGTCTGTCATCGTGGTCTTTGTAGCACAGTCACTGGCCTCAGGTACTGTGGAAGAATGAGAGAAACGGATTAAGCTCTCTTATTATTGCACTTTTGGGGAAAGGAAAACAATTACGGTGGAAAACTAGGTTTGAAATTAACAATTAAGAAAACATCTTAATAAAGACTGATCTAGGAGGAGTCCCTCACATCGCTTATATCTGAGTAATGGCTGAAAAATGTTGTCAGTTTTTTGTTTTTGTTTTTCCACGGAAAAAGCCGAAAAAGAGTCTTTTGATTTTTATTCCTTACATCAAAAATAATTTACCAGGAAATCATAGTTTGTGCCTTTTTAAGTAAAAATGTTTAAAGCTCAAGTAAGTGTCCCGCAATGACGTTTAATCTAATCTGACCCAAATGCTCTCTGGATTACTGTGTGTGTAGGCGCGCGCGTGGGAGATTGTATGTTTGGGAGGGCGCACGCGGGTGCTTGCTAATCCAGATGTTTGTTTTTTTTTTTGTACACAAATATGAGTAATGACTGTGTGCACGTCCGTCTCCGTCACTTGTGCATCTTCCTCCACGAGTCTGCGCCGCGACGGCCGGCGCATCTGGACGCCAGCGGCCCAGGCGGTCCACGGCTTGACCAAGAAATCTAAAGGACAAAATCCACAATGCGTTTGAAGCATTGTTTGGTTTCTGCTGGTTGTCACCGGCAGACAAGCAGCTCATCTGTGTTTTTTTTCTTCTTTTCTTTTAAAGGGTACATCAGGTCTCCAGCATCACTTTCCTCCTGATTCTGATCAAACTGTAATAGATGGTTTTAAAGAAACAAAAAAAAAAAAAAAAAAAAAATATTTTTTTTTTTTTTTTTTTCTTTTTTTTTGGTAGGTATTTCGATTTTTTTTTTACCCTTTTTAGTTTTTTTTTTTCTTTCCTTATTTTGTTTCCTGCTGCTCTGTGTTGATGAATGCTTACATTTCCCCGAAAATGTTAATGGGGATCAATTTTTATTTTTATTTTCAAATGCTACTGCTTCAGTTTAAGGAAGGATGTCATTCGTCCACCAGCAGATCGCAGAGGCGGACATCCCTAGTTAACTTTAAATGACGTTCACATACAGTATCCTCCATTTCCCGTTCATTATTTGGACATCTACAATCACAGCTGCGCTGCCCTCCGAACCCCCTCCTAAAACCACAACCCTGCAGTTGCTCTGATTGTTTCCCTAAACCACGCAACTTCAGCCCAGGCCAACCTTTCCCAGGTGACAATGCCACTAATTTCTTTTTCAGTCTTTCTAAAACTCTTTTTGTTTTTATTTTACCCTCATCTTTACATGTGAAATGGGCAAAGTGCTCCCTTTAAAGGCCCACTTGAGCCTGCTTGTCCTCGTGGTCACAGACTGACCACTGAGCCGACCCATCGGGTCACAGCGGCCCGGGCCTCAGCCGCCAGAAAGGACCAGAAGGATGTGTGAAATCATCCCGAAACGTGCGCAGCGTTTTCCTAAAAGAAAGGTGAAATCCAAAAGCAACTGACGCACAACCCAAAATGGGGGCTTTGAAAAGATGTGATGGGAGATGTGGTGGGAAAACGGAAAAACAAGTCAAAGTAAAAAGGCACGTCTGGAGACGAGAGAAGTAGAAACCCCTTCTGCATCGTTTGTGGTTTTGTTGCTCGGTCAGGGTTTCTCAGTTTTTTGCTCATGACTGTGAATCACTGGCTGGTTTAGTTTAAGTTTAGATCAGCTCAGCATCCTCTGACCAGTGTGTGACAGCTGCGTGACATGAGTGACTACCAAGGGAAAAACATGTCATCCTCCAGGTTCAGGATTTTGCTAATGCCCATTGTTTTTTTATCAACGAAACAAAACAACTTTTTAATATACAGCTGAAAAATTGTTTCTCGGAAGACTGATGAGGATAAAGATTAGGAGACAGAATTTGAACTCTGATGTCAATTTGACTTCAGTCACTCAAACCCATAGACGACTTGATACTTGACACCTCAATCTGACTTTTACAAAAAATGTTCTCAGTATTTTGTGAATTGTAATTTTAGCCTCCCATGTGAGTGGAATTGGTTTGAAGTCAAAGTGAGATGAAGGTATGTCATTTTGGAGTAGTTTTTTGGGAATAAAGTGCTCTAATTTCCCCGTGCGAGGGACGGAAAGAGGAAGCAGCTGTGCAGGAAGCCCATTGTGTAACTCACGGTTTTTTTTGTTTTTTTTAAATGCAACTCATAACCACGACTTAATTTACACGACATATAAGGCGTGTAGACCTCAGAGCTGTACGTTTGCCGCTGCATAATAACCCCCCCCACACACCTCCAGGTGTCTGGAGGAGAACTGGAGGCACCGGTGCGCCTTTACGCGTGAAGGCGGACAGCAGCGAGCATTAGCCGGCTTCATCAGACAATACCACCCGGAACCACACCGGTTCAGCTGGCCAGCGCGGGGATCCAGCTCGGTATAATCCATTACTCTGCTTTTTATTATGTGATTTCTAATTGGGGAGATTTTTTTTTCTTCTTTTCCTTTTTCTTTCGGAGATGTTCAGACCAGGGTTGAACTGTGCTTCTGCTCTACGTCTCTTGGTGTAACTATTTGCAACATGTATTTGTAAATATGACAACGACAGATCTCTAATTGTGAATAAAGGAAGTTTTATCACAGGAGTCGGTCATGGAGCGGTTTGTGCCGGCGGATCGGTCTCTGTCCGCCTGCGGGCGCCTCTGTTACGCCACGGGACACTTTCTCAACGACCTGTGCGCCTCCATGTGGTTCACCTACTTGCTGGTCTACCTGCACTCCGTGCTCGGACTGCGGAGCACCTACGCGGGCGTGCTGCTGCTGATTGGCCAAGTGGCGGACGGGATTTGCACCCCTCTGGTTGGCTATGAGTCAGACAGGACAGAGGGACTCCTGAAACACGGCAAGAGAAAAAGCTGGCATCTTCTGGGCAAGTACCAAAGAAAATTGTTAAGTACACGCAGAACGCACAAATGATGCATCATGCCCTGCGTGCGTCACAATAAGCAAGAACTATGCGTTATAAATGCTTTATAAATGCTTTATAAGCATATATATGCGGCAAGTTTCCAGACTGATGGAGGCCTGTCTGCTCCAGCTCTTTAACATTGTTCTGAATAGCCGGATTTGAACCTTTCCTTAAAAACCCGTCCATCTCCAGGAACCATCTGCGTCCTCGTGTCTTTCCCCTTCATTTTCACGCCCTGCCTGGCGTGCACGGACAGGACCCCCCAGTGGGCGCAAATCGTGTACTTCGCCCCTTTCGTCGTGCTCTTCCAGTTCGGCTGGGCGGCCACGCAGATCTCGCATCTGTCTCTCATCCCCGAGCTGGTGTCCCGGGACAGCGCCAAGGTGGAGCTCACCGCCTACAGGTGAGATGACCGCGTCCGGACGTCCAGCCGAGGCCGAGGAAGTGACCTGCAGGGCACTAACAAAGGAGGCAAGCACCTACATTAAGATATTTCAGAAAACAAACATGTCTTCCTTCTGTTTGGTTAAACAAACTCAGCTTCCAATGACAAATGTATCCTGATTTGTCCAATTTCTACGATATATTAAGCCAAATGCACACGGGACTCACTCAGATGAAACCATCAATAAGTCATTTCTCCATTCTGTTATGTGTTCATTGGCTCGACTGATATTTAAAGTAGATCACCTGGGGCCCTTTGGAGAAAAAATTCCCACCAAAACTGCATTTAAACTTCACACAGGTCTTTCTTATCAATATCAAACTCATCTCTTCTTACACCACCTGTTCAAAACGCGTCATTGCCCCCTACCGTCAGTATGATCACACCACATGGAACTCAGTGATCAGTGGGATTATTGTACTTTGAACTGCTTCTAAAAGAATCAAAGTTCCCCTTTATTCGCTTTTAAACAAAATGATTGAATTTCTCTGTCCTCTTGCAAGAGTCCATAAGAAAAAACTAGGGGGAAATAAGCGGAATGATCTGGCTTTATTGATATCTTTGTTAAGTTTATTGTTAAGAAAATAGTGGTTGCCATGTCATGCCGGATGTGATAATATTATAAAAAACTGTGATAAACTTGTCCTATGAAACTCAAATTCTGACATTACTTTAAAGCAATTTGCATTGCTTTGATAAAGTCATTGTCCTTTTCCAATCTGACATCCATTACGGCTAATTCTGGTTTTCCACTCTTCTGAGCTTGAAAACATATCAAATACGCAGCTCTTGATCTACATCTTCTCCATTTTTTCAAGTGTTTTCCATCTGTGCCTGACCTTCACTCTAAACTATTGAAATAAAGAAATGCAGAGCTACGTTATGCTGCAGCTGTGTGTGAAGATTTAAGCAATAGGCAGAAATGTCTCCTCTAGAAAACACATACAAAAAAAGGAACTCGAAAAAGAGAAGGTCAAATGCTGTAATGTGTGAGCAATGTCTCGTGCTTCCCAAAATTCTGACAGTTAAATTGGACGTTTTCAGCCGCCGTGTTTCTGTGTGAGGCGTCTGATGTGTTTGTCCGTGGCTGTGTAGGTATGCCTTCAGCGTGGTGGCTAACGTCACAGTGTACGCCGTGGCGTGGCTGCTCTTCCACCTGCAGTCCCGGGGCGGCGTGGACCCCTCCCTCTCGGACAGCCTGGGCCCGGCGGACGCCGCCCTGTTCAGGGTAAGACCGGCCCCTAACCCGGGAGCTTCACCCTCCCTCTGAGGGGGCCACGCGTCTCACCGCAGCTGTCTGTGATGGCAGACGCTGGCCCTCGCTGTGCTCGCCGTCGGGGCTTTGTTCTCCTTGATATTCCACGTTGGCACAAAAGAGGATCCGTCTGCATCAGGAAGAGGGGACCGGCCAACGCCGTCCGCCTCCACGCCGGAGTCTGACGCTCCTGCCGTGTTTCAGTGGAAGCACTGGTTGAAGGAACCGGCCTTCTACCAGGTGACTGATTTTTCCGTTTAGTTTTTGGCCACGGGAAATCTCTTTTGGCGGTGTAATTGGATATCCAGATTTCAACATCAATTTCCAGTTGCTAGATTAAATTAATAAGTAAATGGGGAGATGCATATTAATTTCTGTTTGTCATATACTTAAACAAGTAAAAGGCTAATGAATGAGAAGGATGAAGGGACCATCTACTCAACTCTATTATACTATATTGGGTTTTATTAAATGGTCTTGACTTCATTTTGAAAAAACAATGCAAATATTACAAATTGTGATCTGATTTGGTACCAGATGGCTTTTCTCTACATGTGCACCAGACTCATTGTGAACTTGTCTCAGACGTACATCTCAGTTTACCTCACCTACTCACTCATGCTGTCAAAGGTAAGACCTCAGACAGTTTGTTTTTGGCTCTTGTGCGAAACGTTGGGTTCTAATTTAATATTCATTTCACACATCTTTTCCCCTCAGAACTTCATTGCCATCATACCTCTAGTGACGTACATCAGTGGCTTTGCGTGCTCGTTGGCCATGAAACCAGTGAGCAGACTTATAGGCATCAGTGTGAGTGTGCCTCACTTTTCACGACTTCCTCTTCCCGCAAATTCCTTTTTTACATGTGTAGCAGTTTTGTCTTATTTCACTGGGTTGACTTTTTCTGAACTTATTTTTCTGTAAATGATCCGCAAGATGATTATTATCTATTCATAAGTGCCTTTGATTGTGCTTTAAATTTGAAGCCTTGCGGTTTAGTGAAATGTTTAAGTTATTCGTTAGATAAGGCCCAGCTTTGTGTCATGTTCAAGAACAATTGGCTCATAATAAATGAAATATCCCCGCGACCCCATGAGGGAATAAGCGGTATTGATAATGGATGGATGGATGGATAAATGAAATATACTTTTCTTAAATTCTTCATTCTCAATCTTGTTCTGTCAGATGACTTATTTCGTCGGCCTGCTGCTGGTGCTCGGTTTTGCTGCCTGGGTGTTGGTGGATGATAAAATGGGAGGAAACAGCATCTTTGGAGCAGCGGTGCTGCTTGGAGCCGGGTCAGCCACCATCCTGGTCATGTCTCTGTCCATGACAGCCTCTCTCATTGGGGAGCAGACAGTACGTCAAGGGCAAAGAAAAAAAAAGGAATGGATAGTTTGAATACTACAGGGTTTAAAACAATTTTAAAAATAAGTTAAGCACATCCTTTTTTTTAGAAATTAATCTTTAAATGCTGCCTTCAAAACTTCAAACAAAATCATGCATCAAGTTAAACAAATAGTCGGAAGTAGATCCTCATGCTGAGCCAAACAAACCTAAAATAGAATAAGTTATCTGCTAATTCATAAAAATCTAAATTTAATAGAACTTATCGTGGACCAGTTAACTTGTTTCAATGAATAATCTTTGTCTTTATAAATACATTATGAATGTTAAGATCATTTGACCTGTTAAAATCCTGCATGTATGGAACAAGGATGGAAACCAGAATTGTATTGCTGTCAAATCCTCAGAGTTGAATACAGACAAGTATGATTTGTTTTTCAACTGACTGAAATATTTTCTCATTTCTGTGTTGTTTAAAGCAAAGTGGAGCTTTTGTTTACGGGTCGATGAGCCTGACGGATAAAGTGGCTAACGGTGTGGGAGTCATGCTCATTCAGAGCATCTGGCCCTGCAGGTGAGTCCCTCTGTGACGCCCTGATATCCCCTCTCCTTTAGAACAGAGCAGTGAGGGGCGGAGCCAAAGATCCAGAAACACCCTGAATGTTTGGACTCTAGCCCTGCCTTTCTCTGATCCTTAGAACTGGAGTTTTAGAGTAACACGGTAGAACTGGAGCTGGAGGTCAATCGGGGAACGCATTGTTGCTCATTGACATGCACACAAAACCAATGAATATGTTACAGATTTAAATATAGCAGTTTCATATGAGCACATGTTGTTTTTCTTTTCTCTCCTTGTACTAGTGAGGATGAAAAGTGCAGTTTAACAACATCAGATTGAGTGCTTTTTTTTTTTTTCAAAAAGAGATGCCCTGACACTGAGCTCTGCAATATCACAAATCAGTTATTTTATGCCACTCTAACATCCATCATGGCTCAGCTGTTATATAACTGGGCTTATTGAAATCTTTATGGCCTAAATGCTGCCCAGGCAAATCAGACTGAAATGTGATAATGCAGTTTGGATCACTGAACATGTTTGTGAACAGCAAAAGCAGCACAATCTGTTTGCTGCTCCGCTGGGGCATTGGAATCTGTTTTATGGGACTTATAGAGCAGCTAACAGAGATCCAAAACTAGTGCTCATTCAGGATTGCATTTTGTTCCCAGATGGTATCTTTGAATTCTGCTGCTTCTTACAAACATTCATTTTTTATCAATGACTTTTGTATCCCACAATATATCTTTTAATAATCATTCCATTTTTGTGCACAAATCACCACAGATATAAGTAGAAATACTGACAGATGGACCGACCAGCAGAGATATAGTCGACAGAGTAATCCCAGTCTAATCCTTTAACTTTTTTTCCTATTCAAAATTATATCATAAAATGGATTATCCAGTTTAGCACAACAAACTTGACCTTTAATTTCCAAAACTGAACTTTTTGATCATATTTTTTTGGCCCTTCCTCTTTCTCCTCCCCACAGAACAGAGTCGAGCTGCCCAGACTGTGTTTGGTTTTATCGGGACGTCATGGCGACTGTAACCGGGGGCGTTGCTGTGGTTGCTACCCTTTGCCTGGTCACACTTCTCGTCTGGCCAGTCAGAATAAGGAACTATTACATTTTGAACTCAAGGACTCAAGGATAAAAACGTTTCTTAACTTAGATTTTTAACTTCAATTTGACCTAATTTCCTTTGGCTGATTCATTTCCCCCCTACCTGCTGATTGTTGTTGTAGAGGAGTGCCTGTACAGATATTAAAACCATGCCACCATCTAGTGCATTAATATGTAACTACACTGCTTTGAAGAAAAAGCGCAGAAACAGAGAATACCGCTCAGACCGCTAAACTTACAACTCTTACACCAAACTTGTGGTTTAAAACAGAGATTATGGAGAAATGTTACAATTGGGGAACATAAAGACTGATACCGAAAAGAAAAGTGAACATGGTTTGATGGTTGTAATAATTTGTTGTATTTAAAAAAAGAATTCTTTGCACATTTTACAAAATATTAATTCATATTAATTTTGTATATCTAGTTGTGTCCTTATCTGATGTTTTATTTGCTTACAGGCCTTATGATCATTTCTGAGAAATAATTTATTTATTTAATAAATTGGTAAGCATCTCACAAATATGGTTCCAAATTCTCCTGTCATGAAAATGGACAGAAATCTTCCAAAGATTGTTTCATGTTCCCATTTCCTTTAAATAAGTCAGTGCTAGCTGCAGTTGTTTTTCACTGTTAAGCTGTGATTTGTCCTCGTGATATCTCTGTGCTGAGAGTGTCGCTGTGATATTGCTCTGGTTTGCTGCCTCATTCTTCTAATTTTAAGCTCGTGAACAGCTTTATCTCTGCAGCAAATTAAATAAATAAATCTTTACTAAACACAGTTATTGGGGACAGTAAAGTGAAAAATGAAGGTTAGAGGGTCTTATGGAGGAGTTAGGAGCCGAATTCATTGTCTACAATAAAATGAAATAAATGACATTGCCATGTTGATGGGTTACGGAGAGAAAGAGATTAGTGAGAGAAAAGTTGGATTTAGGACCAATGAGAAAAGAAAAGATTAGGCAGTTGCAGCAAGGTTGGGTGAGTATGGAAAAAAAAACAACTTTCAGTTCCATTTTCTTTGTATGTGTTAAAAATAAGTTTGTCAACTTATCGGTGGGAAATAATGACTGAAGCATTCTGAATTTGGCAAGTTTAAAGAAAAATATCAAATTTTACTTATCTATATTTTGATATATATGAATGTATGGACAATCCTTAAATATGTTTTGTTGTACTAGATTTTGCTTGAATAAAAGTCATACCTAATTTACATAATACATAAATACATGATCATTCTGTAGCCTACTTATAATGTTTGTATTTTGAAATGCCATCTGATTAAAAAAATAGATATACCCACAGTAAGAATTTCGAAAGATAAATTCTATAAAAAAATATTTAGTTTAACACTTTTTTCATATTATGAGAAGCCAATAACACATTTATTCAATCTCCTGAGAACTACATTTTCAAGCAGAAGACTATACTGACTATACATCTTGTAGTTTGAATAGCTAATTTGTTTTTCGCTTTAATTTGTTATAAATATTCTTTGGTGAAAGCTCATTTGGAGCTTGGATTGGCTCCAGGGGGCTCATTCAGCTCCTGGAAGCAGCGGAAATGGCGCCCTCTAGCGGCGGAAACCTGGTGGTGTCGTGTTTTATGAGGGTGGGGGGGGGGGGGCGCATCACATCCCCGCAGACGGACAGGCGGGACAAAGCACTTGTTCTGAGGCAGTTGGTGGACCGTTTTTGTCCGGTCGACGGATAAATCAGCTTTAAACCCAACATATGCGTTTTAACGTTGGTCCAGGAATACGCATCCACATTCTGACGGGCTTCTGCATTTCCCGAACTGAATCAAACTTTGGCTGGAAAGAGAGTTTTGAGAGGAAACACGAGCGGACCCTGGTCAAGTGTTCCCCTCCAGAGGGTCTCAGGTAGGTCAACCTGAATGAAGGTATTTATTTTACTCCAGGAATGGGACAAACTATTAACCATTACTTTTTGTGGTCTCTACATATCTCACGTTTGAGGTATGCTGAGGGTACTTTGTACCCTCCACAGGTAGACCCCCCCCCCCAGTGGATCAGGCTCGTTAGTGAGTCAACTTTACCGTTTGTTATTTATCCCAAAACGAAGCCGTTCCAGCAGAAAAGCATCACAAATCTGCGGCCACATAGAAATATTATGGTATGAATCAAGTTTATTTACGATACGTGCTCACTGCTGCTGATTTAGACTTCAAATGGGTGACGTTAGAGGTTTGGAAAAATAAAACCAACCACTGTTAAAGAGTCAATTCTGACCATTGGTTTGATTAATCTGTTAAAAAAAAGAGGCATATATGCTAAGGAATGCAAGAGTGGCAATGTAAATCTACAGGAACAAAATGATCACTGATCTCATAAATGTGAAGAGTTTTGATGCCCTAAAAGCTTCTGGTATGAGTTGGCAAACACATCCAGACAGGACACTGATTACACTTGGGTTAACTGTAGCACGGCATTAGTATGAAATATTCACAGTTCTATGTAATTCTCTGTCATCACCTCAAGTTGCTTTGCGTTTCTTAGTCTCACCTAACCTGAATGAATGAAATACCTGGATCAGCTTCTTTATCTGCTTTAGTTTCACTCATTTGTTGGCTTATCTTTAAAGTTTCATATCCGTACACAAGTTCTCAAAATGTCCCGATTGCTTTGGGTCACTGATTTAGAGAAGGGTTCTTTAAATATGTTCAGTTTTCCTCCAGAAGACGTCTTTGTGCTGGAGGACACTTCCCGGTGGGGCGTTCAGGGGCAGGAAGTCCAGGGTGCGTTCTGGTGCGGCGGCCCTCGGCCCACACGGGGCAGAGCCCTAATTGTTTTGACAGATCTAAGACATGTGACCGTAGAACTGGGATTCCTTTATGAGCAGACGATAGACTTTCTGTGTTGCAGCGAGGCTGGGGCTGCTGCTGGTGGGTGTGTGTGACCTGACCTGTGCCTGTGGCCTAAACTCCACTATCCGCCCAGCTGGAAAAAGACACGCATGGGCCACAACTGGTGCTACTGCTAGGAGGATGCTAAGTGTACAGTTCACTGTTCGTAGGATGTTTACCATTTGTATAAGCCAAAAAAGGCCTCTTGTTTACATAATGATTGTAATAATTAAGATAATATTTTAAAAGCAATACGTCAATGCCCTTATAGTTTACAGAAAAATGATTATTAGTCAGAAATACACATTTCTGTCCATGTTTGTTTGATAGTGTTAAGGTAGTAATCCCCTTTGGTGAGCAGTCTGACCTGAGGTTTTTTTCCTCTAAACATCTTGAGCCTCAGCTTCCTTCCTGCCGGTTATCTGTGTAAGCAAACTCTTTCTGAGAAAACAAACCAAAGCCCAGCCTCATACAGGACGGACTCTTGATCAATAGTAAAGGACACCTGACACCCTGGTGGACGACATACCGTCCTCCTGTCCTCCCCTTTTCCCCCTTTGAGCCTGTTCCACCTAAGGAGCACAGAGGAGCCCTTGTTTGATCCTCTCTGGACAGAGCCCCAATTTTCTTCCTTTCTTTTTCTTTTTTTCTCCCTCTCTTTTTTAATTCCTGGCTCCATAGCAACTCTGTTCCCGTGACGAGCAGCCCCTGACTTCTGCCCCTCCTTCTCTAAAACAAAGGCAAGAAGTTATGGAGGGAGGAGTTATGGAGGAGAGGGGTTGGGGGGCAGAGCGGGGTATAATGGGAAGGTGTCTGAGATGGAGGCTCCGAGGCCAGAACTCCTCTGCTGTGTGTGCCCAAGTCCTGTAAAGAGAGAAGAGTTATTAAACCCTGCACTGCGCCAAAGACTGTATCTCTTTCCAAATGTCCGAACGTCTGAATGGACGCTTATCTGGGTTACTGTCTTCTTCACCGTTCTACAAAGATACCAGAATGAGAGCAAAGTTTACATGCACAAATGGTTTTGTGGTCAGAGCCCGAACAGGCCATTAAGCTCAACAGACAGCACTTTGCAAAGCCTTTTAATTATTATTATTGGCACATAGAAATAACCTATCACCGTTTACATGATGTCGTTTTTCAAGTAAGTTCACAACAATATGATAGTCCACCTCTGTTATAGACAAAAAAAATCATTGAAGAGCCTCGTTATTTTAAGTGCTTGAGCCAAGGAATTATTTAGTTTTTGTTTGGACATTTCTGTTAGTTATGAATGGAAAGTCTATCCGTTATATTTAAATAAACAAAGAACTATTTTTAGGTTAATCTTTTTGTATTTGAACTGAAGATTAATCAGAAGCAATCAATGGATCAAGCAGAAATTACAAATATTTTCTGTGTCCAGCTCTCTGAAAGTATGCTTATTCTTTTATAGATGGGTAAATATATTATCATAAAGTTCATACTACCAGTCTGATTAAACCAGATGTGAATAAGATGTGAACAAGTTGGATAGTCAATTAAATGTTTAGAGATTGTGCACCCAGCTGTATATGAGAGAGCACACTTAAGGAAATGCTTGAGATTTTTAGTTTTTCTTGTCTTTCAGTGCTGAGCATTTCCGATTGTTTAAGTCCCTGCAGCCTATCACGTCAGCCACTCGTGCTCTGTGGAGCTCAGGGTAGCAAAATCCACATTGTTCGGTTGTATACACTGTAGCCTTGGTTATCTGGGGGATTTGAAGCAAAAAAACAAAATTTCCTTAGTCGAACGGGGACGATGTGAAATGTTCAAAGTCTTTTCATTGTGTGGGCTAGAGAAAGACTCCTACAGCCTGGAAAGAGGCAAAAAGGCAAGTATTGTTGTTCTCTCCCTGTCCTGGTACCAACATCCCCACTCTACGCTCTGACTTAGCTGGTTCAGAATCCTCAAAGCCAAGGTCATTCTTTTCTCTTACTTCTGTTCGGAATACGGGACTTGATCGTTTTTTATGTTGTAGATTATAAATGTCTCAGAAACACAGGATTTACTTCAGTTAGCAGAAACGTGAATCACTCCCCTTAGAAACAGTAAAACATTTACACTGTCCTGTTATTTTGCCTCATAACCAAAGACGGACACGCCTTATTCTTCCATATCTCTGCATTGAGCGTTAGTCATATCAGTTCTGCTGCGATACGCTGTTGGCCAGCCCGTTCTAGTTTTGTTAAGAACCCTTTGGTCTCTTCGCTGACTGCTTCTCGTTTGGTGTTTTCCGTTCACAGTTCTGGACCGTCCTGAGTGATGTTTGACCAGCAGCGTTACGAGAGCCCACCGGTCTACAGCCCTCCTTTCACCCCTCCGTCCAACAATGGCTTTGGACCTCCGGGCAGCTTCCACGGCCCTCAGAGCGATTACAACGCGTACCCACCTCCCCCGGGATCCTACTACATTGAGGAGAAACCGCAGCACTTCTACAAATGGCTGTCACCTCCCGGGATCATAAAGGCCATGATGGCCGTGGTGATCGTGCTGTGCGTGGCCATATTTGCCTGCGTGGCCTCGACTCTCATGTGGGACATGCAGTACGGATTCGGAGCAGGAACGGGTTACTATGGTTCCGGTGCTGGCTATGGTGGGGGATACAGTGGAGGAAGCTATGGCCAGGGGTATGGCGGCTATGGAGGTTATGGAGGCTATGGAGGTTATGGAAGCTATGGCTCATATGTCTCTCCCTACTCAGCCAAAACAGCCATGATTGCCATGGTAGCCATTAACTTTATCGGAACATTGGCTTTCTTCATCGCCAGCTTCTCAAAATCCAACGTAGTCCGAAGCAGGAAATTTTTCCTGGCCCTCCTAATAGGCAGCGTCATCATGGCTGTCCTGCAGGTAACAATTACTTTATATTTCATATTCACAGTAGGCTCCTTATCTTTGGGGAGGTTTTTTAACCAGGTTAATTAAATGATAGTTAGTTCACCATTCCAGCTGATCCCCAATATTTATCTTTTAAATTGATCCTTTTACCTGTTGTTGGCCTCTTAAGTCTGAGTCATAATGTCATTAAATGTAGCCGTGGTTATACAGTATAGTGATCAGTAAAGACGTTTAACGTTTGTCTTTATCATCATCATGCAGCTAGAAAAAAATGAGTGCAAAGAATTACTCTTCCAGTGGGAGGGTAATTTAGATTTGAAATAATTTAGCATCTCATATATTTCACACGTTAAACACAAAAAAGTAGCCAACCTTTTGATTTTTAGTGTGTTTGTATGAAAAAGCAGCATGACATTAGCTTGTCTTTACTGATTCATGACACATGAATGACAAAAATGTGAGAATTCTTTCTCATACCTCAGCTCACCCTTAGTTTTTATATCTATTATGAATGGTATTTAAAGGAGTGTATTTAAAGACACTAAATACCAGACTCCTAATTTGAGACTGGATCCTGTAAACAAAGTTTTAACTCAGTTTTCGCTCCCACCCAGTGTTCCACATGCCGAGATGTTCATGTCAGACCACCAGTATTTAACATGTCTGTGAAATAAAAAAAAGGGAAAACACACCAGTCTCCTTAAGTTATGGACATATTTTGTTAATTGGATCTTTACATGGAAGGTTACATATATTTAATGGACTTTTCTCTCTAAATTCAATACTCTTCAACTCTGTTGTTTGATTCAATGTGTTTTGTTTATTCAGAAACCACAAGTAAATGTATTCATTTTTGGCTAGTGCTGTAGCAGTCGTTTGTGATTGCTGCTCCTTAGTAAGCTCCAACAAATCAGGGTTGGATACAGATTAGATATCAGTGGAGGAGCATTTGAAATGATTCAGTCCAATATGATGACCGTGCCCTTCTTGTCATGTACCCTTTGCACTTATAGTGGGTCGAGGACAGTGTTTGATAAGACAGCTGCTGAATAAGTGTCTTCAAGTTATCTCAGCATTTTCTTCCTCATAACAAAATGGAGTGAGAAAGGAATATTGCCATCTCCTGATACAATGTCTCTTTCAGGGTATCATAACCATTGTCTACATTGTCGGTGTGAATCCCATGGCTCAAAGCTCGTCCAGTATGATGTACAATCCCATGCTCATGATGTGCCAAAGCCTTTATCAGACCAGCTACTCCCAAATGGGGGGAGTGGGAGGCTTCCCCATATACAACCAGTACCTGTACCATTACTGCTTTGTGGACCCACAGGAGGTGTGTTGCTTTTCCTATAGATACTTTGTTTCTGTATAAATGTTATTTAGTTGGATTACACTCGATTTCTTTGGTGTCAGGGAATACTTCTGTCAGATCCCGTAAGCTAAGACGAATAAGCAGAAAAGCCTGTGAAATATTTCCATAATGATTCATTACAAGTTTGAAATAAAGCCTGAGCTAAATGTCAATATAATGTTTTCAAATGCATTTAGTTTGTTTCGTCTTAACAATAAAACAAACAAATGCATATTAACACAATGATAAAATAAAATACAACAACTGAAAAGGGGCATTTATGGGACTGCTAAGTGTAGGTTTTCCTAGAATGATTGTAGAAGGCAATTAGATATATGAGAAAAGATCAAATGTGATACAAATAGCACTCCTGTGTACACAACTGATTTTAAAGTTCCATTTATAATTTGATATGCACTGTTTACTGAAGGTTTCTTTTTCATAAAGCATTCATAACTCTTTGTGCTTCTAATTGTTATGTTTCTTGTGAGATTTCTTGTGTGTGTCCTTTTTGTGTGAAGAAAAAAAACTTCTTCAGACCTTTCTAGATTTTAGCCATGTGTTCTTTACTTTTCTAGGGAATTGCCATGGTGTGTGGGTTCCTGGTCGTCATTGCATTGGGGGTCGCAGCTTTCTTTGCCCAAAAAACAAGAGGGAAGATCTGGCGCTATGGAAAACCGAACATCTACTGGGATGCGCCACTAGTGGGTGGAAGGGCCTCAGAGGGCAGAGATGTGGAGGACTGGGTAAGAGACAACAGGATGGTAAACTCATCTAAATAAGACCATGATTACATTGGATTTAAAAAGAAAACAATACATCTTCACCTTGACGTTGAAATACAATGTTCAGAGACAGGTTTGATGAAATGATCAAATGTTGAACTATAGTGGGTATTCTGGGTAACAGATTCAGCTGCCAACTATTTCCCAAATCCCCCTGGAAAAGTAGGTAACCACACAGGTTAGCAGCAAGGTAGTCATTTTCCGGCTTAGGTATTGTGGTGATGTAGATGATGTATATAGAAAATGTTAGACTGAAACTAACCTCAGAGTAATTTATGACTTTTTATATCAAGCATAAACCCCTTATTTGATTCCATTCTTTTTATGAGTTGAAAGTCCAGGAAGAGCTTGTTATGGATATTTCAGTCAGTTTACAGGATACAGCTTGGAAACAGTCCCAGTATGGTAACAATGTTTGCTCACACTGAGTCACTTTGCTCAGGGTCATGCCTGATAGTAGTGAGTTATATGTGGCTCTGGTCTACAGCCTGGTTTCACTCTGAATAATCATTAACACCTGAGAAGATAGCGAGAAAGTACCTGGTTTCTATGGAGCCTGCTTTAGGTTTTTTTTAAATGTCAACAACATGGTATACGTGTAAATTATTGACTTGGCATAACTTCAATTATGAACACTGGAAGCACAGAAGGTTTAAAGTTGACTTGTTTTGAATTGTATATAAAAGGATTAGATAAACTAAGTGATATATAGTTTATAACTTCTGACTTCTGACGTAGAATCTGACTTCTTAAAAAATATTTCAATTTCTACAACAGCACATCATCTTTGCAGTGATTGATACATCCTTACCTCTATGTATTGCTCACATCCATTGATGTGCGCACAAACTAAGAAATGAAAATAGTTAGAGTGAAACTAAAAGGAAGATTCAAATTAAAATAATGCAAACTTAATCAAAACATTAAAGGGAATAAAATCAAACAGAACAAAATGCATGTTGTATCTTAGTTTGCCATTATGTCTTTGATTTGAAGTGTTTAGATTTCTCTTATACCAGGTTTATCTTCCAGACATAAATAGAAACACCTTGACTGCCCCTTCTGGGCAGACCTAAACATGCAATAAGTGACACCTATAATTGTATTAGATTAGCTCTTAAAGATTCAGAGAATGCTGCTGGTCACTGTGCACCTTTTGCAAAGACTGGAAAATGCTAGCAGCACCACACAGGCATGTGGTTATGGTGGATTATACAGAGCTGTTTGTTATGAAAAGGGGGTGTGATTGCATGGAGTATGGCATCATGCACACAGAGATGTCTCAAATGACTAGCAGAGTAAATCCTCTGACTAGCACTGGTGTCTGATAATGGAGCCACGCTCACTGATGTCATCAGGCTTATTGTAGATACAGTTGCGTAGTGAGAATTGCCTCTTTATATTGGAGCCTGACAAACATTTTTTAGACAAAAAACTTTCAGAAAATATACAAGATATATTCAAGGATTATAAAGCTTTTAAAAAAGTAAAAGAGTTCTTGAGAAAGATTATTCCTATGAAATTTGGTGGTCGATACTAATGGATTTTTTTATGTGTTTACATTGCTGAGTCTCAAAAGCAGGTCAGCCAGAGTGGGCCATATTACAGTCTTATATCCTATAATATAGTCTGCTCATATATTTTAGCCCTGCACAAAGGGTTTTGGGTTCCACGTGTCATTCATTTTCCTCATTCTGCTAATCTTCAACTTTTCCTTTAATTCCATTGTTGCTTGATCACCTGCATTGTCATGTCACTAAAAGAATTCTCAGTCTGGGTCAGAGATTGGACCTGTCTCTATTTAAAAGCTCGGAGAGGCTTGGCCAGTTCTGATGACCTCACACACACAGGCTTCATTGAGCTCGGGCAGGGTGGGGGCTGTATTGTGTCCCCTGCATGAAGTCATCAGAGTTGGTTTCAGAAGGGCTGCCTGTGTCCTACCACAAATGAAACACTGCACAGATGGAGAGAGAAAGCATTCTGACACTGTTTCATGGACGGAGATTAAAAGATCCACACAGAGAATGAACGTTGATTGAAACAGTCGTAAAAAGTTCAGTACAGGACAGCGAAATAATGAAAAGGATATAAGAGAGGTGACTGTGAGTTCTAATGAATGATAACTGTCTTTTATGGTCACATGAATCATTGTCTCCACAAATGTTCCAGAGACATCTATTTTAAATAGTAAGCAGTCTGTTTAGCTATAGTTGATTCACAAAACAGCCGGTTCACAGTTATTGAAATAGCCATGCAGGAAACCTTCTCTAGCTCTCTGCCTCTTCTTATCCTCTTCGCATCCTCAAATTGCAGCATAACTTTTTGTTTCTGCGCTCTCCCTCTGCTATTCGTTTTCTTATCTTGGTGGATTGTGTTTCACCTGCTCTGCCTAAACGTTTACCACCACCTCAGGTCCACCAGCGCCTCCTCTCTTTGCTTCCCCCGGGGAGAGCTCGGACATTCTTGCTGGTCTTACACGCTCAGTGTGCTGCTGTGCTGCACGCTGAGAGGACATTTTTGGGATTCTTACAGGAACCACTCTCTTCAAACACGATTTCACGACTGAAAGAACTGCAACACTTCCCAACGCCCGTTCCACTCCACCCATCGGGATTGTTGTTTTTGTGGGAATGGCCAGTATTTTACTAAAGGATGGGAAATGATCCTTTCTGTTTGAGATTAAACATCTCCTTTTCTGAGGGTGAATATGATGAAAGCGTTTCATGCTTCAAAGATGCACTATGGTGTCCCATGTGGACTTTATAAGTGACAGATCTTTATCAATAGATCAGTATTTTTTTTATTATGGTTGTCTATTTCTTTATGCATCTTCCTGTCCACAAAGTATTTAATATAGTCCCACTTTCTAGTTTAATAGTCTAAGTAGCTTCTACCATATGTGCCAAATCAAGTGCAGAAATATGCATCGACACACAAAGAAATAATTTCTCACTGAGAATCGGCCAAAGCATAGATAAAGTTTCCCATTTAGCGTTTGCATTAGGAGCTTTATTTCCATGAGGCTCATGACTCTGTTATAAGCAAAGGATAGAAAACCTTTAGGATTATCTTTTCTTGCATCATAATATCTATCTGGAAATCCTCCATAGGGGTAAGCCTCCCATCCCACCATATCACAGTGTAATCTCTAACTTGTAGAAATTTTGGTACATTTGCCTGAGGAAGCTTGCCTGAATTTTTCAAATCATTTCAGGTTGGTATAAGTAAAAACACTTTTCAACCAGTCTGTAGTAGCTCAATAGTGTTTAAGTAAAGGGTAAAAGAGAGATTAAGTTAATTATGCTATATATTGTGTAAACATTATGGAAACAATGCAAAAATTAGCAAAAATATGTAACCACAAAAAGTACAGTGCAAATAAAAGTGGGATTTCCATAAAGGTTTTACATTGTAAATAGTATTATAAAGCCAAACTAAATTGCCAGGTTTTTGAGACAGATTAGGATTTGTTTTTTGTAGCTATTGTTGCTTAATGTAGAGGTCTTGTAAAGGCCATCTATTGACTGATGGACTTCCGGAAGAGAAATGGACCAACCCCGAAGCTTCATTGTGTGGAATCCTGCCATTCAGGCTCTTTGACTTTCCAGGAATGATTTTGGATTAAAGATTGAAGCAAATGTTTTACACGACTCTTTTTTTAAGACTGGAAGGAAGCGAAGATCTGTTCCAGGTGTCCATTAAGTTGTGGAACAATAGATAGAAGTGAAAGCAGAGTGGAAGTTGTCCTTTTATGCGTATATAAAATGGCAATGACAGATAGACTGTTTGTAGAATACTATGAAAAACACCTTAATTATTCTGTCATTTATTTTTTTCTATGGTTCATTCATTTTTGGTTTATAATCAACCTGTAGAACACATTTCACTTGACCTTTTCAGCACTGTGAACCAAGCAGAAAACCAATTTCATGCTTGACCACTTACTCAGACTTTTAAACAGTCATTTCCATACGTTTTCTCTGACTTCCATGCCATTGTTTGAGGGTTAACTTGAGCAATAGGTGAAAGATTTAACAAGGTATCAGTCTGAAAATGAGCCCGAGAGGGGGCTTTGGTCTGTGTAATTGTTCAGACTAGTTTGTTTGTTTGTGTTTGCTCAGCCTATTCTTTGTGTTTTTCCTTCCTGCTGTAGGTGAACAATGTGGAGGAAAGTCACAGCATTCAGGATGCCCCGACCCTGCTTGTGTCGGAGAAGGGGGGTGGGCTGCTAAACGCCTCAGCCAACAGTGTCCTCTCCTACCCTCCACCCAAGGTGGACAGCAGCTCCTACGATGGGGATGACCACCAGTAGGTGACACGGTTCTCTCAGTTGTCTTTCTGGTCATTTTTTTACATTTTGTGGTGTCTTCTGATTTAGAAACGACAGCCAGACCCCATAGAAATTGTAACTATGTACGGCACTTTGGCATGAATATATATCCTTTACTGTAATATTTCTTAATACAGCAGTATGCTATTACAGGCTTAAGTTTGCCATCATGTTTTAATCCATCAGTTACTTTTATCCGTGCATTTAATATTTATGCATAGTTTTAAGGCCACGTTAAAATGGAGGTGATAAGATCAGTTTAATAGTTCGTAGTATCAATAACCATGTCTTTACACAATTATGCTTACAATTAATTACTACATTACCCTCTTGTTTTATTTCTAGTAAGTGAAATCACGGTATAAAAGTATACATAGGAATGGTTTGCTATCTTTGAGTGTCTCCTTTCATGTGCAAAGTGGCTATTTGAGATATGATATTTCTGCTCGGAAAGGAGCTGCAGCTTTTCTGTCAGTAAAACATTTGCCCGCAGTGACTGAACTTCCCAACATGTGACTTCCACAAGCAGTTCTAATCACTAGTCTGTTTTAAAGCCCATGAAAACATACTGCCGTGCCCACATGCAAGAGCTGTGCATGACCTTTGAGCCTTTGCTGGATTAACTCCCTTGTTTTGCCCATTCATTGAATTCTCTGGGGAAATTAATATGTAGGATGCTTATGAACTAGTTGCTTTTCATCAAAGATGTAAACTATTTCTTGAGAATCTTATTTTTGTTTGCTTTTTGCATCCTCAAGATTAATGTGTGTGCGTGTGTCTGTGTGTGTGTACGTGACAGATTGTGACGTGTATGCTTCCTAGAATTGCCCAATGTCTTAAAAACAAGTCAATCTCATGCCAGAAAAGTATTTGATTTTGATTTTATTGCAGGCTGAGTTGTTAACAACACACAGCAATAAATTCTAGAACAACTGAGTTTTTTTCTAGCCAGCTTAGAGCACAGAATGTTTTAATAATTCCTCTTCTGCAAAGTAAACAGAGCTGGCCGCTCATAAGCAGGAGAATGTTAGCCTGGAGCCCTGCAGTGTGCTCTGTTGTTGACATGATTCCGTTTTTTTATAAGAACTTGTAATATCTTTGCCATTGGATTTGGATTCCTGGCAAATCCCTTCAAACTAACAAAATTGAATGTTTTGCCCATGACTTATGAAAGAGCTGTACCTGTTTCATCGTAGCAGAGAGGCTCCATATGGTGAAGTCTGATTGAATGGTGTGACCAACAATAATCACTTGACGAGAGGTTCCAAATGTCTGCCTTCCTCCATATGGCATCTGTCTGGGCTGTATAACTTAATAAGTATTAATCGGTATTTTAGCCTATGATTGATTGGAGTTTAATTTCTTTCTGCATATTTTTTTTGCAGATTATGGATTTGTCTAAGAATAGGCTCTGGAGTCTGTTATAGCTTACATCAAATATGTTTTCATAAAAAATGAGTAAGATACATTTTAGTATGAGAAAATACAATTTCAGTTTAGTTTGAAGGAAAGGTCCTGTTATAGTATTTGAAACAGGATAAACACCGGTAACCTGACGCACCTGCCACATCACCACATAAACTAGAACTTTTTTAGGGGAGAGAAATCTATTTCGCATCTGCATTTACCCTCCAACAGATACTCAGAGAGAGTGACCAGTCGGCCATCGGAGGTGTCTAATGGAGGGAGAATCAGCTCCAGCCCTTCAGAGGAGACGGGCGGAGGTCGCAAGCCTTCCGCCCACAGAGGCAAGAGACGCCGACGTAACCCTGAACTGGACGAGTCTCAGTACGAAACAGAGTACACCACAGGAGGGGAGACGGGCAACGAACTTGACGTTGAAGAATGGGAGTGGTGAGTAATGATCTTTGGTGCATTAGCTGCTTTACTGTCTCACTCACTGTCAGGATTAGGGATGAAAATATCTTTACTCTAGAACTGAGCTTTTAGATTATTTTCAAATACTGTTGCTCCCTCGAGAACAGACCCACATATTTGACAAAAAAAAAAAGAAGCTTTCGTAACATTAACTTAATTTGAAACTCAGCCCGAACATATTTTGGTTTGGAACATGTATGGACTTTACGGTTAAAGGTAGTGGTTGCCTGAACGCTGCGCTTGGGGAAGGTCACAGCCAGTATTCCTGTTAATCCTCTAAGGCATGTCACTTCACAATGTACCGAGGCATAATGAGATCAGTGGGACAAAGTGTTTCTGCCCTGGAAAAGTAATTTAACAAGTGGAAACACATATTTCTGATTTGAACCCCATGACGTTTTCAAGTTCCTGTTGCAACAGCTTGAAGTTTGTCCCTGTTGATGTTTCTTCTTATTTTTTCTTTCTCTTCCAATTGTACATTTTTTGTGGCTTTGCACCTACACCTTCCTTTGCTCTTTTTTCTCCAGTATGTACCCGGCCATAACATCAGATGCTCAGCGTCAGGACTACAAGAGAGAATTTGACGCTGATCTTCGAGAGTACAAGCGGCTTTGTGCTGAGATGGATGACATAAATGATCAGCTAAACAAACTCAGCCGGCAGCTAGACACACTGGATGAATCCACCGCTAAATACCAGGTTTGAATCGCACTGTACAGCACTCACACCAACTAAAGAAGAAACACAGTGTGATTCTAAATGAGATCTAAAGGATCCTTAATTATGAATTAGCTTTTTTTCCCTTTTTTTTTTAAACTTCTGGCTCCAGTTCCCCAGGGAGTTGGATGTTTATCCAAGCTTCTTAGTCCCTGGGGAGCAATTCATCCAGCACTATATGTGACCTTCTGCATTTCAAAGAAAATAAATAGTCTGTTTGGAGTTTAGCCTGCAGCTGAAGCACACCCAACTCGTTACTCTTCCAACACTCTCAGCTTCCAGCTTTCTGTGGCTACAGCATCTCTCACTATTTACTTTTATGATCATTCAATGATTTGTAGCTTTCTGTGTTGTGGGGTTTCTGTAGATTTAGCTATTTTTCTTTCATATTTGATCTTTAAGGGGTGCTGTACATGGAAACAGAAAAACAGGAACGCTTTAGCATTCCGCTTTTATGGGACTGCCTAACTATCATAATCATGTGCTTTTTTCATTCTGTCAGTCGGTCGCAGATGAATACAACCAGCTGAAGGATCTGAAGCAGGTGAGAAAACATGTTTGTTTTTTTTCTCTCTGTGGCAGACATTTAAGGTATTCCCGAGCCTGTAGCAGCCCTGGGGCGGGTCAGGAGCAGAAACCCTGGAGTTCATGACTTTGGTTTCCAGCCCTGCACCACATTGTTCAGCTGTACAGTTGCCTCACATTTTTGTGGGCTTTAATTGCACTTTGTGGCCTCTTCAGCGTGACTACTTTATGTGGATGGCTGTTATGTGCGGCCTCACACAGGGATTTATTTGTCTCTTTTAAAGTGTTATGGCCTTCAACCGTTTACCACTGAGCTAAAAAAGAGACATATTCTCTCGTGATACATGAAGGCAGCATAATGTCACAGTTGATGGAAGCCTGCAATGATTAACCCTCTAAAAATGTTCCAAAACCCTCCGAAACTTGTGTTGTGTTATGATAACGGTGACACGGATGACACGCTGTCTCATCTCAGTGTTTAGAAGCTGACATTTTCAGACGCCTTCCCTGTGCTGTTTGTGCCCTACAGACTTCAGATTACAAGACAAAGAAGAAGGAGTGTCGCAGGCTGCGACACAAACTGTTCCACATCAAAGGCATGGTAAAGGACTACGACAAGAACCACTGAAGGATCCACTCTGTCCCGACCCTGCTCACAGATATGTGCCAAGACTTTCTCCAACATACTGCAGAAACCCATGTACTGAGACCAAAGTTACAGCATGCTAATGGACACATGGCACACGTAAAAACACACACAGAAAACATGTCTGCTTCAAAATAATGACTCGTCTCATGTTTTCTTTTAATTTTCTGAACAGTCCCTACTTCTGTGGAGGCAAAAATAAAACCAGTCTTTAGCTTTGAAACAGTCCAGTTTCTCTGAAGAATAAGCTCAGTGTTTGAGGGCTCTCTGATCTTTGGTCCTCTGATAAGTTCTCTTGGAGGTTTTGCTCTACATATTTGCAGAGTTTCTTTGTTTTGTCTCCACAGGTAAGAGGAGGGGAATTCTTTTAGGGGATGTGGTAACAGGTGAAATAGGTTGGTGCGATTGTTTTTTGAGCAAATATGCAGTTTTCGTGGAACCTCATCTTTCTGTATTCTGTGGTTGAGCTTTTTTTCACATCAGCATCAGTGTTTGTAACTACGTTAACCATCAGTAAACTGCCACTGGGATAGCTTACCCATTAGATTATTTTTTTCTGATTATTAGAGATTTTATGAGACCAAAAAGGCACCAGCTTTGCCCGTGAGCTAGGTGTGTCACCAATGTGTTGTACATACTCAGTGATTCAAGCTTAAACTGTACTAAATCCCAGGAACAAACTCACAAGTCAGTCCTTATACTGTTGTATTGTACATAATGAATACTTTAGTGATTTGCTTCTTTTTTATTCAGTGTTTGTTCAAAATCTACATAAGCTATGCAAACTAGTTCAATTAACCACTGTTTTTATATTTTGTTTCATGCACACTCCTCAACAGCACGTTTTTATGTAGAAATCTGTCATAATGTTGAAATAATTCATTTCACACATAAGATGAAAGATATCCTGTACATATTGAAATTGCTTAGACACACGTGATTTGTCATGCATTTGTATTTTTACGACGAGCATTGTTGTCATTTTACAAACCATTATCGAGCCATTTATTTTTTATAAGAATTTATTTTCTTTTATGCTATTATAAAATGACAATTTTTTGTAACTGTCCACCTTCATGAATTATGTTGTCTAAAAAAATGAAAATGAGTACTTAATAAACATTTCTAATTCTCAAAAGAATGGCAGTATTTAGTTTTTCTGTTGATTCGGAGAAATCTGTGTTTACAGTGAGTGTCCAGCAGGGGGTGCAGCGAGCCAAGAAAGCTGCCTGCATCCATGCATCTATTTTCTATACCACCTACTCCCAACGGGGGGGCAGGGGGGCTGGAGCCTATCCCAGATGACAACGGGCAAGTACACCCTGGAGGTTGCGAGACCATAGCAGGGCCACTCAGGTCTACACCGTCCACTAAAAATGAAAAAAATCCCACCAGTCCAGTGACCAGTCCCCTGCTGCTGCCTGCTGGTGAAATTGCTCTGTTCAGGATTTACTCCGTATGGTGCATACGCTGTACAATATCTGCAACTAATAACGATTCAGGTTGTTTTTCCTTGGCCTGTAAACCTTTGGCCATCAATGTTTGTTTTTCCATTTCATGCCAAAAAACGGCATGAGTGTGTGTTTTTTTTCAATGGGATAATAAGATGACCCATTGATGTTGGCATTCATTTTAATATGTATAATGTTAATGTTTGATAGGTATAATGTTAATTATAACTCACTATTTAACAGCAATGCTGGATATATCAATGGCTATATCAATGTATTATTCAATCATTTTACAGCTGTATTGGTATATTTATTAAGACTTAGTTACAATTTGTTACTTGTTTAGCACAAATAACAAGGTGGCTGCCTCAATCTTATTTCATTTCAATGTCACACTAATATATTTTTCATAATCTTATGTTAATGTTAAACGATAATCTTTCCTCAGTAGGGCCTTAGTAATTCATCAATAGATGGCAGAAAGACAAAGAAATATGCCTGTTACATTTTCTGATGCCTCACACTCTGATGGCCAGTTTCTTGTGACCAGCAAACCAACAACAATCAATCTTCAGAGATGAATATGTACAAAGTGTGTACCACCTAGGATCAGAAAATAAAGAGAGACACCCAAACAAATATTTTTTCTGTAGTTTTTTTGTTTTGTTTTGGCATGTTCATAGAAACACAATTCTTTTAAATGTGAAGCTACACAGTCAAATCATTTAAAATCCAACAAACAATCACAAAGTGACAAAGTTGTTTAACAGCATTGGGGATCTTGTTTCTTTTAGTGAAATAACAATAATACAAAAATTAATACCAAAAACATCCTAACCCCCTTCTCTTATCTGTTTTTCAGATACTTGTTTAAACTGAGATGCACACCATGGCACTCCCACTCTTGAACTTTTGAGCACCTTTGCTCTCCTCACAAGAAACACCTTTGCCTTTACACCTCAACACCAGAGTCCCTCGATAAGATAAATCACGTTAATGTCATGAAAATTGCTTTCATCCATTCGCCTTTTAGAAGGGGATTAAAATTTTGAAAGGAAACAAAAGAAACTCTTAGAAACACAAAGGAGACTATGTCCAGGCAGAATAGATTATTAAAAAGCAAGACTGACTGAACAAAAACAACCAATCTGACAAGAAACTTTACATTTTAAAAGGATTTTAAACACATTTTAGCTCAAGTCTGGTGGACAGATGAACATTCAGCAGAAACATGCTGCTGTTCAGTTTGTGATGGTGATGCCTTTTTTTGATCCCTTTATGATTAAGTTTAATACATGAGTAGTTCACTGTACAATCTCTGTCTGTGTTGTAGAAAACATGAGGTAATAATGTTAGACAGGGATGTGACTGCCTGAACAACCAGGGTGTGTTTGAGTACATTCAGGTTATTGCTGCTTGGTTGCAACTTCTGCAGCATTGTGTTTTAAAACCGGTATAGCTTAGCATTTGGAGACTTGGTGAGTATAGTTCCCCAAAAGTTTCAAGTTGTGTATGCGTGTTTGTTTCTTTGTTGGTTAATTGTAGAGGAAAACACAAATCATCATGCATGCTATTTTTTTATGCCGTACGAGGTGAGGTTTTGCCGTCTTTACAAATGTTTGATGATAAAGTCTGTTCATTCAGCCTATAGCTGACTCCGTATAATACAAAGCACACACAGATTATTGTGCGTCGTGGTCCAGCTCACTTCACGGAAAGCTTTGCTGGTGAAAGTGGCCATGGCTGCAATGGCTTCCTATTGACTACACAACAAAGCAGGGGACATACACACACACACGTAGCCTGGGTTCAAATTGAGTCACATTAGGGGTCAAATGGGAGGAGGTAGTAGAGGCACATGACCTCATGTGAGCTTCTGCATTCTAACGAAAGCCCTGTTCACACAGAGAACGATAAAGAGAGATCAGACAGAGGTTAGAGCAAACCTGACAAGTGCTGCAAGCGTATCTATTCATAAAGACGTTCAGACCCCGTGTTCCCCTGAAAGCAGCTTTGATGTCGTTTCATCAAAACTTTAGAGAAAAAAATAGGGAACAGCTAACCCCGAAAGGGATCTTAGCCTCCTGAAATCACAGTCTTCATGACATTCGCTCTGTTTTTCTTTTTCCCATAAAATCTGTGCTAGCTCAGGCTCCTCAGATCTGATCTCACTCTCTCCCTCTCCGGATCCACGCAGGGGTTCACTGTCCTGGAGCGTAGGGCCAGCTGATGGAGCTCCCTGATAGCTGCATGTCTCGGATCAGCGTTTCGATGGGCGTCTTCCCCACCAGTCTCATGAAAAAGAGCTGGGAGATGAGGTTGGCGGGCACGGCGCGCAGGGCAGGGAGGCGCAGCAGTAAGCGTCCAAAGCGCTGAGGCTGGTTGGGATACTGCAACCGCTCGTACTCGGTCAGGGCGACTTGGGCCTTCTCCTGCAGGGCCTCTACGTGGGCTGGATCTGTCAGACCACAAGCATCTGGAAAGGAAATACCAGAGGATGTATCATCTGATTGTTCTGTTGACTGTGCTTTATCAATCTTCTACAAACAACTAATTTGACTTCTATTTTCGATTTCTTTTGTATCTAAAATTGTCTACATCCATAAGCACACAATGTGTCTGAAATGTTCATCCAATCACATTATGTTTTTATTTATTACCATTTCCTAAAGAGCTAGTAACTCCTTTAATTCAATTCTCAATGCATAGATTTAATATTTAGTGGAAATTAAGTGCTGGTTTTCTTCTCATAACCATTATCTTCTTGTTCTGACTGAAATCAAAGATGACAGGTCTATGTTGAGTTTTGTTTCTGTGTAACTGACACTTCTTAAAAACCTCAAACAGACAGATTGGTGTTGGGGGTTTTATGTGTGATCCTGGAGCAAGGTCAGAGTTAATATCTTGCAAACTTACCGGGGGAAAAGAGTGCGATGGCTTTGAGGCAGCTGTACTCGGCTGAGTCCACCTGCAGCCTGTTCAGCTTGTCCACCTGGTCCTGGAAAACCCGGACCTGGTCCATGAAAGACACCACGCGCTCAGCGGACATGGGAGACGAGTGAAACCCGGCCGCAGCCAGCAGGGGAGCCATGTGCAGAGGCAGGGCAGACTGGGCTGCGTTCAGAATGAAGAGTTCACTCCAGCTGAGCCTCAGCAGCGCCACCTGGCAGTTGGAAAAATAAGAGGGTCACTAACTTGCTCCTTGACAGAGTCCATAAAGAGGTAGATAGGTGTGACTGATGACCATTTATTGACTCATTCCCAAAGAGCCTTGACCTGTTCCACTAACTCAGCAGATACAAATTAAAGCTTATAAATAAATAAAAAAGATCTGTAGTTTTTAAAAATATATTATATAATGTTTTCTTAAGCATATCATGGAATGTGTGGGTTTAGGTCCACAATTTAGGTCCATATGCACCTAAACAGGAATATATATATATATATATATATATATATATATATATATATATATATAAAGTCTTGGTGTTTCACTGAGATAGGACAGCTGGATTGATTTTGGGCCAACAACTGACTGTGTAAGGAGCTCTAAGAGGAGAGTAAATAAGATAAGGGTGACTCAAAGCTCTAAGCAGTAGTATACCTAAAACTTTCTAACAACTATTTACACCGACCTGCTCTGATACTGGGAGTTCTGGGAAGTATGGGATGTTTCTGGCCCACTCGATGGTGCTGAAGAGGAGGCGGGCGGCCAGCTCGCAGATGCTGTCGATGCCCATGACGGAGGCCCCGCTGGCAGATGCCTGCATCTGTGCCTGGCCGTAGGGGGTGCTGTAGCGGCTGCTGGGGTACGGCTCGGCCCGCAGAAGCTGGGAGATGAGCTCCGACACCGGCTGCCCGTTGAAGTAATCCGCTCCAAGGTGACCCTGTCCTGGGACTCCAACCCCTCCAGACAGGGAGTTTGGACTTATACCTGAGTGAGACGGAGGAATGCGACCGCGCTGGACAGCTGCAGGGAGACAAGCAACACAATAAGTCAGATATAGAGAGTTATGAAAGCATCTGGACTTTTAAATGTTAAATCATTAGATTTCCTAGATTTATCTTCAGACATATGTTTAATGTCTGAAATGGTAATTCGCAGCTTGTTGGATGTCTCTTTAAGAATGACGCCAATTTGGTTAATCGTCCATTTACTCTATTATTTTTTCTTACATTTGGGATCACTAAATGTTTCTTCATTGACTGCTAACGATTGGATGCCAGTGATGAGTAATCAATCTCCAATTATACCCCATGATAATGATTGATTAAAGAAAATGGGCTCATTATTGCCGTAGCTGAATATATCAGGTTGATTTCAACTAAAAGACATCAACAGTAAATGCACAGACAGAAGCTTAAATGTCGGCTGCTTTTGCTGTTTCCTCAGTCAGAAGTAGGTTAGATAAGGTTGAAGTCATTTTTCAGGGTGATCATTTCTCTTTCCACAGATCAAAGAGGTTATTTCTTCAGTAAACAGTCCAGATCTAAAAATGGCTGAACACGTGTGGTGCTAAGTAAGAAAAATGGTCCATGACTTGGTTTCATCGCTCCAAGTTGAACTGAACTGCTAAACAAGAAAGTTGGAAGCTGATCCATGGAGAATATGTTTGTCATTAGTGAGGTCCTTCTGTGGGTTTAAGCTGTTAGAAATAACAGGAAGTTAAAAAAAATGTGACTTTATTATTATTTTTTTGTTCAAATGTCAATGATTTATTTCTTATTTCTTATCAATTCTTTACTTTGGCCCCTATTTGATCTAAGCTAAGTTAACAAACACTGATACATACTGTGAAAGCCTGAATACTGAGCCATGAAACTAAACTGCTTCTGTGTCATAGCTGTAATTTTCATCTTAGCTCATCTTACACGATGTAATGCCTACAGCTCACTATTGAATGTAACTCAAATCCTCGATTGTCTCACTAAGCACATGTTTGGAGTATTTAGGTCAGATAATATTCACATTGTAACCATGCTCAAGAAGAGCTGTGAGGAATTGCTGTTTAGATCAGAATGAATTGCATGAAAATTGGTTTTGGAATGGACGGATGAGAGTAGACAAATAGAAGAAACTGTTAAGTATTAGCAAGGATTTCTTTTACCCTTCTCCTCTGCTTGGCAATGACCTCCTCACTCTCTTCTTCATGAATACAGTATGAAAGGCAGAGGTAGGGACAATACATTCTATGACCAATATTTTTATTGAATAAGAGAAAATAAAAAATGCATTTGCTTCTTTCTGAGAAGTAAGGTTTCTTCAAGTAAATCACGAAATAGAAAATCTTATGCCGTCGTCACAAAGTGAACTCTTTCCTCAGGTTAAGCTGTCCTTCCCCGTACTAAGCTAGTGTTTTAAATTTCAACCCCCGGTGCCAGAATCTGACTTGGAGCGGTCTGAGTGGCTGCTTCTCTGACTGGGTTAAAGGTGAAACAGACGTTTCCAGGTAATATGGAAACAGTGCTGCGACACGACCTTGGTCAGCAGGTTTCATTAATAACTGGCCCTAACGTAGCCCCTGGCCGGCTGCCCTCTCCACGCACGCTATGTATGGCAGAGCGCCTGATATCCGACTGACTCGAGCCGAAATACATGTGGGCTTAAATTACACTGGAACAGCTGAGTTTTTGTCAAGTGACTTTAATGTGAGGCCAACTTAAACGGCTGATACCATAGGTAACAAGCAGTTACAGTGGGAGCCCCGTTCGGAGACTATAAACACGACTGTGCTGCAGTACACTGCAGTCAGTGGTCACGCAGACAATGACACACACTGTTTTGCAGTTCCCTCGGTGAAATGGAACATTTGACTTGCTCGTTTTTTCCTGAGGCTTGAACATGGTTTCCCCCGTTCGGCCTAAAGCTCCTCTCTGTAGCTGCAGGGTGTAGAGCAGCAGAGTGAATGGTTGACAGTATAAACATTGTGACCGAATTCCAAGCAAAGGTCAGGTTTTGTGTTTTCTGCTGCCGTTACCAACTTCTTATATTTATGTCTTTGTGTGCGTTTTCTAAAGATTACCCAGTCTGTTGACTGATGGGTAACTTAAATCACAGTAAAGGAGTTTACTCAACTGTATATTTGTGGCACTTGTAACTTAAAGAAATTCTTGAAATTCAGAGGTAATGTTGTCTTATATATTAAAAAAGCTCTAATCAAAACGTAGTGAAGAAAATATCTAAAAAACGCAAACACAAAAATTACTTGAATCCCAGTTCTTGATAAGTATTGCTTTGATATTGCTGCATAGATAATATCATGGACAGTCCTTTATTCATACTTCCATTTGAATAATCGCACACTGAAATATTTCTTCTTTTACTTCAATTTGGGATTATTTGTGTGGAGTTTAAACATCCCATCCATAACATCACATTCTGATATGATAAGTCGGTCACTTAACATTTGCGAAAATAATTTGTTGTAGTATTTCTGACCACCTGTGTATTATTAATAAAAGGTTCACTTTTTTTCTTTCTCCACCACCTCCTGATTTAAATATCTGTCTGATCTGCGGCAGAAGGCTTCACCACGCTCACCAGAGAGGCTATAACTGTGTTTACTAGCTTTTTGGAGTTTACCCGGTGAATTTAGAATGAAACCACAAGCCAATAAAGCCAGTGAATCCAATAAAACCCAAAATAATGAGCATAACATAAAAAAATGTGAAGCTCTGATACCTTCTTTGCGCATCCCAACACGGAAACATTTCTTCAGACGACAGTATTGGCACTGGTTACGGTGATGCTGGTCGATTTGGCATTCTCGGTTTGATCTACATAAAGGAAAGAAAACTTAATGGCAATGACCAAACCCCCCCAACAAAACAGAATGTATATAAGAATGGAAATAATAAAAGATATCCTTCATCTGTGATACAACACAAAATGAAGTGAAAGTTACACGTCAGCCCCTCTCTCTTTCCCCTTTTCTCTCCCCTGTGATGACTGAACTGTTTGGCTGAAAGGCTATTGAGATAGTGACCTTTGTAAATCATCTGTGTTACACACCCTTGTGTTGCTTTTTACAGCAGGCTGAGCCCGGCCAACGTTTTACGGAGAGCCCTTTTCAGCCTTCGATGTGAAAAACTGACAAAACAAAAAACCTCCAACTATAAGTGAATGCATTCATATGTGGAAGAAACAACTATATGCAGCAACCCTGAGAGGAGTGTGTGACAGAGGAGAGCTGAGCTGCAACATTATGTTCCTGCAGTGAAGAATAATGGGAATGTTGACCTTCTGAGGCAATCCATCCTCACATGACAAGCCTTCAGGGCTTAATTTTTTTCTCTTTTCCTTTTTTTCCCCTTATTTCTTTCTGAGGGCTGTTTGTTGAAGGCTGAAAGATATCCTTCATTTGGGATGAATAGAATTATCTGTTGTTTTCAATGTAAATGCCAATGTTTATGATAGCTCATAAAAAAAACACTTTTGCCCTTATTATTGTTTTTCATGATCATTACTATAAGTTTTTTAAAGCAAACTTAGTTTTGTCTTGTACTAGAACAAGCTTAGGCACTAGTGAGTGCAAAGTTGAACAGTTATTTCTGAGTGCCATGTTCGTAGTAATTATGTGTCTTTGATTCAATCAAAACATGAAGAAAACTAAGATGAATGTGCAGCATAATTCCATATTTAAAAAAGAGCATTGAGAAGTCAATTTCCCAGCAGCCCCTACCTGCAGGAGTAGCTGAGGTTTCTCCTGATGCTCCTCTTGAAGAAGCTCTTGCAGCCCTCGCAGGTGAACACGCCGTAGTGCTTGCCACTGGACTTATCCCCGCACACCACACAGTCCACTACGCAGGCCTTGTCCTCATCCCCGACGTCCACATCGCTGCTCCCAGCCTGGGGCGACCTGTCCTCTTCTTCCCTTCTCAGGTAAACCTTATCCCCGAGTCCATTAGTTTCCCCGTTAGCGTTGCCCCATCCCCCGCTCACCATGGCCATATTCTCTGGAACACACTGCCCTGTGAGTGGATCATACACAGACCCACCTTGTCCCACCGCCTTCACAGTCCCCGCAAAGTACAAAAACTATTTCCAGACTAAAAAAAACAACACTGAATTAAAGGCAGCTGTTTTCCAAAAAAGGCTTTCAAAGCAGATGGAAATTAGTCCCTGCCTTGTCTGTGTTGACCTTTCTCCCCTTCACCGTCTGGCTAAGCTGACCTGAAGGTCCTTCCACTGCTGTTTTCTCCTCTTCGTTAATAACGCTGCTCCCTCTGTTCTCGTTTCGCCCCTCTGTTTTCCGCCCTGACCTCTGATCAATGACTCCCAAGCTCTGAGAAAACTTCAGCCGCACATTGAGTGGTTCAGAGTTCAGGCAAGAGAAAAGGGTGCAGCCCTGCTCTTTTCACAGGAAACAATAAATTACACTTTGACTCTGTCTCTCTTTCTCCCTTCCTCTCACTTTCTTTCTTCCTATTCCCCTATGAAGGAGGAAAAAAAGCCTCACTTATCCCATAGCATGTTGAAAAGGGACAAAATAGAGTCTCTCTTGAGAGGCACAACTTTCTCCGACTAGGCAGACGGGAGGAAAATAAAACAGCTCTCCTTCAGGCAGGGTTAAACTGCCCTGCCCTCGCTCTAACTTATAAACTAGTCCAACCAGTTCTTGCTGTGCTGATGTGCTATCTGCTGATCTGAGGCTGTTCTAGTCCAGACTCACTCTTGACTTGTCGAGGCTTCTATAAATGCAGAGATGATGGCAACAAAAAAAAACCCAAACATATTCTGCACTTGAAATACTGATTGACCTGTGCACTAAAATATGTAGGTTTAAGCTCTTCTTTCTCTCTGTGAATATAGATCTCAGCAGTAAAGTTCACCAAAGAAGTCATTCTGCTCTGTCCTCTGTGATGGCAATCTGTTTTTCTGTGCTCCCTCCAACTCTTCCAGAGCTGGTGGGGTCAGAGGATCAAATGTCAGCGAGAGAAAAAAAAAAGAAAAAGAACAGCCCAAAACAAAAGCAGAGTTGAGAAATCTCTTTCGTCACAGTTGCCTCTCCTCTTCCCGAGCCTCCCAAAGTCAGCCTCTATTTTCCATTTCTTGATTTGTCAGAGCCTGTCCATCGCGCCGTTTCAGCCAGAGGCCAGAACCCCTCCACGGTCCCCGTCAGTAAGTCAGGGCGCACTGTTGCTCTCTTTACTATTCCGCTCGTCCTTCTTTCGTCTTTTCACTCAGCCGGCCTGGGCAGGAATAAATTAGGCAAAACAAGCACCGGAAAAACCCAGTCACAGAGCCTTTGGTGAGAGCCAGGAGCAGCAGTGGAGCATAGCTCGGAGATAGCCTCCTCTTTCTCTGCTTCGCTCCCTCCTTTAGGGAGAGTGAGCGTGTGTCTGTGTGCCGAGGGATTTGACACTGCTATTCAAGCCCTGCTGTTGCCATGGCACTGGATGCCTTATAAGGCCAGTGGAGTCAGAGAGCACAGAGTGGGCCGCAGCCACACACAAACACACACACATGCACACAGAAAGAATGCCGGGCTGCCTGACTGGTTGCCTGTTTCCCCCCTCTGACCCCAGGCCAGGCTGGGAGAACGGGGGAGTTAACCTCAAAACTGCCATAAGACAAAGAGGAAGGGGGGAGGGAGGGAGGAGGGGGGGGGGGGGGGGGGGTTGAGCGCATGGCACTCACACTCATCTCCTCCACTCTGCTCTAATCCCAAAGACCTCCTCCGACTCTGTTGACCCAATAATAACAGAGAGCGCCTGTTGTTGTTGAGCAACTTGTCAAAAGGTTATTTGAGACGCCGCTGGCTCCTTCCCACACCTGCCGCACACACTCACAGGTCTGTGCGAGGGATGCCACGGATCAAGTGGCACTACGTGTTTTTACAAACACACTCTGCGATCGGCGGGGGGGGGACATAGTATTGCTTTGTTTTGCTGGATTTAGACCAGCAATCTATGTGGTGAGATACGAGGCATAAAGCACTTGCGGTATTTTTAAGGGAATTTTGCACCCACGTTGCATCTCATGAAGAACCACTCGCAGGAGGAATGCAATGCCATTGGAGACTATGGGTAGATACAGTCTCAAAGTTGTCAGACCAAGATGCCGTGTCACTCCCACCTCATTGAACGTTGGCGCTTTGTGAAGATCACGGAGGATTTCAAAAGAGCTTTGATTTTTACAAGGCAAAAGACTTCAGATAGTGAAAAGAAACTCTGCGCCGTGCTAAACGCAAGAACTCCACTCAAACCCCTCATTCCTTTTAATGCAGACATTTCTCTTGTTTGCTGCCAGTTTGTTGAATGCAGCCGACTGTATGTCGACTAAACGTGTCAGTGCATTAGTATCATACAAGTATCACATTCAAGATGGAACAAATGAAAACTCCCGCAGTTGTATGAAAAGGCTAATTTCTTTTGGCCCCTGGTGAGTTGTTTAAAGACATCCCACAGATTGCTTCATCAAACAAACAGAAAAAGTTGTGTCCAAACTAATTATCTGTATTTTAAACTATGTTGATCAGCTGAAGCGTCGGTTTGATTGTTTTTTTAAGAGTGTCAGCGAGAGGAGGTAAAGAATCCAACAACTGTGAGCCAGTAATGTCTAGTTTAGCACATTGTGGGGCTTTAGTCACCCTGGGGTGACTTGACGTGAAAAGTGTAGAGGCGTGTCAGTGAAGCTTTAGGACTAAACCCACCTCCAGGTCCATTCTTTGTGCACAGCTAACGTTTTATGGCTGAATCATTTGCTAATTTGAACTCAATGTTGACTGGAGCCAATCATGCAAAAGTCGCTACATAACATTCTTGCTATTAGAGAAAAATGTCAGAAAATAAATCCGTCATAAGTTTTCATTTGATATGCTTGTAAAAATGTACTATAATACAAATATCTTCATTTTAAGGAGAATTTGTTTATTTTGTAAGTATATAAATCAGTAGGAGCGAGCCAAATGGAAAACTTTGCTGTAACTTAAAGATCAAGAACACTGTAACAGACACATATTGCCCCCGTCTCACAATTCCTAATGTAATTTCCTGCATGATTCATCTATCCATCCATCGTCTTGGCAGTCAGAAGAGCTCCTGTGGAATTTCTGGCCTGCTCTCTCTGCCATACCAAGAGCTTTGTCATGTGAAGGTCTCCATGAAAAGAGGAGGACAAAATAAACAATCAGAGCCTCCAACCAAGGTTTCCAATAACAGCCTCCAAATACAGGGAAAAAAAACACAAAGTGAAGTATTCACTGCTGTTTCCAAGCATGCCTGGTTTAAAGAGCTTCTATGCTCCAAAAAGTGTTTGCTCATCACATGGTTTTACAGGAATTCCCCCCTGAATGGACAAAACATGCTGCCCCTGTGGTCTTCAAAAGAACTTGTTTTCACCCGGAGGATGTACAAAATACAAAAGGGCAAAGAGTACGAAGCTGATTAAAAGGCTGGCAGAAAAGGAGAGGATTTCTGGGTTCGTTTTTTTTTTCTGTTGTTGTTTTTTGTGTCAGGAAGGTTTTTCCAGCTTTGTAATGTGAGCATTTGGTAACTTTAACCCACATCCATCACAGCGGAACTCTTTGTGCATGGGTAGGTCTTTTGTTTGGTTAAGAGGTTATCAGGGACCATGCTAAGCTGTTGTAAGTTGAATTAGTGCTCTCCTTTTAAGCTCCAGTGTGTGTGTGTGTGTTACCAGAGGTCTGACCTTTGTGCCTCTCTTATTATATAGATCAGGCTGTGGATCACACTTAAAGGGCACTATGTGGGTTTGTAAGTCTAAAGGTCTTCCTACATTTATGCTCAACACTCTCAATTTTCAACACAAAACTACAGGAAAAAAAATCTGATAAAGATAATGACTTTAAGGACAGTTAGAGAAAATAGAGGAGGACTTATAAAGACTAGTATACTTTACATTGTGTATTGTGGCAGGTGTTGCAGCTTGTTTCCAGCTCATCTACACTCCCCATCTTCGCCTGCTCAAGTGTTTATTCCTTGAAGGAGAAAAAATAATCAAGCTTGAATTATCGTGCCATGTTTAATTAGACTATAGATATCTTTAAAATTCAAGGTTTGTGTGGTTTGCTCTCCATGTTTTAGGTCGTTAATCCGTTATTACCTGAGTTTCTCTGTAAAATGCACTAATAAAAACGGTTTAGAGACAGCTGTCTAAAGTCCTGAAAGAGTAATCAGTGTCCACTTGGGAACTTTTTATTTTACATTGTTGCCTCTTTCCATCTGTTCAACAATATTGTATTACGTAACCATTGATCTTTTGCCTTTAGCACAGTGGCACAGTTGAATTTATCAGATTCAAATAGGAGAAACATTCAAAGGTATCTTCTTCTGGCCCAAATGGGTTAGATAAAAGGCCTCTACCACACTTAAGGGGCTTACTTGAAAAACATTCAGGATAGCAAAAGGTTCTTCACTACTTTATAACTGAAACCCTATCAAATAAACATTTTTATTCTGTGCCAAAAGTACACACATTTGCTTGGTGTTTGTGCCCACATTTGGGATTTTAGCAACAATATTATATCTATCAAGAGATAAAATGTATTTCATGACATCTTATTTTGAGTCCGCACCACAGGAACAAAAAAAAGGAAAAAAATAAAGTCCTGGAAGTGGCGGACTACACAATTAGTTTCCTTTGGAAAAATCTACTATAGTGACTAGTTGTTGGGTTGATTGGATAAACATGAAAAAAGATACATACACTGTAGAGTGAGCAGCTTTCTGATTCATTCTTGGCATTCCAGAGCTTACTTCTGAAACCAAACAACAACAAAGAAGCAGAGATTTTGGGCTTTATTTATGGATTCATCTTCCCAAAGTTCAATCAAAGTTCTGTCAACAAAAGGTAACAAATAGGAAAGTGCAAATAGGACTATCTTGCTGCCTAAAATGCTACAAGCAAACATTACGCTGTCACGTGAAAAGTGTGATTACAAGTACATGGATGCACAACTTAAACACAAATGATGCAGCGGTGAAGGGGAAGCAAGATAGCCTCCTGTTGTCCTGTGTTCCTGTTGGCCCGACTTGTTTGCGGGTTCAGTGACTGAGGTTAGAGTGCATGTGCCCGTCTGAGTGAGTGCAGAACATGTGCGCCTTACATATCTCTAAGTCTGTGTGAGTGTTTGCGTGTGTTTGCTCTTTGAACTGCGGGTCAGGAATGCAGCTGCTCTCAGTGTGAAGTCGACTGTGGTGGAGTCTGTGCATTCTCCGCACAGTCAGGAGCCCAGAGCCGCCACCTCCAAGCAGGCCAGCTCACCTGAACACACCACTGAAACACGATGGTCTGTTCTGCTGGTTCTGTGTTGGGAAAGTATTTTGACCAAAGGACGTTTTACCTGTTGTTCAGAGAACTTGTTTTTGAGCTAAAGAACGGTCAGATACTTTTTTCTAATAGACTCCAAAAAGTAAACCATTCTCGTCCTCACATAGAGCTAATTATGAACCCCACATGTTGATGGGATGATGTTAGCTGATATTAGCGGTTTTCTTATCCAGCACTAACCTGGCCGTTCATTCTCCTGATTGCTTTGGGTCCATGTTTCTGTTTCTGTTCTTTTTATCTTTCAGGAAAACAAATGAGTGAAAGCTTCCTCCCTCGACCGGCATAACTTTTGTCTGTTTACAGGAAGATCCCAAATTATGTATAAAATACACAGAAATCAGTGATGCTTTGGTGCTAACATTGAATTCTCGTTACACATGCTCCGTTTTCACTAACCTATCCAACAAGGAGAGCTTCTATAGCCAGCAGCCAGCAGTATTTTCTGATAACTCTGATGAACTTCAGAAGAACTTCTAAGTATTTTCATCCTACATCTAGTGATGTGTTATATAAATGAGTTGATGACCAAAGGAATTTGGAAATTGGTGTTAAACTTTAACTCAGGAATTACTCAGGGTGAACAACCAAGAGCACATGACTTTATGCTCCTTCCTCATTAGCCTGACTGCCCTTTGGCCCCGGGGCCAGAAGAAAAATCATCTCTCTTTTCTCCCCCTCACAACGCTTGCCCTTCTCAGGCCTTTGACCTCCAGAGAATGACAGAGCAATCTAAAATAAACAAGGCAGTGGAACTGGCCAAGGAAAAACATCTGCCAGGGTGTACAGCAACACACAGAGACCAATCAATATTTGCCCTCTTCTCCTCCCAGGACTCGCCGAAGGTGGTGGGAAACTTCCCAGTTGGTGTGTTTTGTTGTCATTCAAATCAGATATGTTGTGTTCACTGTTTGCTGCACAGTCAGTTGAAGTGTTTACAGTAGCACCGGCTGAGCCCTCCCACTTTGTCTCTATGGTATGCATGAGACCGTTATTGAATGCAGCTGATATCAAGCTGACCAGAATAATAAGCATTGATGATTCACTGATTTCACAGAAATAAGAAATGGTATTGATATTCTATGTTATTTTTAATAGAGATGTGTATTTCTATGAGTTTGAAAATTGCCAGATGATGGCAAACTGTTGGAGCAAACAAAAAAGAAAATCCTATCCAATCATTTTTAGCCGTTTAGCTCTGGATTTGTTGGTCCAACTGTTTTAAAGATACCATATGAGAACACCACGGCTTTCTTTTTTACATGTGTTGTGTTAGTTACTGTTTAAAGGACTTAGTGCACAGATGTAGAACAGTAACTTCAGCAGTGTCTGTGGTTCCTAATGCGATGGACAGAAATGATCTATTTAGTGACAGCTTAGCATTTAATCTATCATTGCCTACCATCACTGAAAGTTCAACAGTATCAGGCCTTCTGACCCAGTTGACACTTAACCGCCAAGCTAAGCTTTGAATATTCAAGTCCGGATCTGATTTATTGCAGCGCCGTGACATCAATCAAAAGCTTTGTGGCCTACATTGTGCTGCTGCTTTGATGTGCATGTAAGGCCACAGGGGTCAGCGCTGCTTTTAGGCCTTGTTATCATGTCATATTGGAATGCCGTGAACAATACATCAAAATAATTACATCTGTGACCTTCATAGCTTTCAGTCATTCAAAGTAACATACGGCATTTTAGGAAATCTTATCGACTTCATTTGGAAAAAACAACTAATGGCTTGAACTTTAACAGTGGAAATGACTGTCTATGTTTCCAAGTACATCACTAGACAAAAAAAAATCTGCAAATCTTTATTCCCAGGGGTAAAATGATAAGTGTTGACAGGTTGTTGATGCTTGGTAGCAGATAACCAGTTTTAAAGGCGAAGCTTTGATTTCACAAGTTCTTATATCGTTAGAAAGGTCTGACAATTTCGAGTAGGACTCCGCCACAACTATTTAATTATGCTCCTAATCACCACCTTCAGTCTCTAGTAAATCTGCATCCAATCTGTTGCTCCCTGTTTTTGCCCTCCAGACATTGCCTGAGGGTCACCTAAGGTCCTTAGGAAGACAGAAAATTAACCTAATCAGCTCAGGGTAGACTACTCAAACGCTTAAACAGAATTAAATGAGGCCACTCCTCCTGCTGTCTTTCCTCTCTAAACTCTTCATTGCTGTAATCTACTGCTGTCAACTTAGGTGAGTGACCTCATTAGATCTGCTGCATTTCATCTTGTTGTGATCGGCTGTATGTTTATCTTACTGACCTCCAAACAGCAGGGTGGCTGACTTACGCCAAAATCACCACAGGGAAGTTCGGACACAAGTGAGATTTCAATTCACATTCTATTTTTAATCATATTACTACATATAATTTATGTAGCATTCTTTTTTTTTTTTATAAAAGAGACCTGGCACATAGTGTTTCAATTATTTGATTATTCACAATATCAGTTATGTTGTTATTTATTTATAACTGTACTCAAATCATGGTCATTCGACACTAAACTGAGTTGGTTTCAAGCTTTCTCAAGACAAATTAATTTCACACGACACCACAGTGAATAGCTTCCAGAAGAGCCGCTGTGGTTGTTTTTTTTTATTGGGTTTTATGCTCTGACTGCGGACTGCAATAACTCAATATGACTACTCAATTTTGCCGCATGTTTTTTTTCCCAATTCCTTTCTGTCCAGTATCTGACTGTCTGTAAAGTCAGAAATAGTTCAAAGAAGTGTTATTAGCTGGAAAAAAAAAAAACTGACTAATGAAAAGGATTAACCCCCCTCCAGATGAATGGACTGCTGACCCTGCGGTGGACTGGTGACCCTTTCAGGGCAGATCCTGTTTGTCATCCGGTATCAGCTGAGATATGTTTCCAGCTGCAGAAGCACTGAACAGAATAAGGGAAAATGGAAAACGGAGGATGATTCACATTCTAAATTGGCATAAAGAATGAGTGTGCGTGTGCGTGCGTGCTTCTCTTGACGTCCCTGTGTGGCTCTGTGACGACAACTGTCGAGCCTTCCAGGCAGAGTCCCCCCCCCCCCCCCCCAGTGACTCTGAATTGGATTAAGAGGGTATCGGAAATGAATGGATTTATGGATTTGTGCCCCAAACGGTCATCTGAGGTTTAATTGTTGTGAAGTATTCATTTTCGCCTCCTGAGAACAATGTAAAGATAATCTGTAACAGTGACAAGTTAAAAGGAATCAAACTGCAATCTTTTACACTTTGTCAAGTTTGACTTAGGTCACATCTGTAGATAACTCGTTTTTGTTTTTGTTTTTCATTCCCTCTGGACTTCTTGCCCAGATTTTCAATCCAGACTACAGGGAAGTAGATACTTTAGCAGATTGAGATCATCACATACACAGTGTGCCAAGTAGTTTTTCTCAGAGTTTTCACCTTAAACCACAAATGTCAATGGTGTAGTGTCACCGCCTGCACCTTTATTTTTCTGACCTGTTTGCTTCACAAGTATGTGTTTTGGAAGACTGATGTACGGGCTGACATACTGAAAGCAGGAAAGTGCTGCCGTAGCAGAAAGCAGGCCAAAGATAAATACAGAATACAGAAGAGAGCATTGAGGGCACTTGGCTTGAGCCAGAGAAACAGACAGCAGAACTTAACAAAAGGATCTGACGGAAATCAAAGAAGAACCTGGATGAGTAAAAGTGACTTAGATAATGCAGATGTGACAGGATTTTTAAAAGGGAAACAACAGAAAAAAGCTAAACTGATGAGACTATGATCTAAAAATCCACAGATTGTCACAGCATGTCGCTTATTACACACTCAGCGATATATAAACTATAAAATACACGTGATATTCATATGATACAACAGTCAGGCATCTTTTAGTTCTAGAAATATTTGTGAATGTATTCATGTACATAATTTCTACATTCATTGCGTTGGTAATATTTGTATTTCAGCAGTTTCATTATTTAGGTACTAACTGCCTATATTTACTTTATTTGATAAGATTAAATATTTTTAGTGTTAGTTATCAGAGGTTCAGAACACACACACAGCTAAATATTCAGAGGTTATCTGGAAGTATCTGGACGCAAACTTAAACCTTTATAATCTTGTTGGGATTTGTACATAGTAACACAGGAATCAGTACGTCTAATCTTCCATCTGTTACTCAAACTTTCTTAATTTTTTCCAGAGGACTCAGAGGGCCGGGGGCCTGTCCTGGCTGACCCTAGACAGATCTTCGTCTAATCTAAATGTGATTAACAAATAGATATTAGATAAATAAGCAAGAGTGTCCTACATCGTCCCCTGTCTAGGTTAGAAAACAAGATTAGGCTTTTTTAAATGTTCATCAAACTAATGGATTTTGGGCAGAGAGCATCACTCCTAATTGACACGTTGGCATGCAATTGTGCAATAAGCATGAAAATCACCTTACAAGGACTTACATGCGAAAATGGTTTTACTCTTTATCCTCTGCTGTGTGTGGTGCGGTGCCCTGTTGGCCTGGGCTGTTTGCCGTCATTATCTGAGTGGGTGTGAGCACAATGCCGACTCGGTTGGTCATTTGATTGAGGTCAAAACTCTTTCTTGTCTCTCAGCGCTAAAAGTGCCTCTTCCAGTCTGCTGACCTCTCCTTGGGCCGACTCTTGTCAAAAAGCTAAGGGGAGAGGTGTCAGGTCAGGGAAGCAGTGTCCCATGGCACGGAGCAGCGCACTAAGGGATAAAGACAGCAGGAGGGATGAGAGGGGATATAGAGTTGCTGTGACAGGTGAGCTGATGGCTTTGGGAGAGAAAGGTTGCAGCCTGTGATCTCTTTATACAGCTTACAGAGGGACAACATCCATCCCCTTATTAAAATAAGGGGATGGATGCAGGGAGTAAATGAGTTGACCTGAAACCCATAGGTCACCCCCTCTTCCCTAATGTGTGTGTGTGTGTGTGTGTGTCTGTGCTTTAATCCACCCCCACAGTGATTGACAGCAGCTGCCGTTGTCTAATAATGGTGCGAGTAGTTTTCCCAGGCACTATGAAACTCCACCATACACAGACTCCGTGCGGGGGTGGAGGTCCGTCCAGAAATATGGAGCCAACATAAAGATGAGATTGTTTGTGGCTCTGGAAGCATTCACATCTCATGTGCTGTTTGACTTTTATATCCCCACTCTTTTGTCCATTGCACTTTTCAAGCCATTATTAAGGCGTGTTTCATGGCACATTTCCACGGCAGCTATTTCATTAGCAGGATTGGAGGATATCTTTTTGTCTTTGGTGTGCAATAAAGTTCAAAAAGAGAGTTCCATTTTAAAGAGGGTTTATCTGAAGGATAATGTGTGTGTGTGTGTGAATTTGCTGCAAGAACTAGTGTCCTTGTCAGGAGTCACTTTCGTAGCCTGGTGCTTGTACTTTTTATCATGTAGAAATGCAACAAATTGTTTTGTAAAGCTGCCAGTTACTCATCATGTTGTAGTGTCGCTTTTTCTGACATTTCATATCTGTAATTGTGTGATGAATGCAGAAGTGGGAAAATAACAAGTAGAGTTATAGAATAGTAAGAAAATGTGATTTATTTGAAGGGCAGTGTGTAAACTGGTGTTTTTTAATTAGAGAAACTATGACAAAATAATTTTGCAATGTACTGAAGGATTGATGGGTTCAAATATTTTATATGAATGATTTCTAATCATCATACTTCTGTACTGGACTGTAATAAGATGTTTAAGGATAGTTATATTGGTACATTTTGATAAGCTTTCAACAAGAACACTGACAATAGCTTAAGTCCTCAAGCTGTGTCAGATAAAAGTGCATTTGTCAGTTAATGGAACATTTTGTTGCTTTTGTTGTGCCTTTGACTTCAGAGTCACCCAGGGGTTACAACAGCCATGTCATATTCAAACTTTTGATGAACTCGGGACTTTAACATGGAGCCTTGCATCAGAAAACAGAATGATACTTGTATCGTGTGCTCTAATGGCGGCTATTACAACAATAGAGATGGTGACCTAGAGGGATGGGAGGGGCAGGAGGACAGGCCTCCGGGCTGACCTGTGCTTGGAAAAGGGCAAGCTCATGCAACAGTCAGGGCGTCAGGGGCTCGCCACCTCGTCTGGCAGTCTGAACCCTCCATTCACACGTTAACACAACAGCAAAGCCTCACTCTGACCCCATGGGTGTGACACTCAACCTTTGCCTTAACCTCCTGACCACCGGTCACAGCTGCAGCTGACCAACTCGGCAAGGTCAGGGCACGGGGTCGACTGGAGGGGGGGAGGGATGAGCATGGAGATGAAAGAGGGGGAAAAACAGAGAGTAAAGGCAGAAAAAAATGACTGAGTGAGTGGTGAAGAGCAAAGAATGGAGGGGTGAAGACCAGATAATAAAGATAGGACACAGATTGTCATTTTGGCCGTAAAAACAGGGAATTCCCCGTCATCTGGCTTGCTTATCAACTGTTTTAGTTTTGATTGTTTCGATATTCGACTCTCAACAAGTTCAGTCAGACAAAATAACTATTGTAATCTAAGCCATCATTCTTACTTTTTATTCCAAACAATATATATTACTGCCTTAAACTCTCATTTCTGTTATGAAAATTAGTTTTTTTATTACATTGATCTGCAAAAATGTGTTTCATGGTTACATTAACATTGCAAGGAGCATTTCATAGTTTGTCTCCAGGTCACAGCGGAGCTTTAAATCTGACTTAAAGCTCTTCCAAGCTTTCCTGACCTGTGTGTTAAAGGTCAACTCTTTTCTTTCCTACAGAAGTTTGAAAACAGGTCCCATATGTATAGTTTTACTTTAAGTAATTCATCAAAGCACTTTGGAAATTTTTAATTATTAGGCCTTAAGTAAAGGAGTCTCTTATCTGTTATTTGCAAACTTAAAAGGTACTTCAACTTGCAACTTGGTTTGGTTGACCTTTTAATTTTTCTTTCAAGCATGAAAAACAGAGAATGTGAGAATATGAAGTTACAAAGAAGACAAATGGGCTTGCCGTGCGATTAGTGTGCACATCAGACATTGTTCCAGCCCCCATCCCCCTTTCTCTGAGCTTTGTCACGACACCCACGACATGCGCGGGAGTGGCTTTGTAGAAATGGCTTTTATGGGAAAATAAGCATTTGCATTCTCCTCCGGGTCAGTCCTGAAGTCGACAGTCCTGTGCTTAAGTCATCTGTGCAAATGCTTGAATGCACCACAGCTGTGTCTCTAAAGCCAGGAATGTCCTCTGTGACGTTTTAGTCCTGTTCAACAAGTTAAGATTTAGAGTGATAATGAGTGTTTTTTTAGTAACTTTCAACTGTTGAAACTCCACCACCCCACAGTCTATGAGCCAAAGATCATCAAAGATTATGCCCATTGTGACTGTTGTGGATGCAACTAATCGGCAGACAAATGTGTACAAATGTTAGACGAAAATCTACATCGGCAGATTTGTAAAAGAGCAGATAATGGAAATAAGAACTGCTTATTCCTTTAACTGAACAAATAGTATCTCATAAAACGGTCTCTTCTCTCCTCCACTCCACTGCCTCCTCGGCAGCTTTTGTTGCTCCTCCCTGGCTATTCTGACTGTCCATCATGGCCGCCACCTTCTGCTCCAGTCTCCACACCTGCTCCCGATACTTCCTGCGGATCTGTCTGTACGAACTCAGGGCTTTGCTGGAAAAAGGGCATCCAGATAATCCAGTTTAGAACTTGTAGCAAGGGGATTACAACGGCCCAAACAGTGTCTCAGATGCTTTTGCTGTGACATTCACCTGTGAGCTTGTGTGAGGCGAGCAATCTGCTCTCCATTGTCCTTTCTGTGGGAGGAGGCGCCGTCTGAAAGAGCTGGGCCCAGGGAGTCTTGGACCAAAGCTAGTCTCTTCTTCAAAGCTTGTTCTCTGAAACAAGAAAATATGTATAGAGAACATCATTTAAGGTTATTAACTTTAGTTAAGTCTCTAAAGATGTTTACTCATACAAATTCAATAACCTGGATGAAAAGAATCCTATTTGCCAAAGTGTCCTTGGGTTCAGAGCACACGTGATGAATTGTGCCAAGAGCAGGGATGTTTAAAAAAAAAACATGTATTCATCATTCGAGGTCAAAACAGAAAGAGGATGATCGCTTAAGCACTGAATGCAGAGAAAAAGCTAGAACTTCTTTATGTCCAAAGTCTTCTATTTTTCTTTCTGTGTTACCAAGCAACCAATCAAATACCAGAAAGAGGTATTTGATACCTCTACTGTGAATGCAAGGAGCAACTTTTATCCTAAGAAATCAAAGTTACTCAGTGTGCTCATAGACCACAATTACTCCTAATTTAGGAATAATCAGAGGCAACATACTGTATATGATCTATCAGTCACCTCATAGACCTTTGAATACTCAATATTTCATGATAACAGGGGCTGGTTTTTGATGGATTATGCATACAAGATCAGACAGTGATTTTCACTGTTTAAAGTTCTCACCTCTGTAGGACCACCTGCAGCTCTTTCAGAATCGGTCTGGTTGAAATATTAGCAATGTCCCCCTCACAAGCAACTTTGGCTGCATTCTCAAGAAGCCTCTGAAATACAACGTTCAAGGAAAAATAAAAACAACAGAAATAAGAACAAACTCTGTGATGATTGTTGTCTTTTTATTCTTAGTTGTTCCACTATTAAGCAACAGTGTGCACTCGAAAATGTCACACAGCATCAAAACGGATCAATGGAAGATTTAATTAAGGATTTCGCTAAAGGTTTTGCTGTTGAACTGTGTTCTGGGTATACATGATAGGATGGAGAAACTGCACCCTTGACAGAATGCCGCCATGCTTTCAGCTCATGTCTGAGCCCACATGAAGGGAATGTGCTTTGTCAGATTACAGAATTATACTTCAAAAGGACTGAGACTAATAAAAAGTTGGAATGTTTCTGAAACTACAGCCTTCCTATGTTTCCAACAGTTCTATCAGAGGAGTCAGTAACAGAACAACCAATCACAGCCGGGCGTTTCCCATTTGATTTCACCCTTATCTCTGAAAATATTTATTATGAGGAAACACTCATCCAAAGGTTTATAAATTCATAAAAATAATCTTTTTTTGTGTGTGTAAATTATCCTGATTTGACTCTTTGGGGATTTTTATTATCTGGAGAGATCCTAGTAGACGGTAAACTAAATGAACAATGATAATGTGGTTGCTACGCAATTATACAAACTACATAATTTCCATTTTGGGATAAATAAGGTGTTTCTACTTTAAATTAATTTCAGTCTTGACTTTCAATGCTCTGCTCTTTGTCAGCATAGAAATATATGCATAGAGAATCTCAGCCTTGTAGTTTTCTTTCAACATCTTAACACGGTGCACTCGGTGGAGGTCAGGGATTGTGTTGGTTCCAAGGATGACCAAATGGATGGTAAGCCTTAACACAAAAGGGTGTGAAAATGGATTACCAACTGAAAGTCACCCCGTTGACCTAAAGGAGCAGTTCAGTTCTTTGTCATTCTACAATGACAGAGGTGTGCGGTGTGGCAGGAAGTAGTGCGGCAGAGACCAGCACAAGACCTTGTGGAACCGAAATATCCTCTTTGGCCTGAAGGGATTCTGCTTTGGAAGATGTGTGATTTCCCAAATGGGACAACCAGATTTGAATTGGGCCTGTCACAGTAGACCAGCCCCCGGTTCCCTCTTGCCCGTTTCACCTTGACTTTGTATTATTTGCATGTTAAAAAAAATCTGCCTCGCTGCTGCAGGAGTCTGAGCTACCTGTTGTTCGCCCTTTCGATCTTCTACCTCGTCTCGGAGACTTTCTGGGATGAAAACCCCTGTTGCTTCCTTGGCCTTCTGGCTCACTAAGCCCCACTCCAGACACCTCAGTTCTTTCTCCTTTAGGCGGATTAGAGCTCGGAGATCGGACATCTCCTCCTAAACAAAAAACAAAAAAGTAAATTAATTGGAAGAACTTTTATGACAGATGTTTAAATGGGTTTTACACCCTTTCTAACTTTACATGGAACTAGTTTTTGGTGATTCCATGTGAATTGATGCCTCTGGCGTGATGTAGTGTGTTTGCAGTGCCGTGTGAGTTTAGATTTGATTTATTTACTGTGTTGTAGAATCAAAACTTTGCTTACACATTCACCTTTCTTAAACTGACAGTATTTAATCTCTGCCCTAGGGTCTGAGATTTCAGAGCCATATTCTTCATAATAATCTGAGCCAAGACTGACAGATGGAGTGTCCAGCTATGACTTTTACATATGATATTTTGTTTTTAGGATTTTTTGCATACAGGCCAGAATTCTCAGGCAACAAATTTGGATTTACCAAAAACGTTTTACATAAAGATTACATAAAGTTAACAGTAGATATTGATTGTGGCTTTTACAAAATAGGTTACAAGTTACAATGCACAAATATTAAACTATTCACTGCAAATGTAATGTTCTTTATGATTTTATCACAGAAAAAGTCTAAAACCTTGAGGAGTTTCCAAAGAATTCAACCTTGTTATATGAAGTGTTTGTGTGTAACAAAGGGGTCTGCTTGCAAATGGAAGTTTCAGAATGATTAAACATTCACATTGGCTTTTAACAATTTTAGAAATGCACACCTAACCATCATAGCCAGCTATGTTAGCGGCAGCTAGCAGGGCCAGAGCCGTGTCTGTGAATATTTGCAGGCTTAGCAGCTTGAAGCCTTAGAGCCTGCTACCATCCAGGGATGGTGGCAGTTGGCAGAGCCATGTTTACATGATGCTGCATTTGTTTGACTGGCCAGTCCAGTTGATCAGTACTAGAACTTAAACGGGACTAAATAATATGGCCCCATGCACGATAAAACTTAATCTACGTTACTTGTCCATGCTTGGACTACCAGTGCAGGATTAAAAAAATAACCAAATATCCAAAAAGGCAATAGTTTTTAATGTTATGAAAAATGGAAACAAATGTCTTTTTGGTCAATGGAAAATTTGGGGAATATGAAGTTTGTTTGATGGAATATTCAAATAATGATTAGTAGATCATTAGTAGATAATTACAAATAACTGATAAGAAATTACCTCAGTTTGTTCTGTTTTACTGTGAACTGATATTAGAAATGTGTCAGCACTAAGCAGTATCTATGTAAACTCTACACATTGTTATGTAGGCCTAGAAGCTAAGGGCAGTGTTGTACATTTTTCCCCTTGAAAGCTGATGTTAAGCAACTTGAACTCGAGTTTCTTTTTAGAATCTCAGACACTGACTCCAGGCATACAGCTCTTACCCTTACTGAGATCAGTTCATAAAACAGGGAGGCTTTCTCCCTCTTGGTTTCGGGAGGTTTGCTTCCATCTTTTGTTGCGGGTCCCCCTTTTGTCCCAGCAAGCTGATTGGTTTCAGCACTGGGTTTACCCTGTACTACTGGGCATGGTTTGCGAAGGCAAATGGCTGCTCGGTCCCTCTTCAGGCGCTCAATTTGTTCCCTGAGAAACACTTCCCGACCCTTTGTTTCAGGCTCCCTATCGTTTTACAAGGACACAAACAGGAACAATTATTTATCCGGTCTCCCAGATCTCTGGTAACTTTAAGTATTTCAGCATTTTTGTATCATCCTCAACACAAAATTCTGGAGACCGATACACTGATGATGACTGAAAGAAGTGTCACCTCTGTCCTGTGTGACTCTGTGTTTGTGTCTCCTCTGTAGTTCCTGCTGAGGAGAAGGAGGTAGACAGCTCTTCAGTCCCCATTTTTCTGAGTTGAGCTGATGGACTGTCTCCCTGGTGCCTGTCACCCACTGTCTCTGATGAGAAAAAATAATATGACTCCAGTTGTGTGTGATGCGTGTGTGTCAGTGGCATAAAAAGTAGTCGTGTCTCTGTTGGTGTAGGCTGAGGTAAAACTTTTGGTTCAAACACCTGCTGGTTCTGTCCACAGATGAATGTTTTGCTGTCTCTGGGCATCGTAAAGGGACAGTAGCTGACTGTAGGCCTCCTCGCTCTCCTCACTGCCAGCCATCAGGAAAAACAGAAAATGATCTCATTGGTGAGAGGGTCCTGCTCGTTAAAATGCTGACCATTGCACATACGCTGGCACAGGGCATGCATCTGTGTGCAGACAGGTCAATGTGCTGGTGTGTCAGGCGTTTGAAATGTTTACCAGTATCTTAGAGCCATCTGAAGGGCCGAACAGTCGGCCTCCAGTTTGGCAAGTGTCTGAGTGTTTTGCTCCGACTCAACCTTCTTGCGCTCCAGAGCTGAAGTCAGACGTTCGTTCCTCGCCTTCAGCCTCTCAATGTATCTGAGATAATGAAATAAAAGGATGAAGCTTCAAACCAAAAGAGTTTTGATTATATAAAAACTGAAAGTAGTAGACAAAACAAACTTGACAAAATTTCTGACTTGAATCAACACATACATAAAACCCGTATCACCATAATTCACACTCCATTTCACTAATCTGAGTAACTCACATGGTAATGATTGAGCTTGTGATTCCATACACTCTCTGGTAAGTGCCCCGTGGACTCACCTGTGTAAGCGTTCAGTCTCGGACTCCTGGCTGATGGGGCTGGCACATGGACTTCCTGAGTTAATGGAGCCCATTGGAGACGCTTCCCCACCAACAGATAAAGGTGTTATGGCTCTTTTTGTTCTTCTGAGGATTAAAGGTGATCCAGGATATGGAGGAGACGCCCAGTCTGGACTCTGAGCGCCGGCGGTGGTCCGGTAAGGTGGGGGGTTACTGCTGGACTTCCAGGCCTTGTGGAGACACACCAGCTGAAGAACCAGAAATGGACAGTTGAATTTATTAAACCTGTCTCATATAGATGGTTCTGTTGTTTTACATAAAGAAGAGCTTAGTGCTAAGTATTCCACTGAATAACATTAGCACACAGTTAACAAATAACATTGTAATTAAAATCACAACAACACTTTTCATTCTTACTACCCTCACTTAACTCATAACAGAAAATTACTCTTCCCACCTTGTTCTTCTCCTCTTCCACTAAGCTAGCAGCGCTTTGAGATCTCTGCAGATTCTCCAGGTGACTCTGGAAGATGTTTCGGGGACCCGACTCCTGTCTTTCAGAATCCATTGTGTCATCTGGGTGTTGGTTATTTGCCAGGCTTAATGGACAAGAAATTCCAAACTCTCTCTCCATTTCCTCCAGCATCTACAACCAGCCAATTATATTTACCAAAGATACAGATAGGAATCACGTAAACCAATCAATTAAAGCTAAGAAGTGAAGTTAATAATGTGAGATTTGTGCTAATTCTAATAGTTTTTTCTAGATTATAGCCTCCATTAGTTTTAACTTTAATTTTTAGTTGAAAAATCAAATACATCTTTTTCTAATAGTTTTTCTTTCTGATTCAAATACTTGTGTGGCTTTGGTCCAATTTTCTTGAGCTGCTCTTATATGCTCATCACGCTTGTCCAGGTCTGAGGCTCTGATGGGAGCAACCCAGGTCCTTCTACAGCTGATGGAATCTTCCACTGACGATAAAACTTCCTGCAGTTTTGTCCACACTCTGCCAGTGCCTCCTAGAGGATAAAAGTAGAGGTACAACACATGACTCTTCTTACAAATCCAGTCTAACACAGCTGTTGATACCAACCCCAGTCAGTTCCTTGAGGTTTAGATGTGACAGATGAGCTCCTCTCTTGGCTGCTTCTGTCCAGGCGATGTGACAAAAGGTCCGGAACTAGAGGTCTGGATGGGACGGATGCTCTCATGCTGCTCAGGTCTCCAGGTTCACTGTGAGAGCGTTTATATTTAGTTAAACAGGGAGCTGGATCAATAATTGTGCCGTAAAGGGAGAATATACATGGTTTTCCAGGTTTTGTGTGGTGCTAGTTACCTAACATTCTTTAGCTCGCCACTACAGCAAATCGATGTTTTATTAAATCTCTCACCTTGGAGCCTTCAGGTTCCCCATCTTCTTGTTCAGTTCAGCGATGATGCTGAGCAGGGTGCCCACCTCAGCCTCACACTGAGCCACCTCTGCTGGTGTGGGCTCGTAGTTGATTAGAGGATCACACCCCTCAGGATCAAAGTTTATGTGGCTTCCAGGGCTCAGCAACTCTTTCTCAAATCCATAGCCAGCATTCAGGCTATCACATCTACTTCTCCTCTGGTCCTATAGAAAAACATGGAGCTGTGTTAGGAATGTCATAAAAAACTCTATCCCCACATTTCAACCAAAGGTTTCTTCATATTCTTTATCTTTCTACAAGTGTTTGTGTGCGCTGATGTAACACAGAGTAGTGCGCATAAGTTTATCCTACATGTGAACAATTGGTATAAAAAATGTGTCATGATCCAAACATCAGTGTGTTTAGCAGCTATTGTTTAAGGCAGCGGAAAAGGAGGAAACCAAAAACATCCTGAGATCCAACTTCCTGCCCAGCAAAAATATGTGGACATACTAGTTATTGGTTGAACAAAGAATTCTGAAAAAAAGCTTGAAGATTTAGATTAAAGCAGAACAGTGTTGATTTATCAAAATGTAAAGAGCAGAAACAATTACCAGAAAGATGAGAATCAAACAAAC